CGCTGCCCTATGAGGAGCCCAACGACCAGAGTTTGATTCCCGCTCATGTCCAATACCAGTGACGAATTTCTTTTAACCGGTCCTGAGCCACCCAGAGGTTGACTCGGCCTCAGTTGAGTACCTGGTGGGATGTGTAAACATCGGCACTATGGAGACAAAGGCGGCCGGGCGTGGTATCTGGCCACCCAGGCCCTCTTGTGCCGTGCCAGCCTTCATAGGTGCTTGCTGGCAGCATTTGCCCAAACAATCTGTTAGGGCATTACGGGCGTGGGGGGGGGTGAGTAGGTTTTCACAGATGTGCTACTGTACAGCTCTCCGATGTGTTCTCGGGACGTACCGCGTGTTGCTTGTGCACAGTGTCAGAAAAAAAGAACTTCATTGCTCGTCGGATTTCTCCAGGATGAATAAAAGATTCTGATTCTGTGTAGGAACTGAACATTCACGGCAGCGGATAAAATAACAAATCCCCCAGCAAGCATGTGGAGCGGAACGTCGGGCAAAATGACGTGCCTGCAAATGTTCGACTGCCGGCCTCGCTCGCTGCTGCATGGGCGGCGAGCGGTCGTGGGGGCCACGCGGCACGGTGAACATTGCGTTCATTTTCTGGCATCCGCATCCCGCACACACACACACACGCACGTGTGTGCTATACAGCAGCAGGGCGTGCGCGTACAGAAACACCGACTCGGACTCCGTTCCAAATGTGCAGTAGGGTCCTCCTGTCCTCATCTCTACCCCCCCCCCACCTCCGCCCTTCACCCATCACTCCTACCCGCATGCTTCACTCCTCACTAACTTGATTATTTGTCCTGCATTTTAGTTTTGACGGCAGGCAAAACAATGCCAGGCTTCCTTGCCGGCTTTGTTATCTGGAGGAAGCGGTTTGTTTGGGAGTCGAGGTGTGCAGTTGTTTGTGCAGTATATACTCTGTTTTCTATCCTTTGGCCAATCTTGCGAATCCATCTAAAGTGCTACCCGCCCGCTACGTTTGAATAACCTCGTGATGTTCCATCCGAAGGAAACTTAAGTATGAATAGCCTGTTAATGAACAGCGATCGGGAGCAGAAAAACAGAGCGGGAAATCGATCAGTTCTGGAAAGGAACGAAATAAAATTAACTTGAAGTGGGAAAACAACCATCGAGTCTAGCTTTAGTTCTGATGCAAATAAACAAAAGAAATTAACTTGAAATGGGAAAAGATCATAGAGTCTAGCTTTAGTTTTGATGAAGTTCTGATGCAAGAATATGGTTTGCCACTCACGAAATCTCCAATCTCCTTGCGTCTTTTCGTGTCTCTGCCACATCTCCTCCGTCTCCGGCCTCCCTCGTGGTCTGCCCACATCATCTCATCTGCACGTCCCCCAGCCCCCCGCGCAAGTTCTGTCTCCTACCCGCATTTGGCGCAGGGTCTGCGAAGCGGACAAAGCAGTTTTCGCTTTAACGTTTTGCCCCCGGCGAAAACGTTGCTGGGTTGACCCGCACCAAATTGTACGCCGCGTGTTACTGCACTTGCCTTAATTCCGTTTCAAGGTCTTCGATGAGTTTGTTTTTCGGAGCCTCTTGGCACCTTGGAAACCCACGCTGAATCCTAAGAATCATTCATGTCGTCTGGGATGACTTTGAGCATCTTATAGCAGACGCCCATAGTCTTTAAATGCACCAGCTGTGAAGATATTTATTCATTTTATTTACTGTTAATTATTTAAAAATATATATTTGTAGTTGTACACTAAATTTCGCAAACAAAAGCGTTCAATCGAGACGTAAGAAATGCAAAACCAAATAGAAAAAATTAACTTTATCAAATCTTGACCCTGAATGGTCCCAATTTATGAACTCGTTCCCTCCCTATCATCCGATCTCTTGTTGTATGCGTGTCTCTGGGGGGGTTTGTCGGCTCTTTAGGCGTGAGGTTAGTCATGACATGAGTTTGGGTCGTTTCTGTGGCGATTGTTGGCTTCGAGGCAGGAGGCTGGCGATGGGGAAGTTTATATTATTGTAGATGTATCCACTGCGGGCGCAGTGTGGCTCGTTATGTAACCCGCAGAGATTGAAGTTTTTGTTCCGGCCTAAAAGAGGAATTCTTCACTCTCAGTGATGTTTTTTTACTGCATATTCAAGCGATTTCAATTAGGGCATTTAACTAGAGGTCACGAACTTCCGTTTGATATACATTTTTTTATTCGTAGATAATGTGAGCGTGAAGAAAGATGGGAAGACAAATATGTGATCCGTCCAAATATATACATACAAATAAAAATAAATCCTGTGGGTCCCCACTGAATTGAGCATGGGGCGGTGCTCACTTCCTGTTAACTGCCGAGTTGTGGTCGGAAATTCGACATTCCTCAGGTATGAATTGTCCCCCGACAGGGATTTGAACTCGTCACCTCCCGACTTCCGTGCCTGCGGTGGCGAGATGTTAACTCTCTCGCCAGGTATGCAGGAGGTCGTGGGTTCTATCCCGACCTTGATGCCTGTATATTTTGAATTTGCTTGTCTCTCTCTCCGTGGTCGCGTGATTTTTTTCTCCTGATCTTCCAGTTTTCCCCCTCCACATTTAGAATCAACATCACGGGTTTAGAGTATTGTGCTGCTATAAATTTGCACATGATAGCCACTTTGTCGAGCTATCATCTGTGACCAGAGCGCTTTCTGAAAAAGAGCTAAAGAGCTATAGAGCTCAGTGGGCCTTACCTGAAAAAAATATCAGTCTAGTTATTTGCACAAAATAAAATAAACGCGTTGCTGTAGGGGTTACTGTCGTTCAAAAGCAAAAAAGAAGGTAACGTGAATAATTTTTTTTGCGTAGCTTTAAAATCGCATTCCCAAAAACGTGTTTGTGTGTGCAAGTATGTTGGCCGTGACTTGCTGCCTGAATTTTTTTTTGTTCGGCGAAGCCGTGGGCGCGTGGGGTTGGAGAGACCTCACCCAGAGGTGTTTTTCCTTACAAGGAGCCGAAGCGGGGCAAGAATTTCCGTGAAAATTTCTTCGCATTCTCAAATCAATGAGCACTCTCATTCCATGTCTCCGAGTGCAGGCGGCAGTCCCCACAGTACACGAGTTTTGGCTTCCTCCAATACATCGGCGCCACCACCGCCAGCGGTTACAACAACGGGGGGTGACTTTCTCGAATCCCACCCCCCCCCCCCACCTCTATCCACACAGCCTTATTGAATGGGTAAACCACAGTCGATGAAACAGGTCGCATGCGGTGGGGCACAGTGTTGGGTAAGTACTCCCACCACACCACCCTTCCAACACCTCTGGTCAACGTGGCGGAATCGGCTAAATATCCTCTTAGAGTTCGCTCCTGTGGAGGCTCTTCCACCAGCAGCGGAGAGAGCCAAGCGATTCCAGGGCCACCGCTTTACCTCCGTCTGAACCGCCGTTGCACTCTCGGTTCTTCCGGCGATCTGTGCCCCGCTCGCTTTCCCATCATCCCAGCCAAAGAACGCTGCGTGGCTTTGCCGGGCGCACTTTGATGCGGCATTGTCTGCCAAACAAAGTGGGCGCAGTCCCTCCACCCCCCACACCTCTCTCTTTCACGCGTCCTGTAAGGTCGCACCGTTGGCTGAACGTTGCGTTACCGCCGCTTTCCGCTACCCCTCCCCCGCTCCTCCTCCTCGTTTGTCCCCCTGGCCCTCGCGTCATCGCCTGCCCCGTTGCTGCTGCCGTTGTTCGCGTGACGAGTCGCGGCGGTGCCAGCCCCCATCAAGCGGGCGGTGATCTTAAACGCCCGCTGTGTTATTTTAGTGCCCGCTGGAATGGGCCCCATGACTGCCTCCACACTGATTCGAGCCTCGTGACGATGAAATGTATTCGCAGGACGTTCCCTTGGCCGTGTAACGCCGTTGTAAAGCCCCCTGCATTCTTTCGCAGTGCCCGTACCAAACAGAAAAAGAGGCCCAATGGCCAAATCAACGCGGAAATGAGCCAGACCTCGTCAGATCTCGAGAGCTAAGCAGGCTGGATGGGCTGTCGATGTACATCTATACGTGTGCACAAATATATTATGTTCTTTGGGTCTTTTGGTAACGTCACGTAGATAGGTTCAAAGAAAATAACCTATCTATGTGAATTCCTGCAGTCACGAAAGCTTTAAGTCAAGATTTTACAACTCGATTGTTTGTCGAAAGGAGACCTGGAGGTGGCCCGGGTGTCTGGCAGGTCTCGTACTGTTTTATCAAAGAGTACTGCGTTTGTGACGTCAGAATCTGGGCAGCTATCCCCGATTAATCCAAGTTCTCAAGTGTAATCAGTTGATGATCTCAGCCAGGCCACAATTCACTGTACAACAACAGCAAAAACCCCACTGCATGAAATATGGGTTTTCGCTTAACTTGGCCATAGTTCTGCGCTTGAGAACAGACGCTTATGGTTTAATCAACATGTGGTGATCATTCTTTAACATGGCTTCCAAATCCTGTGCCCGGAGTGTGTGTGTATAAAGGGGTCCATTGATGGGAAATTCTCAACCGTTTCTGACGCCGAATTCTCACCGATAGGGATGCCACACTGCGCCCAACGAGAGTTGTTTTAAATTGAAATGTCTCTGTCTGATGACGGACGCCGATAGGACTGTGCTCAGGATTTATAATTTGAAGGGTGGTAAACAAAAAAAAAAGCTGGCATTTTTATTTCAAACTAAATGAAATCAGCGATGTTATTAGTCTGGGGCCCTGGCTTGCGTTAGCTCGGTTGGTTTTGACAAGGCCGGAGCGTGGAGATCACACCGCTGTTCTTTTCAACGCGAGACATTTCCCGCACAATCCATTCCTTTATTCTTCCTCCCATCTCGCCTCACTCCCCCAGCGCCGCGCAGCCTTTCCCCAACCCCCCCCCTTCCCCTCCGTCTCGCTGGTGCTCACGCGCCCCTCCACAGCTGGTAATGTTTAATCGGGCCCCGTTGATATTTTAGTTCAGAGGAAAGGGTGGGAGGAGGAGGAGGGAGGAGGAGTGGTGGGGAGGGGGGGGTGGTCAGTTGCTGCTTGTTTATACACACGAGCAGCACTCAATAACCTCACCACTGTGCCACGCACGCCTGCCTGTGCGCAGCTGTCCGTCATTCCTCGTCTCGTTTCAAGAGCGAGCGCCGAACCTAAACTGAAACCTCCGCGCCCCACAAGCAGCCCGAAAGCTTTCTCCCGGGGACCCCGGTAGACAGCCCTCGCCGTGCCGTCGGCGGCGGCGGCGGCGGAGGAGGAGGCAGCATCGCGGTGACGGTCGTCGGCTTGATTCCGGGCTTCGCTCAGAACTTGTCATGGTGCTTTTGCACGCGCGTGCCACGTCGGAACCGCACTCGGCTGCCCGCCACGGATTACTGGCACGAGGAGCACGAGCCGGAGAGATGTGGGTCTCGCGCACCGTGGCGAAGGTACCGACTTGCGGGGGGGGGGGGCACGCTGCGAGTTTTTGTGCAAGGTAAATGTGAACCTTCCCCCTACCATGGTTTTCTGTTTATGAGTGAGTGGGGGGGGGGGGGGGGGTAATCTTTTAAAGCGCTTTCCAAAGTCTGCGTAGGCTTTTTTTTCCCATTGCCGTGCTCTCCGATGGCCTTTCGGGTTGTTAACCCCCCCCCCCCCCCCCACCTCGTGTTGGTTCGACGGATCTCCCGCCGGCGCGTGGGGCGAAACGTCGGACGTCGTGCCAAACAACAACACCGCGGTACAAGCCGGAATCGCACCTGGGAGTAATGTAATGTCGGCGAATAAAGAATAACAACCTTGGAGCTGTAGTACATAAATATATAAGCATGTATATTGTACTATACAAATTATATTGACCGCCCCCCCCCCCCCTCAACACTTTTGTAAATTTGTAACAAAACAATCCTTTGCTTTGTCTCTCTTTGCTGGGTTAGGAGCTGCATGCGCACATCTTACTCTTTTTTTCAACAATTTTTTTCCTCCCCCCCCCATTTCCCTCCATTTCGTGCATATTTGCCACGCAGCAAGGTCTCTCTCTAACCTCTGCACACAGTTCGGAGACTTCGCAACGTGCGACAGCGCTCCCGTGTTGACATAAAGGCCACCACTGCGCTGCCTTGTCCCATCGCATGCGAGTTCTTCTCGCTCGCTCGGGGGCGGCATTCGAACGTATTGGCGGTACAGCGGTGGTCCTCTCTAATAGCTAAAAAGCTAAAAAAATGTTTTCGCAATAATTATTGATTTTCCCCGTGATACCGCAAGCCCCCATAATAGAGGGTTTTTTTTGGGTTAGATCACGTAAATATATAAATGTGTCGTTAAACCCGCCACCACCCGACACAGCCAACTAGTAAGGGTTGTCACGTAAACAGAACGTGTCAATTCGTCACTAGTACAGTGTGTTGGAGAGCCAAGCCACAACATTTACAATCTGAGTACGACGTTTCGCCAGTAATTACAACTCGCTTCATCGGTCAAGATTTTTTTGCGGAGTGGTGGTGGTGGAGGTGATGGTGGTGCGTCAAAAAATCGATTCTCGTGACGTCGAAGAGGTCACGAATGTCAGGTTCACATTTAGGTTTTAGAACTGTTGTATGAGGTCCGGTGTGTTGTTGCTGCACCGGTGTACCGTCAATACGTCCACTTGGTGGTAAACGCAGCAGAAGTGACGGATGATTGACGCCCACCGACCTCTCTCGGACCAATTCAGGTAGAGGCTGAGGGTGTGGTCGTAGTAGCCCTGCAATTTCTCTCTCTCGCCACTGTTGTCAGAAGGGCATTGTGAGGTGGAGCTCTGGAGAACACCTAGATACGTATGTTGACCTTCTTTTCCTCTCTGATCAGATGTCTTGCAAAGTGGTGGGTGTACCCACACTTTATCCCACCACACACTCGACCTGCCGATCGACTGTGGTGTAGCTGTTTTTATGCAGCTGCGCGTACCAATAACCACGTACTTTGAACGTATATTTTTTATTACTCTTTGGTTCTTTCGGTGAAGTCACGTAGGTATAAAATAAAATAAGTCACGACGTTTCGGGCGCAACACAAGCGTCCGTCATCAGGTGTGAAAACCACAAATTTTCTTGCTGTGGTTTTCACACCTGATGATGATTTGCTTGTGTTGCAGTCGAAACGTCGTGAGAATTTTATTGTTTTATATTTTTATTATTTTATCGTTTCCCTTCTACGTGACTTTACCGAAAGAACCAATAATATGAATCCCTGTTTATTTGACACTTAGTAGGCTCATCTGGTCCAACACCAGTGGAGACTAGGGCTCTAAGAAAAGCCGTCTCGGGTGTGGACCAATCAATTTCAAGGGCAGTGCATATCATTATCAGAGTTGTCTCTTTTGTTTGCATTTTGACTGCTTGTGTTGTGGTTATTGCAAACATGATCCCTTGTATAAAGGTGTCAGTTTTGGTGCCAGATAAAAGGGTAAAAACCTATTACTACTACTTAGTAGGCTTTCGCAACCAATATCATCCATAATATAGTTTTTTGGGTTAGATCGCGTAAAAATGAATGTGTTGTTAAACCCTCCACCACCCGACACAGCCAATGAGTAAGGTTTGTCACGTAAACAGAACATGCCAATTCGTCACTAGTACAGCACACCGGTGTGTTGGAGAGCAACGCCACAACATTTACAATCGGAGTACGACGTTTCGCCAGTAATTACAAAGAGCTTCATCATGCGACAGACAGATTTGTGGATAAATCCTCCTGTTTCGTTCCTTAAATAGAGGGTTAGATGTGATGGCGTCACTATGTGAGCTCTTCACACGTATGGAAAAAAAAAATCTACTTTCTGTGATGGCCATTTACAAAAGCATGTTTACCGCCTCGGTCGTCATGGGCACCGCTCCGTCATCGAGGCCACCGTCACTCCGAGGGCATCCGAGCGGAAGCGATCTCCTTTCGCCAACGCACACACACAAAACAAATTAACGGCATGTGGCAATTTTAGGAGTTTTCCTTTTGCAGTTGCATTTAAAAAAAGACAAAGATCTCCCGTATCGCCTGAACAGACTGTTGCGGCAAGCGTTGTTAGCGAGCAACTATGAAGGCCGGAACGGCACACGCGGGGGTGGGATGGCCAGCACCACGCAGGGCCGCCTTTGTCTCCCTAGTCGGCAATATTTACACACCGCACTCGGTGCTCATTTGAGGCTGAGTCGACCTAGGGGAGACCCAGGATCGGTTCAGATAATCGTCACCGGTGTTGACTCGTGAGCGGGAATCGAAGCCGGGTCGTCAGCTTCGTAGCACAGCGCGCTAACCACTATGCTACCGCTCCCCACGTGCACACATATGTACACACATACACATTCGCACGCACGCACCCACGCAAGGTAATTTACCTCTTGGTGGGTGGGGCAGTGACGCGGTAGTTAGGGCGCTTTGCTAAGGCATCTGCGTGCTGAGTTCGATTCCCGGCCACGGCTAACATCAGTGGCGAAGTGTTATATCTTAACCGGTCCAAAGCGTCCAAGTTTTTATGAGCCCACGCTTGACCACCTTGGCGAATATTCTTGGTTCTTTCGGTAAAGTCACGTAGAAGGGAAATAATAAAATAATAAAAATGAACCATAATAAAATTCTCACGCCGTTTCGGCCACAACGCAAGCAGCCGTCCTCGGGTGAAGAAACAGAGGCTGTCGAAAAGACAGCGTCCTAATGAACACTGCTAAGCTGTCAGCATATTTTAAGCTGGGTGGGAGGAGGAGAGCGCCTTGACAAAGGAGTTTACATATCAACAGAGGAATTTAGCATATTTATGACAAATGCAGATATGGGATTAGTTACTCCTTGTGGAATGTGCAGGCGGTGGGGGCGGGGTCTCAAAGTCATATTATGCTCGTGTATTATGTAGGATTAGCAGTAATAAAGGGTTGGGAAATGTTAATAATAAAGAACCGCAAGAGCCCAAACCACCGCGTATCAAGCTACGCTGCTTGCGTTGTGGCCGAAACGTCGTGAGAATTTTGCTATGTTTTATTTGTATTATTTTATTGTTTCCCTTCTACGTGGTGACTTTACCGAAAGAACCAAGAATATGAATCCCTGCAGTCACGAAAGCTTTCAATCGAAATTTAACCAATTTGGCGAAGTATGTTTAAACAACCGCCACGACCGACATTCCCTGGGGAGGTGTTCATCCAGCAGTGGACTGGCAAGGGAAGCAAGTGTAGCTTGCAAGCATCAACAATGTTTAGAGCCACGATTGCGCCATGGAAATCTGACCCTGCTGTATTCGGTCTCACAGTTGGATATGTGAGGTCCGCCCGTCTTTGCTGGCATTGAGACTGCAACACGGTCATACATAAGCCCTATTCGATTAAACAGTGATTGTGCCAGGATGAACCTTGTGCCTGGCATATGAACGTGGAATCTTTCGTACTGTTTGTTGTTGCAACGTTCTGATCCCCTTACCGGACATCTGTGGAAAAAGAGACTTATAGCTCATCGGATTCCTCCAGTGTAAATAAATCTTCTGATTTTGATATGCCGCAAGGGTTAATGCTGCGTGCAGGGGCAGCAGCAGCAGCACCGTTCCAGGCGCTCGCGCAGGCTTCTTAGACGCTCTGAATTTTGCGTTGAAGCAAAACGCTTTATTATTATTATTGTTGTTGTTCAGCTTAAATCTTCTTGCCGTTGCTGGTATTTCCGTGATGCACCGTTGGAATGTGTCGCTCGACCTTGGTTGTTAAATTTAGCTTGGGGCGGGCGGGCGGGCGGGGGGGCGGGCGAGCGGGAGGGTGGGGGGGCCTATCCGAGTCGTGGCTCTTTGCTGTAATCTGGTTGGGGGGGGGGCTTTGTCGCGGTGCGGTGTGCGTGAGAGCGGGGCGGGGGGGTCAGCGTCGGGACGGCGGGGCAAAGCCGAACTGAGAGTTGCTTAAACTGGAATCGGCTTGTCGTCGTCGAAGAGCGAGTGTTTCTTAGACTCGTAGAGACCCACGGACACTCACCGAGGACCCATAGACACCCACCGAGGACCCATAAACACCCACAGAGACTCATAGAGACCCACAGAGACCGACGGCGGGCGGGGGGGGGGGTGCTAGGCCAACACAACCCCCTCGTGGAGAGGCCCCTTGTGAAGCCCCATCACTTGCCTCTCGTATTCCTTCACAATGTGTTTTGAGACAACTTGGATTCGCCCCGCTTCTCCACCAGCGCGATTGTGAGAGTGCTGATGAGGCTGAGGGTTGAGGGCGAGGTAAAAAGGGTGCAGCGATTTTGTTGTTGTTATTGTTTGTTTTAATCGCCCGACCGTCCGTCGTCTGTCTGGGCCCACGCTCCCGCCGCCGATCATGGTAAGACGTTGCTCTCCTGCGTCGAGCGCTTTGCCTGCGTTGGTGCGAAGCGTTCGTGGAATCATCTTTGGTCGTGTGCTCGATGTTCGATGCAATTGAAAAACAAACCCAAAAAATTTTTTGCTCATTTCCAGTTTTTCGCAAGGGGAATTTGCGGGGCCGTTTCAGCCGCTTTGATGCGCGGGGTGCTTCGTGTTATAACATACGCTCGTCGGCACCGAGCACTTTCCGACGCATGGCGATTGAAGGCATTTCAATCGTACGAAAGTTCTAACTGCTGACGAAAGATGTTGACGAATGCCCAGCTGCATTATCCGGGCCCGTCTTTTGCAGTCGGTTTAGGATCAAGTTGACGTGAAGGCGACAGTTGTACGTAATTTATACTCCCCTTCGAGTTGACCGCCACAAAACGCTCCTTAAAAAGGGCAGTTGGTCGTTACACCCCATCGCAGGAACCTCCTGAAAAGGCCGCGAGGCCTCGGGGAGAGGCTCTCCTGCAGTAACACCTCGCGTACAATCGATGTTTTGTTTATTAAGCAGAATGCAGCTGATGGTTCGGTGATGGTTCGCCGGTGGAAAACGATCAAAATTAAAAAATGTTGCCCTCCCTCTCTTATCCGCATCTTTAAACCTTTGCCCTCAATCAATCACTTGTACAGTTTCCATGGCACAGGACGACGCCCGCTGATCTCCAGGTCTTCCCGCGCGCCCTCTGCTTTTCTGGAGCGTGTTTTCTGTCCCCGGACCAACTCCCTTCCTTGTTGTTATCAATCCGGCCTGTCTGTCGCCCTCTCTTGCTCTTCTTCTTCTTCTTCATCTGTCTTTGCGGGCTTTTGTATGCCCAAGAACACGCCCAAACGATGAGAGCCTTTTGCTGCCGTTGTGCGGCAGGGTGGCGTTGCACTGGTTAACACCTGCGCCTCGCAGCACGAAGGGGGCCCCGAGTTGGATTCCCGACTCGCACGCCTTCGCGCGTGGATTTTGTATGATCTCCCCCAGTTCTACGAGGTTCTCCTCCTGGTTCTCAGTTGTCCTTCTGTCGCTGACATTCAACGTACAAGATGTGTAACTCGTATTGGCCAAATATCACAGTGCTGAGAAAAGCTTACCTGCAAATTACGCGATTTGGATTACACACAGCAACATCGCCGCCCCCCCTACTGCTTAGTGTTCATAATAATACAAAATGATGCAATTGCTATAATCTCTGAACTTTGCCCTTTCCTCACCACCTACAAGCTGACACTAATAGGACTAGGTGTTCACCTTATCAACAATTGGCTACGACTCCTCACTTCCTGCAGGACTTCAGTCTTCGGTCCTGTTGGGGGCATTGCTCATTCGGCTGCAGGTTCTGTGCTCATGGAAACAACCGCAGAGTTTACATCCCATTTTGTCGGAACAGACGTCATTTTCTTACGCGCTGGTCTGGTCAAGTTTCCTGAAATCTCAAGCCTGTCCAGGAGGAAGCCAAGCTTAAGGAAAGTTAATCTAAAGAATCCGACAGATTATAATCCCTGTTACACACCACCCACCACCGGTCCCAACTGGGGAGTTGATTTACAGCGACGTAGATTTCGCCGATAGGGAAAACAATGAGGTCGTCTCCTTATCTTGTATCTCAAGGATATCGTTTTTTTTTTCAATTGCAGAAATGTAATACTCGGTTTTAAAATACATTATTTCTGGTCGTTCATATCGGGGACTCAATGTCAGCTGGAGCCGTCTGGGGCTGAGCGCCAGGAAAAGATTTCCTCCCAGGCGTGCGCCTCCCCTGCTACAGGGTGGGGGGGGGGATCAGCATCTGGTGGGTTGGGGAATGCTCGGGAAACATTCCATGAAGTGCTGGTCATAATGCCTGTATCATAAGCAAATCTGAGAGGTGGTGAATGTTTTAATCAAAGCACATGCAGCTATGCAAACAAAACTAAAAGCTTAATTTGATCAGGTAAGGCCCACTAAAAGCGACCTGGCCACGACTGATAGCTCAAGTGGCTTAAAATGTGTATATTTTTTTTTTATAGCAGCCAAATGCTCTAAAATGGAGGGGGGGAAAAAAACCAGAGGACCCGGAGAAAAATCCACGCGACCACGGGGAGAGAGAGAGGGAGAGACATACGAACTCCAAATATATACAGCGGGCTTCAGGGTCAGAGTCGAGTCCACGACCTCCTGCATACCAGGCGAGGTCGTTAACATCTCCCCCCCCCCCCGCCGCTCCGAATGCTGGAGCAGTGGGAAGCTGCGTGCAGTCGTTCCGTCACTCACGAGGGTGCCGTGTCGCACAGGGACCGGCGGGCGTCGACATGGAGGGCGCCCTGACGGCGCGGGACCGCGTCGGCGTGCAGGACGCCGTGCTGCTGGAGAACCACACCAGCGAGGCCGCCTTCCTGGAGAACCTGCGCAAGCGCTTCCGCGAGAACCTCATCTACGTACGTGCGGCAGCTGCGGCCAATGGGGGACCGCTGCGGATTTGACGCGTGGGGGGGGGGGGGGGGGGGGGGGGGGTCCGACCGACGGGACCCCCGGAGAAACCTCCTCTCGAGGTTCCGTCCGGCCGCCCTGTTTGGAAAATGGCCACTCGGAGCTGGAATATGGGAAAGCGCTCGGCTATGACTGATAAGGCCACGATTATTATGAATGTTAACGGTTAACAATATGTAAATGTAGAAATATTTTCGACGTAGGTATATTTTGTTCGTCCCAATTATATCATCCCCCACTGTTCGGCCCCCCCCCCCCCCCGGCTTATTATTTAATTCCCAAATTCACTCTCCGAACTGTTGACGCGGAACTCGGTGATGTTTGCACTGCGCATTGCTTACCTCGTGAAACTAAAACGAAGTATGCAGTTGAACAGAAGATGCAGCTGTGTTATTGGGTTGTACCGCGCGTAGTTTTGGCGCAACGTCCGACGTTTTTACCGGCCGGCATGGCCCCGAGCGAAAGATTGCAGCGCCGCACCTTTACCTCCTACGGCGGCGCCCGTTCCTTGTGCTCTGCGGCGCAGACGTACATCGGCTCGGTGCTGGTGTCGGTGAACCCCTACCGCGACCTGGAGATTTACAGCAAGCAGCAGATGGAGCGCTACAAAGGGGTCAACTTCTACGAGGTGCCCCCCCACATGTGAGTCTCACGGTGCCCTCCCCCTACTACCTCCCCCCACCCCCACCCCACACCTACGCCCCCTCCCCCCCCCCGCCACTGTCCGTGCGTCTTGAAGGCGGCAGCAGCGGGCGGCGGTGGCGGCAACAACAACAGCAGCAAGTCTACCGGTTTTCATTTTCACGAAATTTAATTTGACGCAAGCGCTTATTCCGTTGGATGTGAACGACAAAAACCATTAATTATTTGCCAAGACAGCGATCTGCCCTGTTGGTGCTTGTTTTACCACGAATGTCACGTGTTCCTGTAATGGCCCAGCAGCACCAACTCCGCCGCTGTGACTGTTTGTGCTCCGTAGCCTAACGCGGACCTGTCAGCCACAATTTACACGAAGGTCTGGACAAAGGCCCTGCCCGTATACCGATGGTCCATTTCATTTATTTATTTATCTATTAGTTCATTTTTTTATTATCTGCCTTGAGCAATTAAATCACTGAATGCAAAATTATTCAAGTACAACCTGAAATTATCTTCTTTGGTTCTTTCGGTAAAGTCACGTAGAATGAGAATAAAATAATAAATTGATAAAATAAAATAACACAATAATATTATTGTGTTATTGTGTTATGTTCTTTCGGTAAAGTCACGTAGAATGAGAATAAAATAATAAATTGATAAAATAACACAATAATAATATTATTGTGTTATTATTGTGTTATTTTATTTTATCAATTTATTATTTTATTCTCATTCTACGTGACTTTACCGAAAGAACCAAAGAAGATGAATCATTGCAGTCACGAAAGCTTTAAATCGAAATTTAACCTGAAATTACATAGGAGAGCTACGCACCACAACCGCGATCGCGTTTTGTGTTAGCTTAACGACGACGATGGTTGTGGATGACACTGGTTAACGACGCCGCAGCTACGCGATCTCCGACAACGCCTTCCGCTCCATGCGCTCGGAGCGACGGGACCAGTGCATCCTGATCTCGGGCGAGAGCGGCTCGGGAAAAACGGAGGCGTCCAAGAAGATTCTGCAGTACCTGGCCATCACGAGCCCGAGCAGCGACCGCGTGCACATCGTGCGCGACCGCCTGCTGCAGTCCAACCCCGTGCTCGAGGTGAGGGGCGACGGGCACGCGCGCTCACCCTGGTGCAGCAGATTCGAAGAGCGCCGAAGGGCACCACCCCCCCCTCCCCCCCCCCCCCCCCGTTTTAAAAGCCGCCCGGTTTAACCGAGTCGTTGACCGGGTCGTTGACCGGGTCGTTGACCGGGTCTTTGACCGGGTCGCTGACCGGGTCGCTGACCGGGTCGCTGACCGGGTCGCTGACCGGGTCGCTGACCGGGTCGCTGACCGGGTCGCTGACCGGGTCGCTGACCGGGTCGCTGACCGAGTTGTTTGACCGGGTGGCCCTCGGCAGATTCAGAGCACCGAGCTGGCACCGCTGAGGATCCTGGGTTTTTGAATTGAGGCAGCTGCCTGCGATAATACCGGGTTCTCAAAAGCTTTAGTGAGTTGATTGTCTCATCGACGACTGAACGGGTGAATAACAAAAAACGTCACGTAAAATTTGGTTGTGCACCTAATTTGGCTAAATTTCAGCTCTCACAATTACATATCGGTCTTGGCTGCCGCGAAACGAACATTAGTCTTAAGCGACGGAGCGCTTGCGGGAAAGTGCCCCTTCTCCCCACGCCCACACTATATGGACCAAAGGTCACTTGAAGGAATCTCTCTGGGGGGAGTTCTGCGGTATCCGCTTCCGTGGGCCGCTCGCTCACACCGAGACGGTTGCAATGCTGTGCGAGATGTCCGAATGAATGCTCAAGCACCTTGGCATGAGGCTTGATTGCACAATTGATGAATAAACTTTGGGGGGGGGGGGGAAAGGATTTATAAACATACAACGGCAAAACACGTTTTGACTTGACGTGCAGTGCCCTCGCCGAGGCCGGCTGGACAATTACTTGGAAGGGTCCCCAATGTCACTGAGATTACCCGAGTCTATTCTGGTCGTGTTTATGCTCGCAACATCGCGTCCTGGTCGTGACGTCGCTATGATTAAGTGTAATTACGTAAGGCGAGTATTGAGAGCGGGGTATGGGCTGTTTTGTCGTAAATAAACGTCAAAAGATATTCCACCAGCCAGGGTTTTGCGGTGTTTAAACAAATGCCGCTCGGTGTGGAGTACCCATCGGCCGAAAGGTTGAATGCTATTTTATTTGGGCAATGCAAATGACCTCCGTCTTCTTGGTAATGTCTAACACCTGCTTCCTTGCAATCCTACAAGACAACGCTCGAGTATTTAATCTTGATTTGTTTCGTCGCTGTACCACCGCGAGAAAAAAGAGTAAATCGTACATCCAGAGCAAAAATGGGTTGCTACAATCCCTTTGCCAAGCCCGAAGCCATGCCTGACGGAAAATAAAATAACACGAATGCACACAAATGTAAAAAAAAACATTGATGCACTTAGAGGTAAACATAATGACATTTTTAAGGCTTATGCTAGGCACACACCACATGATTTTCCCACAGTTAACCCCATACCCGACCGCACACCCGGGCCAGGCTGTTGATGACAATTGTGGTGAGTGGTGGTGGGGGGGGGGGGGTCGACCCCAAATGCGGTGGGGATGAATTCCTTCCCGATCGAACGACTCGATTCGGGGCAGCTGCTGTGAAAACAACGAAAGGCTGCTGACGCGCAGCCCGAGAGCGTGCAGCCGATGCACCGGCGACCTTTTACGGAGAAAACAATCACGGTTCCGGAAAACAGGAAGTCGTGCAATTTGTGAGAAATAAACCTGGAGGGGGAGCAATTTTTACTTGAAATAACTTCCACGATTTCTGATGCTTATTAACAGAAACCACGAACGCAGGATGCGTGGGCATTCATACATCACAACCCCCGCCTCCCCCCCCCACCCCCCACCGTTGCCCGGAATTAATTATTTTGTCCTGGTATTTTCACATACATTTTCACAGCGCTTTTTCCAAGCCTGCAGGCGGTCCTTTGCCCTGGGTTTATTTTTTAACTCGTGTTTGTTTCTGTTCCAAATCCCTCGCCCCCCCCCCCGCCACCCCCCCCCCCCCCGTCTCGCGTCAGGCGTTTGGAAACGCCAAGACCCTTCGCAATGACAACTCGAGCCGGTTTGGAAAATACATGGACATTCAGTTTGACTACAAGGTGAAGCAATGAGCCTCGCGCCCCGTCGCGTCGTCGCACTCGGTGAAACGGAGAGAGAGCGTTTTTTTATGTTAATAATAATCATTTACATTAATTTGTAAGGTGCCTTGTAAGAATAAGGATGAGGAAAGGCCAAGAGAGGCAGAGGAGCTAAATAGAATAAACTGACTTAGGAAGATGCGTTTTTTACTCAAGGGAATGTAAAAAAATAATGATGATAATTAATCGTCAATTTTATCGCATGCAATGTAAACTTCTACTTTCCCGTGTTGAGGACCTGTCTCTCTGTGAATTACAACCACCGTTCACTCCACTCTCTCATTGTTGCAGGGCACAATGCGCAATTTCCTCGCCGCGATTGTCCAAAGTGCTCCCCTGTGTGCCCGATACAGAGTTCATTCACAACTACGGGTGACGCAACCGAATTGTGCATGCTCTGTTACGGGGCCTAGTCTCGCAGCGTGCATCATCACCATCGTGAAAATTCTCATCGGTTCCTTCGCAAATGAATACGTTCTCATCAGATGTTCACGTGATTCTGGGCGCGCGTGGGGACTGGTGGCGTGTAGCGTCTCTTGTTTTGTGCCACGATCCTGGCAACCTGGGTTCGATTCCTTGCACAGCATTCGTAGTCTCATCTTTAGCTGTGTTTGGCCTTCTTTACGTCGAAATGGCCTTAAAAAATTACCGTGCGATGATTGAACTTCAGCGGTGGGGAAACGATGCTGGCCCAGGCCACGGTGCTGGTCAACGCTTCTCTCGTTGTTTTGCAAAAAATTAAAGGAACAAAGATTCCCTTGTATAGCCTGCACAGGCTGTTGGGGAAAGTGCTGTTTGCGAGCACTTACTAGGACCGACACTGCACAAGGGAATGCTGTTGCCAGCATCATGCCACGCCACCTTTTTCTCCGCACTAATGAAAGATTACACCCCCTGTCAGTAACTCATTTGAGGCTGAAACAACCTAGGGGAGGCCCAGAACCGGTTCAGATCTCGGTCAGTGCTGATGTTTGCCGTGGCCAGGAATTGAACCCAGGTCGCCGGGTTTGTGGGGCAGGGCACTAACTGGAGCAGGGCACTAAAACCCCTCTTATGTGCCGCGCAAGCATTCACACGTGCTAGCAGCAGCAGCACTCGCCCCTGCGTATCTGTAAGTCTAAACGAGGTGACGCTTCGCTCTGTTTGTGTGTGTGTGTGAGTACCTGGTACGGCCGGGCGCGTGGCGCTGACCACCCACCCCCTCGTGTGCCGTGCCGGCCTCCATAGGTGCTGCTCGCCAACAGCACTTGCCCCAAGAGTCTGTTGAGCCCACACGTTGGTGGGGGTTGGGGGGGAATCTTTGTCTTTACAACAGGGAGCCCCGGTCGGTGGACACATTCTCAACTACCTGCTGGAGAAGTCACGCGTGGTTCACCAGAATCACGGCGAGCGCAACTTCCACATCTTCTACCAGCTGCTGGAGGGCGGCGAGGACGAGGTGCTGCGGCACATGGGGCTGGATCGCAACCCGCAGAACTACAAGTATCTCATCAAGGTGATCGGCACGTGCCCGCAAGTGCTGTGCAACATCCCCCGGTATAGCCTGGACAGACTGTTGGCCGTAAGTGCTGCTAACGAGCACCTATGGCGGCCGGAACGGCACACGAGAGAGGGGGGGGTGGTTGGCCAACACCACGCCCGGCCGCCTTTGCAACCCAAGCCTACAACGCCCCGGTATTTCCGGGCAGTCTCCCAATCCAATCGCTAGCCATAATCAACTCCTGCTTGGCTTCTGAGATGTGATGATATCGGGTGCATTCGGGATGATTTTGCCGTGTGCAGTTTGCCTCTGGGTTGGCTGAAATTTGAGGCAAGGGCTCACAACGCAAAACAATGTGGGCCCGTGGAGAGCAGTCCACCAAAATTGCAATTTATGACCGTGAATATAAACATTGACGAGCACTTCCCGTACAAGGCACGTCTTGTGTGCCATTGCGGAGAGTCTTGCGGTCGCGCTGCTCCGTGTTCGGGTCGTTACCGCGTGTGCTGTTCCGGACGATGCCCCGACGTTTTGCTCCAACGTGCCGCGTGGGGAGCTTCAGGAACTGAGCGTTTTTAGTCGACGAATAGACAAACCGGTCCCGGAGAAGCTGCGAGCACGTTGAGAAAAACTTTGGACGTCACGCCGAACGACGCGCGGTTATCCCCGTAAAAAAACACCGGGGAGGAGTTCTTGTGCCGATGGGATGATGTTCGTGCGCCAGGGCCAGTGTTCCCGCGTGAGCTCCATCAACGACAAGAACGAGTGGAAGATTGTGCGCAACGCCCTCCGCGTCATCAGCTTCAGCGACGAAGATGTGGAGGTGGGGAGTCTGCTGTGCGCGCGTGTTGCCGTTTTTGCCGGTCGGCCCTCGTGACCGGCGATGAGAGTTACACGCCTTGTACGCAGCACTGTTGTCAGTACGCTGCTGTAGATGATGGTGCTTGCCTCGTGTCGTGTGTATCGCGGTGGTTATTTGACCGTACTGCATGCAGTTAACGTTGGCGAAGGTGGGGAGTGTAGACATGTGATCCATAGTACAGGGCAGCAGTGGATTTTTCTGCACCGCGCATGTTTTGTCCACGACCTAGCTCCCGGGTGATTTGGCCGGAGAGGAGAAACTGACGTGCTCTGGCGCCTTCACGATTGCGTGCTGCCACGACACGGGTCAGCTGTCGGCTTTTAAACATTAATGATCAGATTAGGAAAAACAAACAAACTCAACATGGAATGTTGCTGGGTTCAAATGTTGTTTTCGCGTGGGAACAGTTTACAATGTAACCGAACGCACATTGGAAAACGGTAGCCTCATCTGGCTGACGGATCAAATGCTGACGGATAACATACAAAAGCTCAAGGCTCTAGACCAAAGCCAAAAAATGTTCTGCAGTTGACAGGGATGGCTGCACTCTTATGCAATCCCGTAGGCCGAGTTTGGTGGTTTGGGTACCGGGAAAAAGTAATCCAATGGCTGTTATCAGGTCGACCATTACTGTCGAGACTTGGGCATAAGAAAGGGGGCTCACTTGGGGACTTTGCCAAGAAAATCCCCTAGAAAGGGGGCTCTGGTGGGAGCTTTGCCTGGTTGGGACCCTTAGAAAAGGGGGTTCACTTTGGGGCCTGGCCAGGAGGGTGCTGCGTGCTGCCATGAGGCTGTTTTGGGGTATGCTCCCACACTTGGCTTGTGTAACCATTGTGCATTTACCATGCTGGTTTGCCACATAGAATAGCCACTGTTATAGGGGTGTGTTATGGTGCGTGGATGGATCTGGTTGCCGTGCAAGGAGAGACATTCTCTCTGGTGAGCGCTGCGAGCTATTATTAGTGTTTCCCATGACTTTATGCGGTGTCCTGTGGCCTAAAATCCAACGACTCGGCATGTGTTGTTTGGTGCCCTGTGTATACGGATTAGCTCGCACGTTGTAATTATGCATGCTGTGGAGGGGGGCGTGGTGCATGCTGCCAAGCGGTGCTCTTCACGCGGTGTTCCTGCCTTGTTTTTTTTGTTAATTTAAAATTGATAATCTGATTACAAACTGAGAATGGAGGAGTCGTGTGGGGTTACTGTTACCTGCCCGTTGGTAATTCGACTACTTGTCAACACTGCATCAAAGCCTGTGTGTGTTTCAACACTGACCCTGCAAGATCATGTTCCCAACTTTGTGCATTTCCATGAACTGCGTCATCGGTTCATCCGTCACAATCGGTTCACGCGCTCATTATACGCGCATCACAATTGTGTCTCGTAAGAATCGGTTATTTTACATTTGCACACGTTTTATTGATTAAAAAAAAAGTTTCCTTTTCGCCTCGCGGTTGGAACGAGTGAGGTAGAACGAACGCAGAGAGAGAGAGATCGAGGACAACTTTAAAAGCGGTACAAAGGAGACAGCCAGCACACACAGCACTGAGACGGTGCACGCAAGACAGACCGCATCGCAGAAATGAGATGCTACGAGCAAGACAATAAAGAACCGATCCTGGAATTGTGCCCGATTGTGACGATTCTTTGCACTGCACCCCCCCCCCCCTGCCGCCGCCCGTAGGGTGAATCGTTACATGCCCAATATGCTTGCCATGCTGAATAAAACCTGTCCCCCGCAAACAAAATGCCTCCTGATGTTCCGCAAAACGTGATCGTGATTGTTCTGATCCGATGGACTTGGCTGCGCAGGCCCTGCTGGGGGTGGTGGCTAGCGTCCTGCACCTGGGGAATGTGCAGTACACGGAGGACGAACAAGGCCACGCCAAGATCGCCGGAGATGCCCAGATCCGATATCTGGCTCGGGTAGCTCTCTCCCCCACACGTCCTCTGCGCACCTTTCTGTAGCCGACACACTCTGGCTGTCCGGTCTATTTGCACTGCACTACCTTCTCTGACGAGTACCGGAGATCCGCACGATGCTCGCTCGGCCGTCGCTCTGGCCGACCGTGCAGTCACTCTTAGAGGCCAATAATAGTGGGACCTGCAGAAGAGTAACACGGTACAGTGTCACATGTCTGACGGCCATGTATTCACCCTGACCGATGAACCGCCCACACCCAGTGCAGCGTTAATTCGCGGTTGCAAGGGTCACTTTCTGCAGATGTTCACACGCGACGTGGCACTGTGTAATTAGACCTCGTGGTATTATTTAAATGTATAAATCCGACACAAACTTCTGGACCGACACTGCAAAGCACTTCTCGAAGGCTGCTCATGATCAAAAAGTAAATGTGTGTGTGTGCATTCTGACCTCGTCTCCTCGCCGCGGTTATCCCAAACGCTACGACCATTCATTATCTTGCAAAGCATAACGCGGTTGACAGTCGGTGGCTGTTGGCGGCCCTGCGCCAGTGGTGGAAATTCCCCACATCCGTGATGGGAGCCAGTCGATCCATCGGACAACCACTGTTGGTGTCTCGCAAAACTGTGCAAAACACATTTTTTTATAGACCTCGTTACGGATAATGGGCCCGAGGAAATATTTAAAAAATGTAATCTAAAATGAAAAAAATAAAACCGATTTCGGGTATTTGTACGCGGGCTGCCCTCCCAATGGCGGAATCGCGCGCTCCACCCCAGTTTGCCATCGGGCGCGCCCCCACCCACCGCGTAGCAATAAAGCGGACGCGGTGCCGTTCGAGAAACCCTTCGACCACGTTGCGTGTCTCTTTGTCTCGCGTCACGGCGTGCAGTTGCTCGCGGTGTCGGTGACGCAGCTGCAGGAGTCGCTGACGCACAAGAAGATCATCGCGAAGGGCGAGGAGGTGAGCAGGACCGTGTTAAATGTGATTTAAAACGAGAACTGAAACTTTTTTTTGTTTTTGTTTTACCAAGTTAAGGCCCACTGAGGTATGGCGCTAGTTTTCAGACGTCACCTCGCCAAAAATTGCAGTTCAACGATGCGGCTTATCACGTGGAAATTTATAGCAGCCAAATGCTCTTACATGCATGTTTCGAAATGTGGCGGGGAAAAAACCAGAGCACCAGGAGAAAAATCCACACGACCAAGCGGAGAACATGCAAACTCCAAATATACAGCAGGCGTCGGGGTCGGGATCGAACCCACGACATCCTGTACACCAGGCGAGGTAGTTAACATCCCGTCACCTAGGATTGCAAAAAAAAATGTTTTAAAGAAATTAGTTTAACAAAAGAAATGAGTTGATGTGGTCCCCTCTAGCTTCGCATATTTTGGGGCGCGCACGCACACGTGGCGACACGCTTTCCCTGTGGGTGTGCGTGCAGCTGGTGAGCCCCTTGAGCGTGGATCAGGCAGCCTACGCCCGCGACGCGCTCGCAAAGGCGGTGTACGAACGCACCTTCTCGTGGCTCGTCAGTCGGATCAATGAGTCGCTGGCTAACGAGGTAAGAATTTTGCCTGAGACAGATGTGCGTGTGTGTGTGTATGTGTGTGTATATGTATGTTGTGGGGAGCGGTAATGTAGCGGTTAGCGCGCCGCGCTACGAACCTGGTAACCCGAGTTCGATTCCCGCTCACGGCCAACACCAGTGGCGATTATCTGAACCGGTCTTGAGCGTCCCCTAGGTCGACTCAGCCTTAAAATTGAGTATCTGGTGCGGTGTGTAAACATCGTCACTGGGGAGGCAAAGGCGGCCGGGCGTGGTGTTTGCCACCCCCACCCCCTCGTGTTGCCGTGCCGGCCTTCACAGGTGCTGCTCGCAAACAGCACTGCCCCAACAGTCTGTTAAGGCTATACGGCGGATCTTTGTCTTTGTTTGTATGTCGAGCTTTTTTCGCATACCGTACATAGCCAACCGTGCTCATCGGAAGTGCGGGAGGGGGAGGGCAATGAAGTAGACCCAGATGCCAGGAAGCACGCAGTGATGATGGAACGCCGCCAACAATAATTAATTTAATCTGCAGCAGGGCTGTCACACTCACGTCTTTCGTTTAATGTCGCTGGGGATGTTATTCGGGAAACCAATTCACTGGTGAATAAAACGGAGGCCCTCATCCAGCAGTGGATCAACAAAGGGCCGTTAATTGGTATTCCTGTAGCTTTATCCATCGTTGACTGTTTCTGGTTTGTTTGGTAGCATAAATATCTACCGTGCATATCTCAACTTCAGACAAACGCGTGCAGTCAGTCGTAATAGCAAGAAGGCAGTCGGAAGCAGAGTAGAACACGTACCCCTTGATCAAGGCGGCATTACAACCTCTAACGCAATGGGAGGGGCCTTACAATGGGGTTTCTAAATTACGCCCCGTGCTTCAACAACACCTTGCTTCCATGCTAATGAAGTAAATTAATTTAAAAACATTTTTTTTATTTTGCCTCCCACGTGATAATTAGGGGGGGGGGTGGGTTGAAATGTAACGGGTGGTACCCTTTAGTGGGTTGTGGGGAACAAAGGCTGAGGTTGGAGACGTTTGTGCATCGGCGGTGCGTAGCGTGTAAGCTTCCTCCACTTGCCGAGTGTCTTGGGCCGTGGCTCTGGGGGGGGGGGGGGGGGGGGGGGGGGGGCGGGGGGCTCGCGTTACGATGGACGAGCGTGGACTTGTCGCACAGCGTCTCGCCCCGTTTGGCGTTTCAGGATACGCAGCAGAAGTCTGTGATTGGGCTCCTCGACATCTACGGTTTCGAGGTCTTCCAGCAGAACAGGTGAGGGACATCGCGCGGCCTCTGGCGTCCGCGCTGGGATAAAAACGAACTTTGTGCAGGCGCGAGCGCTTGCGGTCGTCATCGTTATTATCGTTGTTGTCGTCCGTCGTTCTTGCTCTACATCAGGGGTGACCAACCCGTCACGGACCAAGAGGCAAAATGTTCTCGTGAGTTCTTGAAAGAGCCAAATGTGTCATATATAAGTGTGTGTGTGTGTATATCGTGACAGTTTTCGGCACAGCACGGGGAGACATTCATCATCCTTTGCTGTTGTAGTACGTTCTATGTTACGCCCCTTCGATAGAGCCGCGTGTGGGTGGATTTACGAACCGCATGCGGCTTGGGGAGACGTTGGTTGGCCCACCGCTGGCCTACATCAACATCACCCACACGAAGAAGAACTTTGATTGCAGTTCCTAAGCGGTAATTTTTCAGGTGTCTTGTGGATAGAGTAGACGACGTTGGATATGAGAGCACCTTATGTGAGCACAGTTTGCCTATCGGCAAAACATGCTTGGATTACACTGCTGGGTGGCGGTGGGGTGGGGGGCAAAATGCAACTTCTGATACAAGCACACGACTACGGATTTAAACAAACCTGGCCATGTGCTTATCGCCAGCTTTTACAGTAAAATATCATCAGAATATGTATCTATACTGGAGGAATCCGATGAGCTATAAAGCTCTGTTTCGTGTCAGAACGTTACAATCACAGACAATACAGAAACACGACAGGAGTGCAAAGTATAGGAGAGGCAAGCAAATCGCAGAAAAAAAGACGAATAAAACTCAACTATTTTTCATTTTGCCAGGTAAGGCCCACTGAGCTATTAGCTTCTTTTTCAGAAGCGACCTTGCCACAAATGAAAGCTGAACGAAGTGGCTTATGTGGAAATTTATAGCAGCGAAATAACCTCAACGCACATTTATACGGCACCGTCGCGGCAACCTGCTTCAGCGGCGTCCTTCCTGCGGCCCATCATCTCACTCCCCCGCGTTGCCCGTCGTTTTCCACCTCCGCCCTCCTGTGCTGCGTGCGCAGCTTCGAGCAGTTCTGCATCAACTACTGCAACGAGAAGCTGCAGCAGCTGTTCATCGAGCTCACCCTCAAGTCGGAGCAAGAGGAGTACGAGTCGGAGGGAATCGAGGTCAGGTCGAGCGTGGTTCTGTCCACGAATAGCCGCCGTGTGACCGTCCCCCCCTCCCGTGGCCCATGCCTTTTGAGTGGCCGGCCTGTCATGTTATTTTTTGACAGTTGCGTCGGTTGATCCGAGCCGCAGCATTATTACGAGGGCCCGCACTGAGCTGCTGGCTGTTTTGTTTTGTTGAAATTATATTTATCATTGCAGTGGGAACCAGTGCAGTACTTCAACAACAAGATAATTTGTGACCTTGTGGAGGAGAAGTTCAAGGGCATCATCTCCATCCTGGTTTGTACCTTTTACACTTTGATCACGTTGAAAAGTAATACCGCGTTCTCCGGATTAATAAGATGCTTGCTGTCAATGAAGTTATCCCATCGCTTGGCAAGGCTCACATGCATGCTGTTGTTGGTGCTTGTAAAATCAGTAGTGGTATGAATCTATATAATCTCTACTGCTAAATACATGTATGAATTGGACATGAATGTACACTATGCAATGTGTGTATTTAATGGCACCGTGCTTTGGATGAACCAGAATTATGCTTTTGACCAGGTTTGATAGACCTTTGTTATTATAATTTAAAATAAATATTCCACGTCTGCGTTTCAATCATATTTTTTTACACCGCATCTATTAGATTTTTCTGTAAATGTCTTGAGTAATCCTTTTTCGTTTTGACACTCGTATGTATCTTAGATTTAATTGGCAATTAAGTGTGAGCATAAGAATTGGTGTTTATTCAATTAACCAACAATTAATGATTATTATTATAATCATCTTCTGCTTGTACACCTTGAAAGCATTCGGATCATTGGCCTCGTGTAACGTGCCCAGTGACGAAGAGGGGGAGGCGCCGGGGGCCGAGGGGGGGGGGTGGTGGTGGCGGGGAACGAGGAGGGGGGAAGGATCCCTTTAATTAACCGCTCGCGTGACCCCGGCTACCACGCAGGATGAGGAGTGCCTGAGGCCAGGCGATGCAACGGACCTGACTTTCTTGGAGAAGCTGGAGAAGACGGTGGGAGAACACCCGCACTTCCTCACGTGAGCGCCCTCCACAACGCCGCTCGCAAACGACGAATTATTATGAAAGAAGAAAAATAATAACTGGAGGAATTGCGAGCTGCGTGTTGCTCTCTTGCCTCTAACCAAAATCACCCAGAATGCCAATTTTGACACCTACCGGTTTTTACGAGCATTATTTGCAATGTTTTCTGGAACACCCAGAATGCATGGATCGCGTTAATTTCTTTACCGAGTAGTTTGGTTCGTGACGCGCAACACCCTGCAGCTGTTTTTTTTATTTGATTGCTCCATGGGTTGTATAATGCGATGAGTGGAAATCAATGATCGATCGATTTTCACGTTAACTTGATCATGGTGGAAAGAAGCTCATTCGAGACGTCCATTCTGACGGAGGTGAAGTCTTTATTACTAAAGAATAACGTATTTACACGTCCATTCTGAGAGAGGTGAAGTCTTTATTACTAAAGAATAACGTATTTACACGTCCATTCTGACGGAGGTGAAGTCTTTATTACTAAAGAATAACGTATTTACATGTCTGTTCTGAGAGAGGTGAAGTCTTTATTACTAAAGAATAACGTATTTACACGTCCGTTCTGACGGAGGTGAAGTCTTTATTACTAAAGAATAACGTATTTACATGTCCATTCTGATGGAGGTGAAGTCTTTATTACTAAAGAATAACGTATTTACACGTCCATTCTGAGAGAGGTGAAGTCTTTATTACTAAAGAATAACGTATTTACAACTCCGGACGTAATTACTACCCCGCGAACAGTCAGCCCCGATGGTTTCCACCTCGTCGCTCCGCGATCAGTCAGCCCCTCAGTCAGCCGCGATGTCTGTCACCTCGTTGTTTCGCTTGTCTCGTGCGTGCCCTTGTATACCCGCTCGGCCCCGCCCTTGTCGGGTTAATGCCCTCCACCCCGCTACAGCACTTATCTTCAATGATCTGAACGTGTATTATTTATAAACTATACAGGAGCTTACTGCCACCTGTTCACAACTATCTCAACGGGTACCCTCCAGCACTTTCTCCGTACAGTAACCCCACAATGCTTACGCGTGTACGTGTGTATTTTTTACGTCGGCACAGAGGTGTGGATTTTTTTTCTTCACGTCAAACAGTTCAAGTGATTTCCCTGTGAAAATGTCTTGACAGTTTATAGCAGCTTGAATTTTTAGCGTGTTTTTTTTTTTTAGCGGTGTGATCCAGTGGTGTGTGCGCGCGTTGTCAGTGGGGAGCGGTAGTGTAGCGGTTAGCGCGCTGCGCCACAAACCCGGCGACCCCGAGTTCGACTCTTGCTCACGATTTTCTGAACCGGTCTCATCCACGAGACGAGCGTTCTCCCCTGAAATGGCCAACGTTAAGCGTAGGATCTTGAGTCCGGGACTTTTGAGAACAGGCATCTCCCGAAACTTTCTGGCCACCCCCCCACCGGAGGTGCATATACAGAAGGACCTCTCCGGGAGATCGCGAATCATGTGTGTTGTATCATGTTGCATTGGAGTAATCCAAGCATCTCTAGACACATTTTTCAGTCGTCTTGTTTTTTGAGTGTTTTAGTTTTATTTTACATTCCGTTTGGCTCGCAATCTCTAGGGACATCTTAACTTCGTTGGGATCATGTGGGTGCCCGCTGAGAAAATAGTGAATGTTCGGGGGACCTAGGGTACAATAACAAGGCGACATAAAGTTGTAATACCAAACATTACGGACGGGAAACGAACACAAACGCAATACAAAGTGAACAAGTAAAAGTAATGACAATTTCAATAGCAGAGTTACACTATCCAAAAATAAATGTTACTCGGTTTCATTTACAACTGCGCGGACACACGATTCCTCTGTCACGCAGGGTAGCAGGACTTGATGTTCATTCTTACGCGGCGTGGGGCTGTGAAGAGGCAGACTCGAACACTCGGCGTGCACCATTATGGCCTGAAAAGGAAAATGCTCACAACAGTTTCACTCGGATCTATGAGGCTAACCAGGTGGAGGAGGGGGTGGGGGGGGGTTCTGTGTCTTTAGGGTATTTGGCTCCTATACATATCCACGTGATAAGCCACTTTGTTGCTGAGCAATCATTTGTGGCCTTGTCGCTTCTTAAAAATAGCTGAAAGTTCAGTGGACTTTACCTGGTAAAATAAAGAAAACGGTTTTAGACCAGTAGTTGCCTCCACCTGATGACGATTGCTTGTCTTGCGATCGAAACGTCGCGATCTATTTCTAGCTATGTGACTTTACCGAAAGAACCAAAGAGTATAGTTTTAGAGTATTTATGTACTTGTAGTGATTTGCTTACCTTTCCTATAATTTTCACTCCTATTGTTATTTTTTCCTATCGTTTGTTGCAACTTTCCCGACTCGCCCCGTACGGGACATCCGTGAAACAAATGAGTTTCGTAGCTCATCAGGTTCCTCCAGGATTTGTAAAAATTCCCGACGATTCCGATTCTGCGTGGACGCAGGCACAAGCTGGCGGACCAAAAGACCCGCAAGACGATGGCGCGGGAAGAATTCCGCCTTCAGCATTACGCTGGGGAGGTCAACTACAACGTGACAGGTGGGGAACCCGCACCCGGCCACGAGTGGTGCGTAGAGTAGCGGACAGGGGCAGAGCCAGGATTTTCAGCCCGGGGTGACATTCAACAAATTTTTATTTCAAGAATGATTAGAGAGTCAGGCTGTTGAACTAGACGCCATCGGTTGGCGACACACTCTGACAATGCAGTTGCACGGAGTCCGCCAGACCGAGTGTCCGTACACTTATACACAGAATGTTTCAGATTTTCGATTTTTTATTTTTTTTCGGGGGTGACAATTGTCTAACCCTGTCACCCCCCCTGGCTCCGCCCCTGGTAGCGGAGCGTGTCACCGACGCCCGCGTTAGCTTGGGGCATCCACTTCTTGCTACGGAGGTAACATTGCCAGCAGAGGCCCGGTTACAAGGGAAGTAGGGTACGAGACAACGCAGAGTTGAGAAGTAACGACGGAGGTCTTTGAAGTCTCTGAGAAATTGAGGTTTAGTTTGTGTACGTGTTTTGTCGACAAGAATTCAGCGTTTGTGGACCGAAGTTCTCGAGAGAGCTGACTGTCACGTAGTTGTTGTTGTTGCGACTCGTTTACCCCTGCTAAGCAGCGTTATCTAACGGAAGCGCTGCTTTGATGTTTAATCGTATTCCGCTGCCTTGCCGTTTGCAGGGTTTCTGGACAAGAACAATGATCTGTTGTTCCGGAACCTGAAAGAGGTACTGCCGAGTTGTGTGAAATTTTCCTGGCAGGCGTTCATTCATGCACAGTCACAAATATGAATGGAGTGATTTTAATGGGAGTGATTTTTTCATGCATTTATTTTATTTTTGATACGGTGTCAAAACAACGGCCGTTGCGGTTAACCCCAAAGAACAAATAGCAGTTGCCAATACGTACCTAGGCTCGGCCTTTAATGACTACGAGACGTAGTGTCTAAATATCTACACTGGGGAAGACAAAGGTGGCCAGGTGTGGTGCTGATAACGCCACCCGCTCTCTTGTGTGCCATGCCAGCCTTCATAGGTGCCCTGGTGGCGAGATGTTAACTACCTCGCCTGGTATACAGGAGGTCGTGGGTTCGATCCTGACCCTGATGCCTGAATATTTGGAGTGTTCATCTCTCTTACTCTTTTTTTTTTCCTCCGGGTCCACCGCTTTTTCCCCTTCCCATTTATAATCGCGCGCCCCTAGAGTATTTGCCTACCGCTATAAATTTCGACGCGATGATGAGCCACTTTGTTGAGTTATAATTTGTGATTACCAGGTCGCTTCTGAAAAATAACTATATGGCTCGGTGGGCCTTGCCTGGTTTGTAAAAAAAAAAAGGTTCTCACCAACTGCACTTATAACCCCCCTGCAGTCTCTGTCGGCTCTTTGGGGGGTGGAGGGGGCCGTTGTACACGTGGCCTTGCTGCTTGCGCGTTTTGGGGGCGGGGGACCCCGTTGCTCAGGGCGTCTGTGCGTGCATCTTCCAGGCCATGGCCGGAGCGGAGAACGCCATCCTGAAGCAGTGCTTCCAGCGCAGCGAGCTGATCGACAAGAAGCGCCCGGAAACGGTGATGACTCTACTCACCGCTTCGCCGCACGTACACGCCCGCGGTTTGGCGCGACTTTGTCATCATGCCAGCAGCGGTGACGCCAGTGTAACGGTGCGAACGAGCCGACGCCGTTATGTAAATACGCTCGGGGTGCGATATGAATCGTTTTTATCGGCACGTGCGTAGCGATCAGTTGGAGGGTTTTCCCTTCATAAAGTGAAGCTCTCTTGGAGCTCTTTCCTCGCAATAATTATTTTTCATGATTACAACCTCGTCAATCATTTTTTTATGTATATGTTTGCTCAATTGTGTTTTGGGCACACAATAATAATTCACCCCTACCCAGCGATCGGATAAGATTCGTCACGATCTGAGATTGCGATTGAGTACAATAAGCTAGTCTTTTTTCTACCACATGTATTTAACTCAATCTCACCGGATCTCAAAAGCTAAGCAGAGTTTGAGCTTGGATAATGCATGGATGGGCGACCACCAAGCATGGCGGGGTTGCCGATAGGTTGTGGGGCATTGTGGTTGGGCAGCAGAGGGCAGTTGCAGCAAAATTAATTCGACCATACTTCCATGCTCGCGTATCTGTATCTCCTCGCCTTCATCAGTCCATACTGTGACCAGCGTGGTGAAGTATTGTCGATTAACCCCCACGACCCGCACGGCGTGGCGAGGCCCTAACCCGGCAGGCAAGAGGTTTGACGAGAGGCGGTGCGCGTGTGCACCGGGCAAGAGTCGTTGAGTCTGAACCGCCGCGTGCCTGGAATCGTTGTGGTGGGACAGGCGGCCACGCAGTTCAAAGGCAGCCTGGCACAGCTGATGGAGATCCTCATGTCCAAGGAGCCGTCCTACGTGCGCTGCATCAAACCCAACGACGCCAAGCAGCCCAGTGAGTGCCGCTCCAGGCCTACCTCGATCATCGTCGTCGTCATCATCGTCAGCCGTGATCTATCCACTGGTGGATGGAGGGCCCTTCCCAAGCCATAACCATCTCTTAGTTGTCCTGCGAGACCCCTCCCCCTACCCTTGTTACACAAACACTCTCCCATGATTGTCGACCGCATCCACTCCCAGCGGGCTCCATCCGTGAACGGACTTGCACATGAGAATCAAAACGTAGAATTAGCCTAAATCCGGACGTTGTGTTTTTCATACACCACGCTCGCGTATGATCTCAGCGCCTGGGATGAAATGCTGTCTCGTGCGCCCCCCCCACCCCCGCCGCCGCCACGCGTGCGCTCTCTGCAGACAAATTCGACGACGTGCTGATCCGCCACCAGGTGAAGTACCTGGGTCTCATGGAGAACCTGCGTGTGCGCAGGGCTGGCTTCGCCTACCGCCGCAAATACGACGCCTTCCTCAACAGGTAACCAACCGCCCGTCGCTCCTACCGGCGGGGGGCTTTTTTGTTGTTCCCGCGAAACTTCACTCAGCCTCGATTCCTCAATCCGTTTATTGAGGATTTTTTTTTCTTTTTTTTGTTACTTTTTTTTTTTACTTTTACTTTTTATGGGATGCCGTATGACGTTGCCTTTGTGTGCCCGGGCCAGGTACAAGTCTTTGTGCCCAGAGACGTGGCCCACGTGGCGTGGGCCGGAGGTTGAGGGCGTTAAGCGCCTGGTGAAGCACCTCAACTACCGGCCGGAGGAGTTCAAGATGGGCCGGTACGCGCGCCTCTCAGCCACGACCCAGCAATCTTCCACTCGTCTTATTTCCCTGTTCTTATGAGAATTGTGGTGGTTACCCATCCATCTCCTTTGATGATCCTGAATCATTTGTGAAATTTGAACATTTCTATGGAGGAGGGTACGAGTCTATCCAATGACCTCTTCACAACGCCAACGTGGCACTTAAGAACGCGAGAGAGTGACAACAATGATACGTTTCACTTAATTTTTTTTACGTTTTAAGTGTGAACGTCTTGCAATCGCGTAAGCGTTGTGCCCATGAGGTGCACTCACCTTGCACGCAAGGTTCTGTTTGGAATAAACCCTATACATAAGACCACCCTATGCATAAGGACATCCTCCTGTTGAGGCAGCCGACTTATATCAGACACCGTCTGTGGATGGAAACGGCACTTATTTTACAAGAGCCCAATGTCCACCATTTGGCGTGTTCAAAATACGAGGTTTTATTTTCCGAACGAGTTCTTTCGTGAGGGTGTTTCTGATGCCGACCACCGCCTGCCCCTGGGGAATTGCTTCCAGAATCAGAATCTTTTATTTAGGCCCGCAGGAGGAATCCGATGAGCTCTGAAGCTCTTTTACTCGCAGATGTCCCAGTCGGGGAGGGTCACACTTACAGATGTTTGAAACGCGTGTACAGACTTCGCTGGCAACGATATATATGCACGGAATTGTGTGTGGTTTTCTTTTTAAACTTACTTTTACAGGTCCAAAATCTTCATCCGGTTCCCAAAAACCCTGTTTGCGACGGAGGATGCGTTTGAAAAGCGAAAGCACGGCATAGGTGAGTGAACACCTCGGGATCGCCTTGCCTGGTCGCTTCCACTTATTATGGCCGTTTAACAAATTAACATAACGGGCAGTGGTTGCTCCCGAGGCTCTCTCTGTTTGTCGATGAATAAACGGACGACGGTCATTGACAATCCCTTCGTCGATCCGCTGCTGGATGAAGGCCACGTCACGCGCCGTGTGTTCGAGTCGGCGTGGTCTTGAGGGAGCAGGCGGGGTTCAGATATCGCTCACGGGCAACGATTACCGTGCGGGGTTAAGTGCACAGTGTTGAATGTGAGAACAGTGTTGTTAGCCACCTATGCCACGGCGCCACCATAGTTGTCGAGCTTGCGAGCACTGGGGCGTCACGATCTCGATGCCTTGGCATCGCCGTGAATCCAAAAAAGTTACATTTGCTCAGTTTGTTGTCCCCCCCCCCCGCTCCTCCAATTAGCACGGTTGGCTACGTACGATGCGAAAGACGTTCAACGTACATTCATGCGTACATTTTAATATTGTGTGCGTACATCGTTTAAATGTTACGCGCTTACGCGCAACGATTGGACTCGTGTATCGCGAGCGGGTTCGGATGGACGTTGACAGACCCGCGCGCTCGTGTTGTCCTGCAGTGACCACTGTGCAAGCGGCGTACCGTGGACACTACCAGCGCAAGAAGTTCCTGAAGATGCGGACTGCATGTGAGTGGGCCGCGCGTCAACACGCACCTCACTCAGAGGAGCGACGCGGCTCGTCGCTGTGGCCCGATGTTCCCCTCCCCCTTACTCGCTCACCCCGGTCCCCTCTGCCGTTATTGCATCGCTTGGCACTGCTTCTTCGTCGGTGTTAAACGTCACACTTTGTTGACCCCAGACCCCCACTCTGCCGGCATCTTTGCCGACCCTTGCGCCGCGGCTTGTTTGGTTTTTAGCCGGACGTGTCGTGTGATGTTACGCCTCCGCCGGTCCATCGCGCAACGAGGCAAGGGATCGGTCGATCTTGTTCGTTTGGGGAAACTCTCACGCCGTGAACTCGTCCGCGTGGACGTCTTTAGGCTTTCGTGGTCCCCCTCATACTACGGGTCGTGGATGTTTCTCGAGCTCCTGCCGTTTCCGTCCATACGCGGGAGTTTCCCTTGACGAGGAATTTGCCAAACATCCCAAAGGCAGGAGGGGGACATCCTTTGACGAAAGAAGCTTGAGACTCAGTGGGGATTTCCGGCCTGAATGGCATTATGTTACTCATCGACCACTACTTTTTTCCCCACAAGGCGAAGAAGATGCGTCATGTTTATTTTTAATCGGCACGGTCGTCTTCGGTTCTAATGTTCGCGTACTACGGATATAGTGACGCGATCCAACTTCTCCGTCGCATGACTCAGCTCGGCTCACTCTTACCACTCACATCCCCTTCGTGTCCTGTTACGGTTTCGTTCTGTCGGTAATCTAAGCTATCGTGCATCAGATCTGGCCGATGGGCGCAGCAAGTCACAGCTTCGTGAGAATGTCCACGAGTGGGAGTTGAGGCGGTACGGATGTGGGCGGCGTGTGACGTGTGTGAGTGCATTACTGCAAGGTGCCTGGGAGGGGCAAGTGGTGTATTATTCCCTGGACGTGTGTGTAGTGACACCTGACACGGTCGTCTTCATTAATAGGAGTCTTTATTTCTTCCAGCACGAGAGAGACAGTCTTCAAAGATTCCCTTCACTCCAAGCGTCTCGAGCTCTCGCGTTTCCCCCCTCCTTATATATCCCTCAAGCCCCTTTCTCGAAGGTTCCTTGACCCACTTTCCCTCCAGCCAATCACCTTCCCACTTTCTCTAACGGATACCAACCGACCTCCTTGTCAATCATCCTCTGTTTCCCGCCATTTTCATTTTGAATTTCTCCTCCAATCCACTTAATCAATTTCCCCGCCTCTAACCAATCCCCATCCAGGCCCGTTAAGTACCAATCAGAGGGCTTTGTTTTTTTTATGTTCACCACGTCAGGTGGGTATCGTTGGTCGTGACACAATCTCAACACGTGTAAATCCACCCAACCAGGGCAGTCACCTCACCACCGTGTGCAAATCTAACGATTTGACGTTGCAAATGAATCGCTGGCAGCAGTCACAAATGCGTGACTCGCCAAAATGGGGAGCTGTGTGTAGAGCGTCGTGTGACCTGCCAATTTACCAAGCCCAGCGGCGGGCCGTCGTGAACGCAGAGCGGTGTCGGAAGATGAGCATGTCCCGTCCCAAGAACGGCGGCTTGGCACGCGCGAGCACACAACGCGTGCAGTTGGCCAACGCAACAAGCACAACACGCAAGGGAAACACGGCGTTCACGACGCCGCAGATCTACTGCACGTTGTATTCGTAGCGATAATAGTCTTCAGTTTTGTACTGGCGTCGTGCATGCAAATTCGCACCTCGCATTGGCTTGAGGAAGCTGGAAAGCGGCGAAGCGGCGAGTAGGCACCAACAGTTGCGCGGGGCTCTGTGTAGTCTTTTTTCATTGATTTGGTTTAATTCACGAGTGCGTTTACGCACGTCGGAGGAAACGGGAGCACCCGGGAGAACACCCACACGTGTGAGAGGGAGCAACGCACTATCCCATACGGAAGGGATAGATTGACTACCTCGCCTGGTGTGCAGTAATTCATATTCTTAGTTTTTTCGGTAAAGTCACGTTGAAGAGAAACAACAAAATAATAAAATATATATAAAACAATAAAAAATTCTCACGACGTTTCGACCATAACTCAAACGGTCATTTTCAGGTGTGTTGGTTTGCATAAATTTATTTTTAAACGGCGCATTTATTTATTTATAAAAAAACCGTTAGCGTCACGTGCAGCGATTTGGCAGTTTACCCAGGACTAGTCCATCTATATTTTGAAAAGAGGAGGGGGGAGACGAAATTTTTTATAATGTATGCTGTCTGAAAGCCAATGTAAGCGTGAACAATCAATTAAGAACTGAAATGGTTTATCAAATCTTTCCAATGATTGCTAAGATAGAATCCATCTTCTCGGTTGAAATTGTCTCTGTGCTTGTATATGTGGATAGCCTCATGAACGAATCTCTCATGTGACTTTACCGAAAAAACTAAGAATATGAATTACTGCAGTCACGAAAGCTTTAAATCAAAAATGGTGTGCAGTAGGTCGTGGGTTCGATCCCGACCCTGACGCCTGTGTACGTGGAGTTTGCATGTTCTCCCCGTGGTCGCGTTGATTTTTCTCCGGGTCATCCGGTATTTCCCGTCCACATTTAGAAACTTGCTTTTAGAGTATTTGGCTGCTATACATTTCTACTTGACAAGCCACTTCGTTGAGCTATCATTTGTGGTCAGGTCGCTTCTGAAAAATATCTATGGAGCTCAGTGGGCCTGACCTGGTAAAAGAAAAACAGTTTAATTTTTTAAATAGTTTTATATTCGTCAAATTGTGAGCTCTGATTTATGGGGGAGGGGGGACAGATCATCTGACTGTGGTCATCCAGAACAGAGACTGTACAACGTAGAACGATGCGATGCCCGGTCCACAAATACGAAGGAGACATCGTCACGGCGATACACCGCTGCTCCTGACGCGGTCGTTTGCGCTTGGCCACTTGAATGTGACATTGTAGTTGTCGCTCTGCATCGACATCAGCGGCCGTACTACGAGAAGAAAGCTGAGTGATTGTCGATGCCGTAATAAAGATGCACCCAATTCGGGGCATGCCTCCACACACGTTGCTGCAAAATTTCTCGCAGCTGGGGGGACCAGTGACAATTTCCCTCGCTGCCTGCGCAAGATGTGATTTGCCTAATGATATCATGAAGTCTGTTCAAAACAATGCGGGTCGTCATTTGGATCTTTGTCATGTCGACTTAACTTGATTTGTTGGTCTCGTTCAGTATAACGATCGTATCGGTCTCGTTCAGTACATGTTTGCGTGTGATTCACTCCAAGTGTGCACTTGGAGTGAATGTGTGATTGTTCACGTGTGCTGTATGTGGTGGGGCGGTGGTGCAGTGATTATCGCGCTGCGTAACGAACCCGGTGAGCCGGGTTCCATTGGGCCAATGTCGGTGGTGATTATTTGGAACCGGTTCTGGGCCTCTGCTCGGTCGACTCTCAAATGGGTACCTGGAGCAGTGTATAAACGTCAGCACTGGTGACACAAAGACAGCGAGGCGTGGTGCTGGCCTACACCACCTCCTCATGAGTTATGCTTGCCTTAATAGGTATTCGCAAGTACCACTTGCCCCAACACTCAAAGTCTGGGTATTGCATGTGTGTGTGTGGGGAGCGGTAGTGTAGCGGTTAGCGCGCTGCGCTATGAACCTGCCGACCCGGGTTCGAACACCAGTGACGATTATCTGAACCAGTCCCGGGCCTCCCCTAGGTCGACTCAGCCTCAAATGAGTACCTGGCGCGGTGGCTAAAAACATTGCCACTAGGGAGACAAAGGCGGTCGGGCGTGGTGCTGGCCACCCACCCCCTTGTGTACCGTTCCGGCCTTAAGAGGTGCTCGCTAACAGAACTTACCCCAACAGTCTGTTAAAGGCTATATTGGGGGGGGGGATATTTGTCTTTTTTGTGTGTTTACGCCTACGTGGGGCATTGTACATTTCGCGTGTGTGCAGCTATTGCGGTGCAGGCGTGGTGGCGCGGTCTCCTGGCACGCAGGCATGCGGCACGCCGGCGCTGGGCCGTGCTGGTCGTGCGCAAGTGAGTTGTTTGCTCCCTTCCGTTCATTGCCATCACCACTACCGTCATTATTCAAACGGTCTCCGGGAGGGGGGGCGGGGGCGCCTCGAGACCACCCCATGGCCTCGAGGACATCGTGTGGCCTCGGTCCCAGGACTTGGCTTCAAGGCACACCAGCCTTGACACAGGCCTCGGGCCGAAAGGAATCCGGCCCTGACTTCGATATAAGAGAGGATCTTGGCCCTGTAGCTCCAGGCCTCGGCCTTGGCCTCGTAGGTCTGCCGGGCCTTCAGTCCAAGCCTGTGTTCGAACGTAGGTTTTGTTTTAATATTCCCGGTTTAAGTTCCCCTTCGGCTACCGGCGTCATGTCACGACGTTACGTAATGTCGGAGGATCTGCCCCCAGAAGGTGACGTCGTCTCTGAAGTCCGTTTAGAAAGCCTTGTCTTATGCCCTGTAAAAGTTTTTCGATATCGAGACAAAACGGTTGATCTTCCTTCTGTTAAAAACAAGTTTAATGGAGTGCTTTCAATGCGGTCATTGGTGACTGAGATGATATCATCAACCTACTACAATTAAGAACGCAGTTTAAATTCAGGGTGGCTAAAACCAGGAACGCATGATCTCAGCAGTGACCACACAGTGTTTTGATATCATAACTATACCATTGAGCAACCTTGACACATCTTAAATTGTCATTTAAAATGTGTACCAACTCGCTTTTGTACCATACCTTGAAAATTATAATGTCAAGCTGTTAAATTTTTTTCTGCTATGAGTAAGTTTTTGGAACAGAATTACCATGCATAGGCAAAATATCTGACCTCTCCTAATCATTCAGGAAATATGTTCCTTTCATAAGCACTGTCGGGTGCCACAGTGGCCAGGAGATGTTAACTACCTCGCCTGGTATACAGGAGGTCGTGGGTTCGATCCCGACCCTGTGACGCCTGCTGCTGTATATTTGGAGTTTGCGTGTCTCTCTCTCTCTCTGTGGTCACATTGATTTGTCTCCGGGTCCTCCGGTTTTTCCCTCCACATTTAGAATCAATATGCCTTTCGAGTATTTGGATGCTGTAAAATTTTCGACACGATAAGCCACTTTGTTGAGTCATTGTTTTCTGGCCAGGTTGGCCAAGAGCTATATAGCTCAGTGGAGCTATATAGCTCTTTAGTTGCTTTAAATTTTAATGATGACTATAAGTTAACGAGAAGATTCCCACCTTTCATATTCACCTTCACATCCACCAGTTTGCGTTTGTGAGGAAGCTGCGAGGCGTTTGTGTAAGTGGTTCCGCCGTCGTGCCCGCCCGCCCGCCCGCGCGTCGTTCAGGTTCGTCAGCGGATTCTCCCACCGCCACAAGCCGCGGTGCCCCGAGAACGCCGACTTCCTCGACTTTGTCCGCGTCTCCTTCCTGCAGCGCCTGCGCTCCCAGCTGCCGCGCAGCGTCCTCGACAAGGCCTGGCCGGTGCCGCCCCCTGCGCTCGCCGAGGTAGCCCTGACGCCCCGCCGTGGACAGCGCTGCGCGTGGGAGGGGAGAGAGGGGGAGAGAGAGGGTGTGGGGGGGGGCTTCCTTTTCTTAACCCCTCCTTAAAGAGAGGTGAAGGTGCAGGCCTAAAACGGACATCCTTGTGCCACTGTTGGCAGAAGGACCTTCACTCGAGGAGGGGGGAGGAGGCAGCTCTCGATAGAGAGTCCCTCTGTGAAGTATTTTGGCCTAGCCCTTCCATGTTGGTCAGACATCTTGGAAGATAAGGGAGTACCGGGTCAAGGACTGGTCAACTGCCGATCGACTAACCGTGGTGAACTCATTCATACTGCTGCGTGGACAGAGTTTGAAAGAGGTGTGGCGGGTCTTGCCCCATTGTGTTAACTGCCGCCCCGAGAGACCAAACTGGTGTGACCTCTGCACTGCGCAAGTCCGGTGTGCTCACCGTCGCACCACGGCAGCTCCTCCCTTCTTGGCGGAGGCACACCGTTTCGACCCATCACGGTTTACCCCGAGTTCTCTTGCACAGGGAAATCGAGTTTTCAGGTCCATACGGCATACCGCCGTTTCAATTCGGGCAAAAAACATTGCCTATTTGTTTGTGTTTCTCCCTTGTGATGGGACTTTGTAGGATAAACTTTGAGAGTTATAAAGGCACGGGGTGACCAATAAGTTCTGAATTGGTTTTGTAATAATGTAGGGCACTGGTAAGGGCTTGACAGCTATGTGGAGGGTGCCTGGAAAATTAATCGTGTGGTCGCCGTGTGGCTCAGAGAGGGTTTGATGCACCGGGTTCTCAAGTCTAGAGGGTGACGGTCTCGGCCCGGTCACCATTGACTGCAAAAAAAATCCCGCAATATCAAATTTAGTTCTCCCGTTAAATTTGCATATATTACCACTCTTAAGAATGAGGAAAAAAAAGTTGGCTTCGCTGCCGAGCGACAAACGTTATTCTCTGCAGCATTTCCTTATTACACGCATATCGTGGTGCTGTCACGTGCTGTCACGTGACATGCAAGGCATGATGGGAGGACCGATCCAATGGTCACAGTTGTGCCTTTTGCCGACGAATAAATCACCTCGTGCAGTGTGGTATCTCTATTTGTTTGTTTTCAGCCTGCACACACGCTGGAAACAACTGCTAATACTTTAGTTTATGGAAAGTATTAGCATTGGGCTTTTTTTACAATGCAATCAAGATAGCACAATTACAAACACTTCTTGAATTGTGACCCTGAATCCACAGCACCTTCGTACGTTTTGCCGTTTTGGGTGTGCATCTCTTTTTAAGCCCATGTATTCCGGCGTGAAGTAAATACAGGCTTTATTTGTTGTACTTTAAATGTTTGACACTGCTCCTCGGTCGGTGTTGTTGCCGCTGCTGCAGGCCTCGGATCAGCTGAGGACACTGTGCATGCAGAACATGGTGCGGAGCTACTGCAAGAAGATCAGCCCCGAGCACAAGCGACAGGTGAAGGAGCACGACTCGTGTGCGCTTTGCGGCACGTGGCAGCGGCAGCAGCGGCAGCAGCGTGGACTGGCACGAGCAGCACCACGTGTGTGCAAGCAGTCTGACTGATTGATGTGAAGTGTTCGGTCCTGAACATCGCTCCCCTCCCCCCTCCACCACCCCCCCCCCCACCCCCCCCCCCCCCCTTTAACACTGATCGGCAATGCTGCTGAGGTGTTGGGTCAAACAAGTGCTAATGACCGACACAATGTGGGAAGGCTTTCATCATTTGGTCCATGACGCCAGCACTCCATTGCCTACCCATTTAGAATGACATCAGGGTATCCTTAACCACCACTGTGAAGCAGAGAGGGCCGTGTGTTTCAATGGTTAATGCACTCGCAGTGTTAACCAGGGGCGGCCTGCCGGATTCGGACCACGATCCTCCTGCTACAAGCGGCGAACACCCTTCCCCCGCTGCGCCATGTCACCGCCCCAGACACGCACGTGATGTGTGCGACAGGCTCGTCACACCGATTGACTGGTAGGTGTTGGTTTTTGCTGGTGGTGTGTGCACGTAGCTGGAGCAGAAGGAGTTGGCCAGCAGGCTCTTCAAGGGACGCAAGGACAACTACCCGCAGAGCGTGCCCAAGCCGTTTGCAGACACTCGACTGAGTACGTAGTCTCGCACGCGCAAAGACAAAGAGCCCCCTCCCCGTTATAGCCTTCAGCACGCTTTTGGGGCAAGTGCTGTTAGAGAACACCGATGAAGGCCGGCACGGCACACGAGGTGGTGGGTGGCCAGCAGCACCACGCCCGACCGCCTTTGTGTCCCCAGTGGCGATGCTTACACATCGCACCAGGTGCTGATTTGAGGCGGAGTAGATCCTAGGGGAGCCCGAGGACCGGTTTAGATAATCGTCACTGGTGTTGGCCATGAACGGGACTCCAACTCGGGTCGCCGGGTTTTGTAGCGCAGCGCACTAACCGCTACACACGTGAGCACGTACGCTCACACATAGACAAAGGTCCGCCGTATAGCCTTTACAGGCTTTTGGGGCAAGTGCGGTTAGAGAGCACTTGTGAAGACCGCCAAAGGCACACACGGAGGTGTGTGGTTAGCACCATGCCCAGTCACCTCGTCTCCCAAGTGGATCTCACAATCGCCACCGGGTACTCCGTTAAGTAACCACCCACACATTCATGCAGACACCGCCAGCCACCTGTCCCCTGTTGTAAGAGTATGCCTAGGACTTCGATTGTTTTGCGTACGTTTTGTGTCGAATAGAACTCTGCGTTTGTTTGTTTTTTTAACTTAATAGCCACTTAAAACGATGTAAATCGTCTTGTTTTACAGATAACAGTGACATCAACCCTAAAGTCCTGCAAGCAATTGGCAACAGCAAAGTCAAGGTAATATAATAAAGACAAAGATCCCCCATATAGCCTTTAAGACTGTTTGGGCAAGTGCTGTTAGTGAGCACCTATTAAGGCCGACACGGCATACTGGGGGGTTGTGGCCAGCACTGTACCTCACTGTCTTTGTCCTTAGTGCTGATGTGGACATGCTACACCAGGTACTGATTTTAGGCTGAGTTGACCTAGGGGAAGCCCCATGACCAGTTCAGATATTTGTCACCAATGTTGGTTGTGAGCGGGAATCAAACTCGGATGGTTGGATTCGTAGTGAATTGAATTAAGAGTCACAGAGTGTTGTGATCGGTTCATAGAAACCCTGCAGCCACACGATTTTACGTCCTCCACAAAAAGCAAACTGATAATCGATTCTTGACTAGGATCGTGACCCACGATCGCCCAATTCTATGAATCACTGCGGGGGTGAATGGCGACACAGGGCAGCAGACACACATGTGGCACCATCAGCCCGTGACACCCAGTATATACATACAGGGCAGCAGACACACATGTGGCACCATCAGCCCGTGACACCCAGTATATACACACAGGGCAGCAGACACACATGTGGCACCATCAGCCCGTGGCACCCAGTATATACACACACACAGGGCAGCGGACACACATGTGGCACCATCAGCCCGTGACACCCAGTATACACACACAGGGCAGCAGACACACATGTGGCACCATCAGCCCGTGGCACCAAGTATATACACACACACAGGACAGCGGATACACATGTGGCACCATCAGCCCGTGACACCCAGTATACACACTCAGGGCAGGAGACACACACGTGGCACCATCAGCCCGTGGCACCCAGTATATATACACACACAGAGGGCAGCGGACACACATGTGGCACCATCAGCCCGTGTCACCCAGTATATACACACAGGGCAGCAGACACACATGTGGCACCATCAGCCCGTGGCACCCAGTATATACACACAGGGCAGCAGACACACACGTGGCACCATCAGCCCGTGACACCCAGTATATACACACAGGGCAGCAGACACACACGTGGCACCATCAGCCCGTGACACCCAATAAAAACACACAGGGCAGCAGGACACCTTACGGCTGAGTGTTTCTTCGCCGTGCCACCAAACAAAATCAGTCGCTCACTCGCGTGACGGCGTGTGCTGCTCGTTTCCCTCTCGCGCAGTACGGCGTGCCGGTGACCAAGTACGACCGGCACGGCTACAAGCCGCGCGTGCGGCAGCTGCTGCTGTCGGACCAGGTCGTCTACGTGGCGGAGGAGGGAAAGCTGAAGCAGAGCATCGACTACAGCCAGCTGGCCGGTGAGCACCTCGCAGCACGCTCGGCTCGGCACAAACCGGTTTGGCTTTGTGCAGCGCACAGATACAAGTGCATCTCGAGACGCTTCGCACACGCAGCACAAAGACCCCCCCCCGCCCCGTGTAGCCTTTAGCGGATTGTTGGGGCGAGTGCTGTTAGCGATTGTAAATTGTAAATGTTGCGGGTTTACTCTCTAACACACCGGTGTGCTGAACCAGTAACGAGTTGGCACGTTTCGTTTACGTGACAAACCCTACTAATTGGCTGTCGCTGGCCGGCGGGTTTAACGACACATTTATATTTATGCGATGTAACCCAAAAAACCTCTGTTATAGCGAGCACCTAATGCAGGCTGGCACCGCACACGAGGGGGTGGGTGGCCAGAACCACTCGCGACCACCTTTGTCTCCCTAGTGGCAAAGTATACACACTGCGCCAGGTACTCATTTGAGGCTGAGTCGACTTTGGGGAGGAGGACCAGGACCGGTTCAGACAATTGTCACTGGTGTTGGTCATGAGCGGGAATCGAACTCTGGTCTCCGGGTTCGTAGCGGTACACTACCGCTCCCCACACACACGCGCACACACGCACACACGCACGGACAGACGATGGGACGCCTGACAATGTTTTGCCGTGCTTCTAGGCGCACAGAGGCAAGGTGCACAGACAACAGCGTGGTTTCATTTCATGTTACGTGCACTTTGTTTTGCACTTCGGCCTGTGACACCCAAATCACCTGGAACGCGCACCCAGTCTTATTGAGATGTCGGGAGCGAATCAGGGTTCGATGGCTGTGCCTAGATATTATGACCGGCAATCAAGGATGAGAAAGTGTTCTGCTGCAGACACTCTCATGCCTGTGTAAGCAAAGCATGCTTGTGCCTATGAGTGCACACGTGTACACATGCATGTGAAGTCACCTTTACAGGACAGTATATACAGGGACTTCTCTACTTACGAACGAGTTAGGTTCCAGAGGTTATGTTCCTAAGTCCATTTGCTCGTAAGTCCAACTTTACTCCTGTCGATTCCAAACATGTTGTACGGCATGTACACTAAACACGGGGAATTGGTTTACACGTTATATAATCTCCTGTAGATGTAGATGCCACTGGTTCGTCACGTTCTGCAGACGTAGATGCCACCACCGCCATCTATTGCGCAGGAGTTGAACTTGCGACTTTCGATCCGAACAGGCAACTGAACATACGGACCAGGTTTGTTCGTATCTCTGAAAGTTAATAAGTCGAATGTTTAAAAGTAGAGGAGTCCCCTGTACCGCATTTGCCTAAACACACGCACGCACACCCTAAAAACAAATGTGTTTTTTTTTCTTATCTAGTTAGTCTTGAAATGCTACCCATATCATTGGCTCTTTGATCGTCTTGTTAGCCCGTGGCCATGTCAATAACGAATGCATATTCAGTCCTTTATACCAGGCGTGTAAACCGAACACCTCGTTTGTTTTCATTGCTCACTTGTCAAATACTCTGCACTGACCACACCCAGTCGAGTCACACTTTGCTGCATTTGCTCTTGCGACTTAGACAATTCCCATATTCTATAAATTATGAGATGATCCGGAATGTAAGACGCCCGCCCGCCTGCCCGTCCCCCTCAATCAAATGAAACTGATTTTTTTTTCTCTACCAGGCAAGGCCCACTGAGCTGTATATAGCTCCTTCTCAGAAGCAACCTGGCCATCACAAATGATAGCTCAACGAAGTGGCTTATCAATGTGGAAATGTATAGCAGAAGCCAAATACTCTAAACGCGTGATGTTGATTCTAAACGTGGAGGGGAAAATCCGGAGGACCCAAAGAAAAATCCACGCGACCGCGGGGAGAGGGAGACATGCAGACTCCAAATATACAGCAGGAGTCAGAGTCGGGATCGAAATCACAACCTCCTGTAGACCAGGCGAGCTAGTTAACATCTCGCCACCGCGGCGCCCACATTTTAAGTTACACAAATTTAGCCACACATCTGCCGGGTTATACTATGCACCCCCCCCCAACCTTTACAGGGGGGGGGGGACGTGCATGTCATTATAATCGTTAATTAGCGGTAATAACCAGCAAAGTTGTACAAAAATACTCAAGAGGCGTGTGCTGGTGTGGGTGGATTTGTGATCAATAACGATGGACGACGGTCCGTCTTGCCACTCTTTGACCTTTCAACGCCGTTGTTTTTCCAGCAGCATTTCTTTCACGAGCCTCACTGCTGATGAGATTCGGAAGTTCAAAACCAGCCCGCAGTTTGCTTGCGTAAAAAACATTTTGAGGAATAATATTTGTCTGCAGAGTCAACAGACTGATGGACTAAAATACATATTTGAATGCATGCGTGTGGAGCATTGAACAGGCGTGTGTGTGTGTGTGTGCCTGCGTGCGTGTGTACTCGCGTTCCTGTCTGACAGGCATCTCGGTGAGCTCGTTGAGCGACGGTCTCTTTGTTCTCCACGTGCCTTGTGAAGACAACAAGCAGAAGGCAAGGCCTGCACCCAGTCGCACTTCGCAGCCTTTTGCATTTCCTCTTTTTTTTTAATGTGACCAGAGAAATACTGATATTGACCAACGCCATTTCCTCTTCTCAATGGCCCAGCACGAGATAACCAAGAGGGGATGACAGAGTTCACGTTCGCATCGCGGAATTTTTAGTCGCGCAATCTTTCACGAGTCCTCTCAACAGAGTCAGGCCTTAGCCTCAAACTCCGTCAAGAGATGTCTCTTCTCCCTCCTCATTCTCCTCCCCCCCTCCAAAATCCCCTTCACCTGGCGCTCACCTGTGAGAACGTGGCCCCAGTCGAACACGGTGTCGCCTCTTGCCGTCATTGAATCATTATAATAATAATACAGCCTAGGAAGGTGGGACTAAAGTTAAGTGAGATTGCAATGAACAGATTTGTAATTTTATTTTGTACATTACCTTACCAATGGCAATGTATGTTTGAAATGAGACACGTATGAGTGGTCGCTGAAACAATTGATTTAAATGTTTGTATGTATGTCAATAAATATATATGTGGGGAGCGATAGCGTAGCGGTTAGCGCACTGCGCTATCAACCCGGCGACCCGAGTTCGATTCCGGCTCACGGCCAACATCAGTGACGATTATTTGAACCGTTCCTGGACCCCGCCTAGGTCGACTCAGCCTCAAATGAGTACCTGGTGCGATGTGTAAATACATCGTCACTAGGGAGACAAAGGGCGTGGTGTTGGCCCACCCACACCCCCTCGTCGTGCCGGCCTTCATAGGTGCTCGCTAACAGCACTTGCCTCAACAGTCTATTGCAGGCTATACGGGGGAATCTTTATCTTAGTTTTTTTATACGTGTGTATGTATGTATGTATGCATGCAGGAAGCACAATTGAATGATGAGTTTTGAGACGAGGTTCTGCTGTGTCCTCCCGTGTGTCTCTCGTGTGTCCCTCGTTTGCACCGCTCCCTGTGGGCTCGTGCAGGGAGACGTGGTGCTGCAGAGTGACTACATAATCGAGACGCTCACCAAACTCGCCATGATCGCGAAGAAATCGGACAACATCAACATCACCCAGGGCAGGTGTGTCGGCATTTTACAGCACCACACGGACATGTGTACATGTGTACGTGCGTGTGTACGTGCGTGCCTACGTGCGTGCGTATGTGCGTGCGTGTGTACATACGTACTGTATGTTGAACTTCTTTTTTCACACCGTACGTAGCCAACTGTCAATCGATCGTGTAACACCGTCGCTAGAGTCGTGCATATGGTCGGGAAACATAGCAGAGGGCAACCTGTGAGGACGTTCACAGCAGGGGGGGCAACGTTTCCGCTATGCGTAGTCCCAACTGAGTAATTCTGCAGGTCTCAGTTTCAGCGTTGGGATGTTGAGCCAACAGCAGTTACGTGGCGTGCTGCCTTAGCCTTGGAAGGAAACCGGAGACGCCCCGGAGAAAACCCACGCGGAACAAGGGGAGAAGGTGCAAACCCCACGCGGGGAATCGAACCTCGCCACCCGAGGAGAAAAATCCGAGTGGCGCGCCGATGCCCCCCCTCCCCCCCCCCCCCCCTGCGCTATCACAGCGGCGCGGTTGCGTCGCCGTGTGTTCCACGCGGCGAACTTGCCGATCGCAGTCTCCTGATCCGTGTCCCGTGGTGCGTGCTGTGTTGCGCGCACGCGCGCGCCCTCTCTCCCGTTGTGTGGCGCAGCATCAAGTTCAGCTCTGGGCCGGGCAAGGAGGGAACCATTGAGTTCTCGTCGGGCTCGGAGCTCATCGTGGGCAAGGCAAAGAATGGTCACCTCTCGGTGGTGAGTTGAACCTGCACGCTTGGGAACGCGTCGCTGCCGGCGGGCATGTGACAATTCACGCCACTCACTCCACATTAATTCTATGAATTGTTATCATTCTGGGTCATGAATTGGTACCATTCTGGGTCATGAATTGGACACCATTCTGGGTCATGAATTGGACACCATTCTGGGTCATGAATTGGTACCATTCTGGGTCATGAATTGGTACCATTCTGGGTCATGAATTGTTACCATTCTAGGTCATTATTCCAGTCCTAAGAATTATTTGTTTTTATTGATGCCATGTTTGTAATGCAGCGGTCGGGAACCTGCGGTCTCTGGCTTGAATTCATATGGGCCGTCTCCGCACGAGGCTTACCACATACAAAGTGCCCGCAAAGCGATATTTGTCCGTCGCTTCGTGCATCATAGCTGAACTCGTTGGGTACGACGGGAATATTTTGATCCTGTCGGCACAGTTTACTGTTTTTAATGTGGCTGCAAGAGGCCCTTGCCATGACAGAAGTGACGAGGGTGTCAATGCGTGGCTAGCCCACCACAGGCCCACCACAGGTACGTGGGGACCAGGTTTCCAACTCGAGTAAACAGCCAAAAAAAACGTTTTGATCACTTTGCCACTGTTTATATTTTGTTAGCGATGAAGACACCGGTCATTAACATTTTTACAACAACAATAAAAATCAAGATGGAAATGAACGTCCGTCGAGATCAGAATTTGGCCCACGGTCGTGTTACACAGTGGGAAGTGGCAACCGGAGTCGGTATCAGGCGGCTCACAGGAGCGTCATCGCACCCACGTGCGACACTCCCTTCTGCGCTGTCTCTGCTCGGGCAACTTAAACGACACGTTTGTCAAAATTGTATCTCAAACGTGAAAACTAATTATTTTATCCATCAATAAATACCTAAGAGGCACCTTCATTATATTCGTTACATTTTTTTTTACGGTACTGTTACACTTGATCAACTTTTAGCAATCGTGTCTCCGTGTCCAACAAGTACGTGATGTTGGGTGAACCCTGGTGGTGAAAATTCTGCATTCTCATGGCTAGTCCAATTTAATTTCTAGGACAGCAAAGTCACTGCCGACATCACACCGGGGCGGTGCTCATTTAAAGCACCGCAGACGGCGATGAGAAAACTTAAGAAGCGTGGCGACCGTTGCCCATAAATGTTCTCACATCAAGGCTCTGCCATTATTCATCCGCCCCACGTCCACACAGTACAGATCCTTGGCGTCTTCTCGTTCCACCGCGCAAACAGGAGGAGGTCAGGTGGCTTGGGGGAAGGGGGGGTCAGTAACGTCTCGAGCACCGAGCTGGCTGGTACGCAAGACCACCTGGGGTTCAAATCCAGACAACCACCGCTCGTTAAACTTGGTTGTCAAGCGTAGCGAGTTGATGGTCTCAGCCTAATGTGTGCATAAAAGACAGCTCAAATAATAATGAAAAAACAAAGATTATTTTGATTGACATGTAAAAGTATCAATGTTTTGTTGTTGTTTCCCGGGCCTATGAAAGTGTGGATGAAGGGACATCGGAAGTGGTTCTGTAACGTCATCTTCCAGGGATGCCCTCTAACACTGGGTGGTGCACCACTCACTGCAAAAGTTCATACTGGGCAATGCCTCTGTCTCATGGCACGACGCAGATAGCACAGTAACTGGGAGGGGGAAAAAAAACCACAATGTTGTCATATGTAGGCCTTCCCCCCCCCCTGTAAGCCCTCCACCACTTCTCATGATACGGCGACGCATCGATCTCCCGAACACCTGCACGTGGAATTGTTGCAACCCGAGTACATACGTGGTTTACATTTAAGGACTGGTGAACAGAGACACGTGAACGTTGGTGGCGATGATGGCTTTTTACCTAGGCCTCGTTCGCTCAGATGTCCCCTGTGCTCGTGTGTTTCCCCAGGTCGCTCCGCGTCTCAACTCGAGATGATGTGGCTGCTGCATCCCTTGTGGTGGGAGGGGGGTGGGGAGGGGTGGGGTGTGGGAGGAAGACCGCAAGTGGGGGTGGGGGGGGCACCGTTCCTTGCACAGTGGAAGAAGACCCAGACCCTCTTCTCCCGGCATCTTAAGGCTAAACGCAGGGCAGGGCTGGAGCAGGCACACCGTGGACCAGCCATGAGCTCACCGACCGCTGCACATTAATATCGATAGTTCAGTTATCTCGTTGTGCGTGTGATATTTTTTTTCGTAATTCTTTTGTTTAATACTTCCTCGAGTAATTGTTCATGTTTGTGAGATTGCATCTTCCCGATCCATAGTTCGACAGAGGACCCATGGGCCACTCATACAAGTGGGGCACTGTCTTTTTTTATATATATGCACCCCTGTTTTTTTGTAGAGCGGTAATGCAAATCTGTTGAGACGGACTGACACTAATGCCAAAAGGATGTGTACGAGTGGCTTAAAAATATGTTGTCGAAAATTGTGATTTGTGAAAGGTGCGTCGGGCGGGAGGGGAGTTCCTTCGGCGTCGGGTCTTGAGACTTCTTTCTTTCGCAACACAAAAACTAAATATATATCTCGGAGGAATCCTAAACGATTAGTTTTTGAGGCAGCTTGAAATTAGAGAAGCTTGCCTCGCTTCCCTTCGACAAAGCATGCTGGGAGTGACCTAAAGCCATTAAGATTGTATTTTCACGGCGTAAAAAAAAAACCGGCACGTTTCTTTCGGCCTAGTGATATAGGCTCCACGTCCGCAAGCTTTAACGTCGGAGCTCACGCTGCACTTGTCCTTAAGGCCGTGGAATTAATCAAAAGTTGCTGCAAAGCACGGAGCAGTATCCCTTAAAGGTCGTACGGGAGAGGTACCTCATCTCTTTCTACTCCGGTGGTGGTGGTTGTTTTGGAAAGAGGCTGCTCTGTTTCTGTAATCCGCACCGATGCCAAAATATAATGCAGGATCAATGCATAGTGATAAAGCACGTGGCATATGGCTCCTGTTGAATTGTTTCCCTTTTTGTCACACTTAATTTTCTTGTACATTTTGTCCGATTTATAGGTTTTGTAAACGTGAGGAAAGCGTTGGCACGGAGTAGTTCGATTGCCTGCTATGGCCGACACCGATGGCGAGCGATATCCGAACCGGTCCAAGGCTTCCCTCTTGAACCCAACTGCCACTAACCATTGCGGGGAAGTACGGTCAAAAGCCGTGACAGACACAGCAAGGGGAGGGGGGGGTGGGGGAGGCCTTCATCCCGCATTTGATTGGCCTAAAAATTATAATTGTGTGTGCCTCACTTTTGTCTGTAAAAAATGTCTCTTCAGAGCAACATATAGTGCCAGCCCATACCCATTCAACACAGGCTACCATCTGCCATACAATCAGGGGAATGTGCGAGATACGCGCCATCCGACGACGCCAATGAGATCATCATCATCATCCCGTGACCGTGATTTCACACGGTTTGCCCATCGCGTGATAAGTGAACGTCATTTCATGCCGCGCGCGCAAATCGCATTAATCCGTTGACGTTATGTTTTTCAGATGTGGAATCCAACCGATGATAATAACAATACACACGTCATTGTCTCTGTATTCGCTGGCGATGGTCACCGCAATGTAACGCGATTCTCTTACCGTGCGTGCGTGCGGCATCGGTTGGCGCCAGCGTCACGTTGCACGGATGTTTCGCGAGAGCGCGCGTGTCACGGTTACCGGCGCCGCGTGCCACGGCAGTTTTGCTCGTCGCCTTGCGCTGTGAAGCCAAACTGCCAAAAAAAAAAAACATAAACACGCCACGAAAAATTGAAGAGAGCCATATACTGGGAGCACTTATCCACGGAGAGGCGACGTCTCTTTTGAAAAAAAAAAAATGAAGCCCCGAAGAAAATGAGGTTTATAATGGGGCGGAAAAAAAAATGTTCGTGCAATTTGGGGAAAATTGTAATTTCTCTATTGTGCTTCTTTGCCTTTCAATCAAACTGCATTTATTCCTTAAAACATGTTGCTATGATATTATCGATGTATGTACGTCAGGCTAATGAAACTAAATTTCGCTGCGTCATTGGCACACGTGTGTGTGTGTGTAGTCTTGAGAGTTCAAAACCAATGTTGGAGGGGGACGTTGAATTCACCTGGCCCCACTGGTGGCGGCTCGCCCGCAGTCCCATCAGCCACCTGTGCGTTGCCCTGCCACTTTACCGGCGAGCTCCTCCAGAGAGAAAAATTCCCGTTAAATGCACGCAAACTTTCTTGACTCACTCCGTTGGGTTCGCGGTCGAGTCCAAGCGTCTCCCTGTTCTAACAAGCGTTGGGCAGTGGCTGCCCCCCCCCCCCACCCCCTCTGCTGGCAGCCCTGAATTTGTTGAACAAACCGGACCACTGGTAAAAGAGACCCCAGGAGATGGAAATCTTTCCAGAGTTTGCTTGCTTCAACAAAAAATAATGCTGGATAACGCTGGTCTGGAGAGCTACCGAATGGGGCTGATGGAACAGAACGGACTTTCTGCTTGTACGTGCAAACATTAAAACATTCTCCATTCCTGCGGTGGGGGAGGGGAGACCCAGTCGATATACCACGACCACTTGTTGACATAGAAAAACTTGCGCAACCGATTTACTGACCACGGCTAGACGATGGTTGGAATTTCTTAACCCCGCCACCCCCACCCCCTTGCACTGCAGTTTGAACTCCCACCGTTCTGACCGTGACGCGAGTGATTTTTGTGTGTTTGGTTGATGACCACAGCGCCCGCTGGTCGCGTTCTGTTGGATCGTCGGCGCCGCCGCTGCCGCTGTCGAGGCTTTACGCTCCCGTGGCCGATGTCGCCCTCCCGTTGCCGCTTCCGACTGCGCCACGCGGACCGCGGGCCGAATTCTCGTCTCGGCGAACGCTGATTTCCGTCTCTCTGACTTCTGATTGTTGTAAAGTAAGAAAAAAAAAGGAATTACCGGTCTTTTCGTCGCTTAAGGGGGGGGGGGGGGGGAAGGGGTGGGGGTGGGGAACGTTGGCAAAGTCTTCGGTGAGTTTTTTTGGGCCGTTTGCTCAAGTTGGGAACCTGTTCCCCACCCACGTGTCACCGGACGTCTGGCGGACTGACGAAAGAGCGTTCGTTGCAACAACGTGATTGTCACATTTATTAAATGCAAGTTTGAAAAATCGAAGTGATTTTCCGTTATCAAGTGCATTGTGAGCGATGATCCATTTTGAGCAAGTGGGGTGGGAATTCGACTTTCCTGTGATGTGGTGAGACCATCTACAGGAAATCCGCTGCGATTCGGGATGATGGCAAGGGGATAGGTCGGGGGTGTCCCACTGCAGGGGAGACTGCATTCTGAAGGTTGTGACTACAAGTGTTTTGAAAGAGGCCACTGTAACGGGCACCTCAAGCAATATTCACCAAAAACTCACATCACCCACGATCTCGATTCCTTATTAAATTGACTGGCTGTGCAGAATGAATTCGGGACCATAATTGTCACGTTATGGTTAATATTAGTAGTGTATTGCGTCTCCCGTGCCCTTTACAGCATGGTTTTAATGTACGTGATGTTTCAAAGAATGAGGCGTGTTACCCACGTGGGGTTTGTAAGGGCACAGGAGGAGGTGCATGGATCTGTGTGCGTGCTTTCAGCCCACCAAAGGAGCATTTATGGGGGGGGGGGGGGGGGGGGGTGGTGGTGAAAAGTTGCGTTTTTTTGTGACCGATATTTAGGATTTGTGAGTAGTTTGTGTAGATTGACGCTTTGCCTTCGCGATACACTGCCATTGCGTTGAGAAGCGATCGAGCTTTAAGGGTCGTCTTTCTATGTTTAGGCACGGCAAGTAAATAAAGGTTGAGACGTGGCCTTAGAAGGAGAGAGAGAGAGGCACTTGAAGAGGGTGGTAGCTGGGGTCCAGGTTAGGACCGGGCACAATTATGGGCGTTGGCTTGTACACCGGTAGTCGACTTGCATCAACTTGTCCGCTGTTGACGGCTGGGATGCTGCCCTCCCGAGTCAGCCAGCTGCATTCACGCTGCGTCCAGCAGCTCCCGAGACACGCCGGCCCCATCGTCACCCATGGCCATTGAAGTCGCAAACGCCAAAGTCGCTTTTCTCTGCTCAAACGAGCAGCGTGGGGAGGGGGGAGGGGGGAGGGGGGAGGGGGGAGGGCGCCACGCTCATAACCTCCGTGGTGGCCCTGAGCCCGTGATGGATGTACCACGGCACGGGGTCACCGCGAGCTACCAGTTTCTTCTCTGCGGCAAAGTTTCGTGCAAAGCCGTCGTCGCCACGTGGAGCGCGTCGCGACGTCGTTACCGGCAAGTTGAAGGCGAGGGCGCCTAAGAGAGAGAGAGAGGTGTTTGCCGGTGGTGGGGGTCACCGTAGTAGGTGGTGGCACCTCGGGTGTGAGGGGTGGGACAAGTGCTCTAGGAGGGCTCGCACCCCCCACCCCCCCCCCCCGAAAGGGACCTGTCTCGCCCCATGGCTCAGAGCCCCTGGGTGGGACCGCGACTCCCGCTGTCTTCTCGATGTGGACGCTTTTGCTCATCACCGCTGTCGTTTGCGTCGCGAGCGTCTCTTGACGCGTGCGTTTGACGCTTCGGCTTTCAAGGGCGCACACACCACGCACGCAACTCAAGACGTTCAGCTCTATGGCGCTACGAACCTGACGACCCGGGTTTGATTCCACGCTTGCGGCCAACAGCAGTGACGATTATCTGAATGGGTCCTGGGCCTCCCCTAGGTCGACTCAGCCTCAAATGAATGCCTGTTGCGGTGTCAACATCGCCACTGGGGGGTGACAAAGGCGGCCGGGCGTGGTGTTGGCCACCCACCTCCTCGTGTGCCGTCCTGGCCTTCGTAGGTGCTACTCGCTAACAGCACTTGCCCCAACAGTCTGTTAGGCTATAGACGTGGGGATCTTTGTCTTTGTTCCCGTACACCCCCACTGCCGTGCACACACGCACGTAGATGCTCGGTCTATCGGGCGCGCGTGTAACAGCCCCCCGTGGACAGCATGTCCAGTGACACGTGGTTTTCCGTCCTCGCATCTCCGCTTAGCACGACTGCCTACGTACGGCGCGAAAGAAGTCCAGCATGCGGCAACATACACGTGTGGTGGAGAGGGGGCCCTTGCTTATCGCTACGAAGGAAGACAATCGTTTATTTAGTTAAAGGCACTGTTGCTCCGGTGGGATGGCCACTCGTTTCAAGCGTGATAGTGCAACTCTTTGCTTTAGGGCATGCCAATATATACTGTAGGCTGGCAGCGTTGCTAAAATAGGAAATAAGTGGCAAATGAAGGTCAAGAATGGCTCCAGAAGCAGTAGAAGCACGTGGATAGACGAGACAACGAGAATGCAATGCCACGGGTTTTTTTCCTTCCAATTATCGTTCCTGCATTAAATGCGTTCGCCCATTGGTGTGTTGACGACTTTGCTACATGGCTGCGTCAAGTTAGTGGAATGAAAGGGCAATGCAAAATGCAGCCTTTGTTTGCGTGCGTCAACTGCACGTGGCCTTGTCGCATTTCGTCGGAGTAGGAAGCAAGTGACTTGGGCGAAGAAAATAAAAAAAAATTACCAAGTCCTTCTGCATCAATTGAGCAGGGTGCGTCCGTTTTAAGAGCCTGTGTGGGATATCCCATGACCGGAGCAGCTGGCTGTGTCGCTACAACGTGTGTTCTATTAGTGGTGAGCGGAGCGCCGGGCGAGTTGGTTCCAGGTGGTAGTGCATCGGCCAATCACCTCGGTCAGTCGACCCACGGTACCTGCAGGGCCTTAAAGTGCACCTAAGCCTGGCACAAGCGCCACTGAGTGACGAATAACGGTTGTGGTTACCTGCATAAGGGAGCGGTGGTGTAGTGGTTAGCGCGCCGTGCTACGAACCCGGTGACCCGAGTTCGATTCCCGATCACGACCAACACTAGTGACAAATATCCGAACTGGTCCTGGGGCCTCCATGTGCCATCGATATCATACCAGACGGACACACGCAGACACACAAGTGCAACACTCGAGAACACGGAACACGTAACACGCCATCGTCAGTGAAGACAAGGACGCGCCTATTGTTGACAGGGCTACCCAGCAGAGACTGCTGGAGAAAGCGACGTGAAACGGCTCCATTGACTGTGCGTTCGTCATGGCAGCTTTGCAGGTGGAAGGGCGTCGATTGAGCATTGACTGTAAATTATCTTCTCGGCTGAGCTTCACAGACAACTGTTGGTGGTTCATTGAAGAGATTAACCCTCGCTGAACATTGCCCATAATATCTGAGACAAATTTTCATATATTCAGACAACTATGATAATTGGCCAAAGGTCCCAAAAAGGGGTCTCGCGGTCTCAGCTGAGCGTCACAATGCATTGGGAGGCGTTGCGCTGCCTGCGAAATCCCCGCTCGCGAGGTGGTGCCGTCTGGACAGCAGCTGCCTCTAATCCCGTCGTTCTTAACCCTGACTGCAGCTTCTCTCGATTTGAAGCTTTCGTGACTGCAAGGATCCATACATACTCTTTGGTTCTATTCGGTAAAGTCACGTGTTCACCCCCCTCTACACCGTTCATCATGCTAAGTCCGCCAATTAAATGCGAATTTTTATGCTAATTCCTTTGTCAAGGCACTTTAATTCCTCTCACACAAGCTTAAAGGTCGCGGTCTGAGCTTGGCTGTGTTCACTCCAGCGCTGTCCTCGAGACAATCTGGTCCCTTCACCTAATAAAGGCCACTTGTGTTGTGGCCGAAACGTCGTGAATTGTTTTTATTTTTTGTTGTTTTATACTTTTTACGTGACTTGACTGCAGCCTTTGCACCCCTTGGGTTTCTCAATCGTAAAGCAAAAAATGACAATGTTAATAAAGGCGTAGGGGTTGATGAAACAAAGCCAGCTGTAGCTTACGTGCCCGTGCTTAATGTGTTTAGATTATTTACATTCTTAAAACAAGAATCTGGCCATGTCTCGCACCCCCAGCGGTGAGTCGGGTGATGAACCACTGTTCTCATCAGTGACAAGTGTGGTGGAGAGTGTCGGCTTACGGTGATTCGTCGATTCATATCGATTCCTGTGCTCACGATTCATGCACGCGTCGATAATCATGCGTTGGGAATTCATTGCCTGCGTATCTATGAAAATTATATGCAATTAGATTTGGGCTAATCAACAAGGCGAAATTACAAACTAAAAAAAAACAACAACTTGAAAACATACAAACGAGATATACGAATGAGAAATAAATGGAATTGATTTGTTAGTAAAAAAATCGCCGGGTGGTGCTGGTGGCGATTCTATCCCATTCAGAGAAGGGGCCGTCCATAAATGACGTCATGCACCTAGGGGGGGGGGGGGGGGGGGGTCTGACATTTGTGACGATGTGTGACGATGGGGGGGGGGGTGGTTGAGAAATGTGACGTCACATCAAAATGCGCAACTTTAAATAAATATAGACAACACTTTCTACTTAATTAAATACTTTTTCATAAATGTTTTCTCCTACAACATCAGTGCAGCGCCACATTAAATACGGGGGGGGGGGGGCAGAGCTTTGTGACGTCATATTTGAGGTGGGGGGTTCTGATTTTGTGACGCCGTGTGACGAGGGGGGGGGGGGTAAAAAATCGTCCAAAATCGCGTGACGTCATTTACGGACGGCCCCTAAGTCACCACCAAAGTGGTAGCGTTGTCAAAGTTTGAGAATGTACAGCCGCATTATGAGACCTCCTTTGCCAGTAACAAGATATAGTAATAGGTTTTTACCCTTTTACCTGGCACAAAAACTGACACCTTTATTCAAGGCATCATGTTTGCAATAACCACAACACAAGTAGTCAAAATGCAAACAAAAGAGACAACTCTGATAATAATATTGGCACTGTCCTTGAATTTGATTGCTCCACACCCGAGACGGCTTTTCTTAGAGCCTAGTCTCCACTGGTGTTGGACCAGAAGACGCCAAAGGCGTACAACTCAAAAACAGCGCACTATCAGAGTATTGAGAGCTCGGGGTAAGCACTTACATTATGAGACCTCCTTTGCCAGTAACAAGATGTAGTAATAGGTTTTTGAGTTGTACGCCTTTTGGCATCTTCTGGTCCAACACCAGTGGAGACTGGGCTCTAAGAAAAGCCGTCTCGGGTGTGGACCAATCAAATTCAAGGCCAGTGCATATTATTATCAGAGTTGTCTTTTTTGTTTGCATTTTGACTGCTTGTGTTGTGGTTATTGCAAACATGATGCCTTGTATAAAGGTGTCAGTTTTTGTGCCAGATAAAAGGGTAAAAACCTATTACTGTACAGCCGCAGTGAACGTGTCGCACGCGTGTCATACCCGTGTACTCGTGTTGATAAAGACTGCAATAAAAGTACCGTATACCTCGCAATTGATGCGGGCTGTCTCTGTGCAGCATGTCCTTGCGGTACCGAGTATGGGGTGGGGGGTGGTGGTCAAGTCTTCGCCTCGCGTCCCACACTTTACCCCACCGCTCGCAAACCACCCAATGGGGGTTTCAGTTTCTTTATTTCGGTATAGCCCTGTGTGTGCGCGCGTGTTCTTTCCCCCTTATACGTTTATACTGCTGGGTGGACAAAGGGGTGGGGAGGATTTAAGAAAGGTATTGCGCTCTTAGACTGAACCGCTTGCCACGCCACAATGCGCCACCCCCCCCAACCGGATACGGCAATCGGCCACTTGCCATGCGGTCCGGGCTCTGTTTTGTGCACACAAGTTCTGGCCGCCGATCCTTGTGTGCGATCGGTGAACTTTTGAACGTGATCGTTTGGACCCCATACATTAAAAATGCAACGACTGTTTTACTGATCGATCAGACGCAGAGCACCATGCATCTCACTTGCCGGGAACCACCACAAAGCGCTGGAAATGCTTCACTGCTACCGATTTATGCGGCCAGTAAATGTAAATTGGACGATAAACACCACTCGCTTTGCAAAAAAAAGGTTCTCGCTTAATTTGCTTGTATTGATCAGGAAAATGCAATCAGTAGGGATGCTGTGACGAGCAGGAATAAAACAGGGACCTTCAGGTGGTAACTGTGGTTCAGTGTGGTTGATTTCAATCAATGAGGTTTAGACATCAAGGGTCAATAAAGTACCGCTTATGGGAAGTCAACAGTGGTTCTTGTAGAGAGAGAGAAAACAACCCCTCAACACATTAGCCAATAAGTGGCCTTAAAATTAAAAATACATCATTCAAATTAATCATGCGCATTCTATCCTAGGATTCCAATGCACAATGCATGGAAATCAGGAAACAAAAAACAACCAAGGGCAACCGACCCAAACTAAAGAGGGAAGGCCACTTTAAAGAGATGGGATTTCAAAGCAGACTTAAATACAGAAATGTGCCTCCGGGATCTGGAGACCACCTGGAGAATATTCCAGGCATTCGTTGACAATGACGGCGAACAATTGAAGACGGACTTTTCAAAGCTATTAACGCATTTGTTATCACGTTGCAGCGTATCGTCCGTTCTTTTTCCATTAAAAACGATAGTCCGAGGTGTTAACATGTTTTTTGAAGCACCCTGTATATACTGTGATAGGCGACATTTTGGGCAACCAAGCCCATTTTCTTCACATCACACAAATGAATGCGCTTTTAGACTCACCCCTGCCATAGGAACGTGACATTTCCACCACCAGCTTCAAGGGGGCTGTTAACAGGCGACGAGCTCCCGCTACCGCATTGCATAGTCCGGGGGGGTGGGGGGGGTGTCATTTGCTGTTTGTGTCTGTGTGTGCGCACGCACGCGTCATACCGAGTTCAACACCAAAAGACAGCGCGTGTGGGACCAGCTTTGCTAAAGTGCCATTTTTATTATTTATTCATATTCATTAAACGAACCCCCGCCCCCTCTGTGGAACCTTTTACACATTCCTGAGCGGTTGTATTTGCTGTCAAGTTGGAACAATTTTTTTTTTAAAGCTGCACTCAGTGACTTCTACTCGAGCATGCACACACACACACACACACGCGGGCACGCACGCACGCACGCGCTTGTTATTTGCACGCAAAAACAATTATTGACAATAAAATAATCAGTGCACTTTACAGTTCAAATCTCAGTGTCCGTTCACACGACGTGATGTATAAATCTTCCAAAAGAAAGTTGTCATTAGGAAAAACGCATACGGCAATAAGCATCTTAAAAGTTGTAAAACTAAATATGAAGCCTGGATAAAAATCACAACTACAGTAATTATATCATCGAAATCATTGCACAGGCTCGATTCGTCGGGCATACGGTATTCAAATGTCGATTAACGTTAAAGAGACTGCGGACGCCAAAAGGGGCTAAATCACCATCTCAAAAAATAAATGTTTCCACGGGCTTTTAATATTCACTTCGGTCCAAGGCAGATGAATCAAATTTTCATTCCGATAGTGAAGGGCTTAAATTTTGGGACTCTCATTAAGTTTGGATCGCCTAAGGAAAAGCAAGATGCAAATCATCACACTTATCGCCCATGCTTATGAGCTGACTTTGACAACATTCACCACTTGGCAAAAGTGTGTGACCATCCAGTAGGAGCTAGGTGCTCAAGAGTCATCATCCCAGACGTCTGGGATAGAGACGTCTGTAATTGTCCTACTCATTTCCATGCACAACTAGAATGAAAATAATGCAAAAAATAACAGCGCTTTCGTGAAGAATGCATAGCACTCTCAACGTACACAATGCGCGAGGGGCGTACGCAGCCACAACGAAAAACAAAACCTCAAGATGGCTCTATGAAAGTCGAATATTAATGTACTGCATTTCAAATAGCGTTCCAACGAAGCAAACGCGAAACAAGCAAATAAAACAAAATTGGGCCAGAAACCGCACTCACGTGCCCGTTCACCTTATCTGCACTGGGCGGAAATACATTTCAGAGATATGTTGTGGCACTCGTCAATATCGCTCGCCGTTAATTGGTTTCAATCGGATTCTTTTTGTTTTTTAAACGCATTGTGTCACATCTTAGTTTTCGACCGTGAAAATCAATGCAATTAACAAAGTGCATTTCGCACGCACAGACAAACTCTTACAAAGCACTTACGCCTTCAACGATGCGCGCAGAAGGACGACTTGAAGAAGCGTGTTATCAAATAAACCTTTACTACCGGCCACTAAAAACTGCATCAGTAAGGCATTTCAAAGTCTTTGATTGGCCACCAAATTATTTGACACGGAAATTATGGGAATCGGTTGACATCGTTGGGTCCATTGAAACCAGACAACAAGTTCAGGCATTGAATCTCAACAAATCAAGCAAAGGCTGAAAAGCACCCAAAATGAAACGTGGCGAGTGAGAATCAACGCTGGGCCCAGCAATCCGGGAAAAGTCTCTCCGAAACTCATTTTACGGAACATACATTTTCGACACATGGCACATTGTCACAATTAACGAACACCAGTCGTGTCCGCCCACCAATGGCGTACATTAAAGCAAGATACACCTCGGTCGCTCTATGACCAGAATTCATTCTAAAAGAGCCGGCGGATTCCATTGAGCACACATCACCACCTCGTTGAACCCGCTACACACATTTCACACATCACGAATCATCAACTCTCCTTCCCCTCCCCACCCCCCGACATCGCTCTTCGGTTTTTCAGTCCGTGTCCTCACTTTGCGATTTGTTCTTAAGCACATTTATCATATTGAGTAGCTGGGCGCAGATCCATGGAGGTTATTATTTTAATCCGGGGAATATGAAAAAAAACTTCCTAAACACGACATTGACAAATTTACTCTTCAACGCAACGATGCATTCAACGCGAGAGCCTCCTGACGACGCTGTCTCGCCTTTTCCCACCTCCAAACAATCCACGAAATCCCGATCACAACTGACAGCATCACAGCGGATAGTGATACCACACAACAACGCCAGACATCAGTAGTACCACATCTGCATTATCTGTAACAGTATACATAACAAAGTTGTACATTGTTGTGTATTTTATGACAAAAATCATACAAAGGGCTTAGCCTCCTAAGTACAACGCATCTATGAAGTTGAAATCTGTTAGTAGAATCTTACATTGCTATGCTATAGTGTGGAAGCCATACCACAAACTCTTTGTTGTTTAAAACCAAATTTATCTTTAGGATCGATGCAACCAAGTATCCACCGATTTTGTGGAAAGGAGTTCGAAACGACGGGAGCCAACTGGACGTTGCAGTGGGTGACAAGTAAAGGTCCCGTGACAGTAAAGGTCGCGTGACAGTAAAGGTCGCGTGACAGTAGAGGTCGCGTGACAGTAAAGGTCGCGTGACAGTAAAGGTCACGTGACAGTGAGGTCGCGTGACAGTGAGGTCGCATGACAGTGAGGTCGCGTGACAGTGAGGTCGCGTGACAGTGAGGTCACGTGACAGTGAGGTCGCGTGACAGTGAGGTCGCGTGGCAGTGAGGTCGCGTGACAGTAGAGGTCGCGTGACAGTAGAGGTCGCGTGACAGTAGAGGTCGCGTGACAGTGAGGTCGCGTGACAGTGAGGTCGCGTGACAGTGAGGTCGCGTGACAGTGAGGTCGCGTGACAGTAGAGGTCGCGTGACAGTGAGGTCGCCCCGCCCTGCAGGATTCTGCGATGCGAGTGACCTCCAAGTCGTCCCCTCTCCCCCCACCACCCCCTGGTGGGTGCACGTGTGGCTGTGTCCGTCCGGTCTCTTTTTTAATACTGAAAAAAAAAAAACACTTTAACACTGACACTACAAAGGAATTAGTTCACTTGGAGGAAAACTATATAATTATTAAATAAACCGCACTCCACTCTTTAATTGGTTTGCATAAATTAATATCACATATATTTTAAACAATCTTCCAAATATGCATATAGCAAGTCAGCGGATTTACCTGACGCCGATTCTAAACGCGCCTGCCTACATAATGAACGCGGCCCACGGAGTAACAGCAGTCGAGGCTCTGGGCAGAGGGCAGAGGGGGCAGGCGGGTATAGATGCACAGATATTATCATCATCACGTGGTGCCATGTAAACAACTTAAATATGCTCTTTTATAAATTCATAATAAACAGAACAATATATACAAACTTCCAGTTTAGCTCCACAGCCCTTCCAGTTGGGGCTTGTTCAACAATACCAACATTTGTCGCGGGCAAGCAGACTGGATGCGAGGGGTGAAGTCTTACACGGATGCCATTCCCAACTATTCCAACAAAACTGTTTCTCTGAATATCAACAATTAATTCGCGCTCTCTCTCGCAGAAAACATTTCCTTGTGCAAAGGTAAGGGTGCAGCCCCGAAATTGCTTTGCGTGTACGCTGAACTTCTTTCGCACCGCTACGTAAGCTCACCCGTGCTAAATCGGGAGGCGGGGGTGCTTTCTCACACCACTCCTGCTCGAGCGTATTCTCCCGACTTGTCTATGTAGGACAGACGTTCTGGCAGAGGTGGGAGCATCCACACTCTACCCCACCACATATGGCACCTACCGAATGACTAACTGCGGTGCACCCAATGTACATTGCCGGCTGGACAGAGGCAGTGGCGGTGGCGGTGGTTGGGGCGGGGTATTTAATCATCTCGCCACATTCTTTCGACTGCCGCGCCGGGAGATCAACCCGAACCGGTGAACCTCTGCATTGCGAGTCCCGGCGCGCTCGCCAATAATTGCCGTTTCGGAAAACGTCGATAAAGTTGAACGATCCCTTATTACGCGACCCACGAATTGACGCGAGACGACACGCGCGTCCCCCACGGTGCCATGCGTGCGGGGCTTGAACGTAACTCCGCGAGAACACAGGTCTGGGCGCGCGCGATTAAAAAAAAAAAACCACGCCGTCACGCGCCGGGGGCTGCACACAGTGGCTGGGTGACGATTCTCTTACGCCTGTTGTCAGTCGAGGCCGGGGATTTCAAATCGCTGTATGCATTTCTACACACGGGTACGTTAATAATAATAATAAAAAAATTTATCGGCTCCGTCTATAGCAGCGGTTCTTCTTAACCTGGGGTGCACGCACCCCCTGGGGGTGCGAGATGCCCTTTCTGAGAACCAGGCTGGAGTAAAGGTGAAGAACCACTGCTCTATAGGATAATGCATGGGGGACAAAAACAAACCAAGCCTGCTTATTGTGCTAATCAGAGGCATTAACCAGGAGGCTATATACATCCTTGTGTTTTATATATAATGTATAGGCAGTATACAGCAGATATATGTTGATGCGTGATGAATCTGCATGTAGCATTGCATGCAAGTCCCATTTTTGTTGACGGGAGTCAATCGAAATCACCGAATCATCTCGTGGCCTTCATCCAGCAGCGGATCGAACATGGCCCGACGATGATGATAATTACAAATTAAGTAAAACAAACGCACAGGTGGGTACGGCGTGGGGTGCAGATGGAAGTCCTGCACAGAATAGCCCCAAAGTGCCAAGCAGCACGGCAGAAAAAAAAACAAACCCCAGCACTTTTAAAGTTGTAATAAATAAGACCCGAAATAAAGGTTGTAACAGATCCACGTCTAAAAGCGTGAGGGGGGGCTTGAGAAACGCGGATGATTTGCAGCGGAAGAATGTCACAGCTAGAATTGTTGTGGAACTTTGATTTTGAACCTTTCTTTAAATATACCCCATTTCAGGCTACTCTCTGCAGCAGCCTACATTGGAATAATCAAGAGCACGACCTTTGTAGAATCGTCAACAGATGGAGCGGCACGAGATGGAATGCATTTTTTCTTCTCACATTTGATTACGCGCCGATGACAACAAAGGGTTGTTGTACGGGGCGTGACGTGACGTCGACAGTGTAGACAATTCTGAAAAGTGAATCTGACTTGACGCGTGGAGGGGAAACGAATCGTATTGTGGTTCGACGTCAATTCAAAATGAATAAATTTAACTATTTAGATGGGACGCTCGCAAAGGCTCCAAAGCAAGACGCTTCAACCACACCAAGGTTTGCAGTGGAATTAACACGTCAATGCCTCTTCCCCCCCCCACCGGGTTTGTTGGAGCTCAAAATTCTCTGTCACGTGTCAACCCAAAGACTGGAAACCCGAAACGTGACCTCCACAAACGTTGTTCGCATGGTCGGCCAAGTCTAGTGGCACACTCCCCCCCCCCCCCCGTTAACCAGCTATTTGGAGACAAGGGTCCATGTGTAAGATCTGGTGGTAAGAAGTAGGTACGTAGAGAATAAATGAGAAAATAATGGCACCCTGTGTAAAAGGTAAAAGAGAAGCCCTGCAAGTTCATTCTCACACTCCAAGCTTTATTGGAGGGAGCTGAAAGTGCCCCCCCCCCTCTGAAGGGTAATTTGGCCGACTCCTCGATGCTAACCAGACGTCTTGCAAGAGCTGTGAGTAAATCTGCATCGCACGGATTTGTGAAACTCCAAAACCCGTAGGACTGCCAGGTGGTCGATGGGGGGGGGGGGGGGGGGGAACGAACTGGGCTCATGAGCTCATCTGTGTGGACCTTAAGAGTTGTTCCCCTACAGATGCGTGGATTTTCTCTGTATAATTCCAGATCCTTCCCATAACTCCTTAAAAGGAAATTGCCAAACATTCCAATCCAGAACCTTCATGAGAAAGCGCCTTGAGAATCGGCGCGACGTTTCTGGATGAACAGAGAACATTGCTTGTCGTGTTCTCACGGCGTATAATGGCACGTGTGGATTATCTCCCGTGTCTGCGAGGCTTAATTGGTCCATACGGAAGGGTTTTGTTCACCTGTGTGGATATGTACTTGTGGATCCATGCACATGTTTTTACGAACGAGCACGTGTACGCGCAAGGTCCGTGAGCGAGTTGCGCTTGATCCGGTGAATGCGCGGCCATTCAACCGTACGCACACGGACGCCGGTGCGGGAGTGCAAGTGCGTGTGCTTATGCGTGTGACACTCTGAATTCAACTGATGAAAACAGTTCAGAAGTGGCCCTCCTCCGTCCAGACCACATCGGTAGAATTTGCCCTAATCCCGCAGGTCACATGTCTGCGTGATGAGGGCACGGCTAAAAGTGCTCTCAAGAGTAACCGGTCAGAACCCACTGGGTGCGAACAGCCACAAAAACAGGTTTATGAAAGCAACAAACCGACACTTTTCTGAGAAGTGCATACGCAATGCGGGCTCTACATGGCAATGCGCGTGTGTGTGTGTGTGAATGGCACGCCTGTCTTCACGGCATGGCATATCTCGTCCCTAACACATACTGCACCGAGGCTCCCTCCGTTTCCCTGGCACTGGGCAGGCGTGGAGGGGTTGGCAAAGGATCACCAGCCAACATTTGTCCTTGGCCTGGTGTCTTGCACTGCGTCGATAAGAGTCCATGCCAACACTTCGTTCTGAACCCGGAGCTCTCTCTTCAAGGGCCTGCAAGCAGACGCACTTTCCTGACACGGCCGTGGGTTCTTTTGATGTCAATAATATTTGTGCTGTGATTTATCTGGGACACAAACACACGTGCGCATTCACGCCGGTATCCTGTGGGGGGTGGGGGGCGGGGGGGACGAGGGTGGCACTTGCTTGGGCAGGTGTGGGATAGAGGCCACGTGAGGTCGCTTTGTTTCACTTGTTTGGTCCCGTGTTGACCTCCAGCTGGTACTGCTCACATGACAATGAACCCCGCAAAGCAAAGCTGCTTCACGTCAACAAAAGCTACCTAAGATACCGGATGAACGAGTAGCTGTACGGAAATTTCTTTCAAGGATGCTCGGGAAGACTGCACTGTGGACACGCACGGTGCATGCCAGGGGAGAAGCACGTCTCAAACTTGGACACGTGGACTTCAACAAAGAGCTCTACAATTTCACGAGCCAGTATGCTCCAAGAGACTGGGCTTGACGATGGCTGGAACAGCAACATGCACCACTTACTTGCACCATTTTTCGACGCAGAATTTGGAAAGCCAACGGCGCGGCAACGGCAGCGTGTGTTCGTTCCGCGTTGACTTCAAAGAATGAACACGGGCAGACGTCGCGTGTCGAGGGGACAAGCGCCAGCCTTGGGGGAATTACGTTTGCGAGGAGCGACGCTGCGCGACGGCGCTCGTCCGGTCGTCGGCGCGGCCCACGAGACGACGTTGTGCGCACAGGACACGCGGCCGCGCCCCACAGGTCCAAAGGTCGTCGTCGTCGTCGTGGTGCATGCTGGCCCAGAAACGCCCGTCGGCATACGCTTGCACGCGACATTAACGGGCCCACCCCGGGATCGAGACGCGCGCAACGTTCATCGGAGGCCCGAACTCAAGTGCGGCGTCCCAATCCAGCGGCGGCGGGCGGCGGGGGACCTCTCCCCGGTCGTCGCAGCGGGAGCTACTGGATGACGCAGTACTTGCGGTAATCGGACTCGAAGTCCTCGTCCAGGCTGCTGGTGTCGACGGGGCAGCGTCCGTGCAGGGTGGGCAGGAAGGCGCGCCCGTCCAGGCCACGGCGCTCGTAGAAGAGGAGGTAGGCCGAGTCCGTGTCGATCTCGTCCTCGTGGACCTCCTGAGGCCGAGAGGACAAAGCGCCAGGTGAGCAACGGGTAATGTTGGCGGCGGCGGCGGCAGAGAGAGCAACGAAAGGTACGAGGCGGAAATGTCATTCGTTAATGAAAGTTGCCGTTTGACTACTGCGCTGGGGTTTCCGTGCTCGTGCTGCATAGCTCTCCCACGTGTTTTCGGGTCGAGGCGCATTTCGTTCCAAGTTCTGAAAGGTTCTTAAGTTCCTGAAGAAGGTCCCAGCAGGTGGAGAGAAACATCGGGACCACCCCATACCCCCACCCCCATCATCAAGCTTGAGAGAGTTCCACAATTATGTGCAATCCACCAACCCTCGCCCTCCACGGTGCTCTCGGCACTGCGGGGGCAGCATCCACACACAGCGATGGCAACAGTTCCAAGTGTCCTGCTGCTCACCTTGCAGCTGCTGTCATTGTAGCAGTACCACTTGGTGTTGGGGTTTCGGGCATAGGTCACGTAGTGGCCTCCGCCCATGATGCCAGAGTGACACTGCGTACACAGACACACACACAGCAATACCCGCAATTTGCCATTGAATGACGGTTACGTCACCACGGTGTCTGTGCCAGGCCAGGTGAACCTTGAGGCCATATAATGTGGGAGCCAGAGGACATCCCTGTCGCACCCCCCGCAAGGCCCTTAATGATTTCTAGCGGAGAGTCAGGGACTCCGAAAGCACCAATAACAGCCCAGAACCCTGGCCTGTTTGATGCTTACACATACGTACATAAAGACAAACGTAAAAATATACATATACACACACACACTCACACAAAGATCCCCTTAACAGACTGTTGGGACGAGTGCTGTTAACGAGAACCAATGTTGGCTAGCAATGCGTACGACGGGGTGGTGTGGCTAACACCATGTGCTGATGTTCATACAATGCACCAGGTACTCACTTAAAGCTGATCTTTACCTAGGGGAGGGCCGGGAACGGTATCGCTCGCAACAACTGTAAACACCGCAGAACCGTGGAAACGAACAAGACTGAACGAGAATATCCTTGTGGCTCTCCCGTTCATATTCTTTTTTGAAATGGTGGCTTTCAACTCCACCGCTCAATATTAAAACCATTCACATATGTATAACTTTCAAATATGAGCCGGTTGTGGAAATTCCACATTCGCATTGCAGAGTGCAGTATCTCTACAGGTCTATCACTACTTGCTTCCCACAAAGGGCTATTTATTAACTTAAAAATTATAGGCAAAGACAATGCTCGACCAGGTTTTTTAAGTAAAGTGCTCTACACCAACTCAGTCATATATAAATTAAATATCATTGGCACGCACACATACACAATGCAAAGACAAAGATCCACCATATAGCCTTAACAGACTGTTGGGGCAAGTGTTGTTAGTGAGAACCAATGAAGGTCAGAACGGTACACATTGGCGTGGGTGGCCAACACCACGGCGACCGCCTATGTCTCCCCAGTGGTGATGTTTATGCACTGCTCCAGGTACTCATTTGAGGCTGATTCGATCGAGTGGAGGCCCAGGACCGGTTCAGATAATCATCGGCGATGTTGGTCGTGAGGTGGGTTCATAGCGCAGCACACTAACCGCTACACTACGGCTCCCCACACACACACACACAACCGCGCGCACTCACGGGCAACGCCCCCCCCCTACCGAAATGGCGTAGAGATCATAGATGGGCTTCGTCTCGTCAGAGTCTTCAGAGGTTTCCGTTTCACAGTCGCTTCTGTCCGCACTGGCGGACGGCTCCAGAGGCATGGCACCGATGCCGGGGGCTCCGTTGGGGAGTTTGTCCGAAGCCACGCTCGTCGGCCACATATCACCACCGCAGTCCTCCTTCACCCCATCCTACACAGAGAGAGAGACGCGCAACTCTGTCACACACACGCTCATTATTCCCACTGAACCTCATCGGCGATAATCAATGGAATGGCCTCCCTCCCGAAGCCTCTGCCATCTCGCAGAATCCCGTGATGTACGAATTATCCTAGCACTTGCATATGAGCCACTTTCATCACTCCATCTCCAGAGTGGATGTCCTCTCAAACAGATTCTAATTCATTGGCTCACACTGCGTCATTAGTCTCGCCGAGCGTCCCCGTCTGATGATGTGTCTTGCCCTGGCCCACTCACTTTTCCGTCTCTCGCCATGACCACTTTCGCCGCACACTATTTAGTCCCCAATAATTGAACATTCAAATTGTGCGAACATGGTCTCGAGCTTTTAACTTTAAGGCGACTGCACTAGGGTCTGGTAACAGAAAACTCAACATCCGGAAGAACACTTAAGATTACAAGTGGCTGCGAAAACAAAAAAAACCTACGAGCTAAATAAGAAATGGATTTACAAGCAATTGAGTCTTACATGCACGGCTCATTGAATGATTTTAACAGATTAATTGATACATAATTAAATCTGTAGCTCTAAAATCTTATTTTTGTTTGTAAATAAACACCTGTCTCGTCTAGAAATCCCTCCCACGGTCTTGCCCCACCCAATCTTTCTTCTCTGATATCTTACGGTGTCCCATCCCGTTCCTCTCCGCTCCCAATCTCTACCATCCGTCTCTGTGCCTCCCTCACCCTGCGCCCAGTCTCGCTCTCGTTCCTTTGCCCTTCTTGTTCCCCTTAACTGGAACAAACTCCCACTGCAGCATAAAACAATCGTCTTCTGGGACCTGCTTCCGCTCCCATTGCTTCTCCCTTGCCTATCCTACTACTATCTAGATTTGAAGTTTTCCTGACTGCAGGGATCCATCCTCTTTTTGGTAAAGTCACGTAGGTATAATTGATTTTATTTTTTATACCTACGTGACTTTACCGAAAGAACCAAAGAGTATTCTACTACTGCTCCCTGCCCCCACCCCCCCCCCCCCCCCCCCCCAAGTTACAACCAAGCCCACCCCAACCCATATCACTAACCCTATCACTAACCCTAGCCTTATCACTACCCCAACCCATATCACTAACCCTATCACTACCCCAACCCATATCACTAACCCTATCACTACCCCAACCCATATCACTAACCCTATCACTACCCCAACCCATATCACTAACCCTATCACTACCCCACCCCCTATCATCACTAACACTAGCCTTATCACGACCCCAACCCATATCACTAACCCTATCACTACCCCAACCCTTATCACTACCCCAACCCACATCACTAACCCTATCACTACCCCAATCGCAATCACAAACCCTACCCCTACCACTACTGCAACCCCTATCACGAACCCAACCTCTATCACTAACCCGACCCCTATCATTACCCCTATCACTACCACAACCCCTATCTCTACCACAACCGCTATCACTACCACAACCCCTATCACTACCACAACCCCTATCACTACCCCAACCCCTATCACTAACCCTACCCAAACCCCTCCTTAACCACTCCCACCTCTTCCCCAAACTATCAACATAACTACTACACCAACACTTTTTAATACCCCCACTCTTCATTTCATCCACCATCATCTTATTGTACAATGGTATAATTTTTCGATTTAAAGCTTTCGTGACTGCAGGAATTCATATTCTTGGTTCTTTCGGTAAAGTCACGTAGAAGGGAAATAATAAAATAATAAAAACTAAACAATAAAATTCTCACGACGTTTCAAAAATAAAAAAACACCACTTTTTTCAAATTTTCTTGCTGTGGTTTTCACACCTGATGATGATTGCTTGTGTTGCAATCGAAACGTTGTGAGAATTGTATTGTTTGATTTTTATTATTTTATTATATTCCCTTCTACGTGACTTTACCGAAAGAACCAAGAAAAATGGTATAATTGTTGTAAAGTGCCTTGCAACAAGGCGTTATATAAATAAATATAAGACACAATGATTGATTTAAGGCCAGGTTGCTTTGGATCAGAGGAAAGACATGTTGTGAGACAACATGTACGGAATGTCACTGCAGACGGCAGGGTTCACCTGGGCAGAGAGGTCCTCCTTGCTGCTGAAGCCACTGCTGCTCGTGTCCAGCGTGTCGAGGCAGCTCACCGCCGCACCAAGCGCCTCCCCGCTGCCACCCTCCAGGGTCTCGCTGCTGCTCCTCTCTAGGCACACCTCACCTGCCACCTGCACGCTCCCCTCCGCGTTGTCACCGTGGTCGCTTCTACTGCCGCCGCCGCAAGTGCTCACGACCTCGAGGCTCGCTCCGCTACCCGCCCTGCGGAAAGCGTCCCGCAGCCGGGAAGAGTCGCTGCATTCAGGCCCCAGGCCGCTTTCGCAAACTCTCACGCAGCCTTGCCGGCCGCTCTCTGTCGAAGGAAGGCACTGCTGGCCGCTGTCACCGTTGGGATTTTGGTCATTTGGCAAAACCAAGGACAAGGCGTCTTCGCCGGCACCGCCAACGAAGCCGGCTCCTCCGCCCCCCGCCGCCGACACGGCGTCCGTCGAGCTGGCCTTGGAGTCGCCCCCGTGCAGCGGGGCCTGTCCCTTGCAGGGGGCGGCCGAGTCGACTCCCTGCAGGTTTTCCCGGCTGCCCGCGAGGCCGTCTTTCTTTTTACCCCGAGCCAGGCGCAGGGGACCCTTCCCCGGCGCAAACTGCTTGGGCCGCAGATGCGAGCGCGCCTTGGTGCCGAAGCGCGGGCTGCCGGCGGGGCTGCCGGTCCTGCTGCCTCCGCTGCTCGGGCTTGGGCTGTTGGAGCCTCCACCTGAAGCTGTCAGAAAGAGACCGGTCGGGTTTAAAGACCGGTCAGGTTGTGTTTGTAAGATTAACGAGTGAAAGTAAAGAATAACCACCGTTCATCAAGGTGTGGATTAAAAGCAAAAAACGGTCACACGGGTAGTTCTTGCACGGACCAATCTCTAACATTCGGGGGGGGGGGGGGGTGGGGTTGGTGGTTGCGCCGGGTCTGCTTGAGTTCCGAACTGATAACTAGTATCAGGGGACATGATGCTACAAAAGCACAATTGGAATAAGGCTGGGAAAACTAGAAACTAGAATGAACAATGAAGCTCGCACAAGGGTGCTTTTTTATCACAGATCCTGAGCGCAGACAAAACTGGCCAAGTGGTCAGCAACAAACAAAATTATTGAAAACGAGGTCAAGAGTGAATGTTTCTTAAATTGAGCAAGATTATACGAGACGATGGGAGGAAATTCCAAAGTGGAGGAGAAGTGTGGAATGAAGCAAAGAGAGAAGACACATTTAGACCTGCAGCGTGCCGCTTGAATGAACATAGTGCGGAGGAGAGATGAAACGGTCATTCTGGTCAGAGGCCTCAACGTGGCGAGCAGGAATCAACGAGCGATGGTCACGGGAACGGCAACCGCGGTCGTAGCGACCGGAGAGTGATCAGGAGGCGACCGACCGCCGGTGAGCCGAGCGGGTTCGAGTCGCGGTCCAACGAGTCGACCGGAGCACGGCGGCCGCCGCAGGACCGCTCACCTTTCGCGCCGACGGCAAACCCCGAGTCAGACGAGGACGACGAGTGGACGGCATCGAGGCCGCCGTAGAGATTCGCGCCTGGCGCGGCCGCCGCCCCCCCGCCTATGTCGTGCTGCACCTCCTTGAGGGCCGCGATGGCCGCCGCGGCCGTGGCGAACATGGCCGTGGTGGCGGCCGCCTCGGCGGTGGCGGTGGCGGGCGAGACGGCGTGAGCGTCTTCGGGGTCGCGGCGCGGGGCCAGGAAGGCGCTGGGGTCGAGCCCACGGCGGGGGAACTTCACGATCTTGTGCGACTTGATCCAGCGACCGTTCACAAACTGGAACCGCTTCAGGTGGATGATCTGTGCACGGCAGCGAGCCCACAGGTGGCGAATCACTCGGTCTCACACTCCATTCTGGATATGCCCACCACACCCCTGCACTGACTAGCAGGGTGAAGTATGCGCAAAATAACTTCCCCCCCGCCCACCATGACCAACAAGGCACAGGGAGGCAATGGATTAACAGAGGCCCGCATATTATTATTTTTACGCCGAGCATTCATCGTGGCAACACGCCACTGCCAAACGTGGCCACAGCAAGACAACGGAAGACGTTCTATTCGTGGACCTCAGCATTTCCAGAAGAAGGCCCGTCGGCCGAAACGAGTGCCAGCATAGAGAAACCTGTCGTTGAAAAAATAAGAAGAGGTTTTACCCTTTCTGGCAATAAAACAGGTGTTAAGATGTCCAAACACCAAATAGAAACATTTTGCAAGGAATCAAGTCTGCATTAACCACACACAGTACTACTTGTGTTGAACATGGAAACAAACAAGCTCTGATAATAAATAAATATATGCATTGCTTTTGAAACTGGAAGGCTATCTCTGGTGCAGTCCAATCAGTTTCAAATGCAATGCAGATATTATCAGAGCATGTTGTTTTCCATGTTCATACACGGCATCTGCTACACAGTGGACGTTAAACATCCCATGGACGTCATTCGCATAAATAGGCCGTTGTGTGCCAGCGTCGTGGTCCAAATTAAAAAAAATTCCACATTACTCGAATTGGAAAAAACAAAGCAATCATTGCACCCCCACCCCACCCCCCAGCCCCTTACTGTGGAAACTTGGCAGGACCCTCCTGAAAAGGCGTCATGAGAATCACTGGGACTTTGCTGGATAAACGAGTGCCATAACAATTGTTATTTTAGGGGTGGCGGAATGGACAAAACTGTTAAAATGGAGACAGAAAACGAGAGAACAACAAAATCGTTCCTTAAACTTGAAAGGAAACTTACAAATATTAACAATCACTGGAGGGGGTGAATCACATCAATAATATAAAAGGAATTCACGTAAATGTTATTTGTTGTAAAGTGCTCTCCGAGTTGCCTTTACGGCGCAAAGTGCTCTATAAAAATATAGATCGACGGAATCCGCCTGACGCGTAACATTGAGTGGGGGGGAGGGGGTGGCATACAGCGGGCAGCGCGGGGGAGGCTTACGAGGCTGGGCGGGAGCCTCCAGATATCCAGCTTCTTGCTGGCCAGGCGGTGCGCCCTGCACTTGGAGCAGTAGTAGAGCTCATCCTCGCCCAGCTCCTCCTCCTTGGTGAACGCCTGCAGGCAGCTGTTCAAGCTGATGGGCTCCGTCTGCGCACGGCGAGACTCGCCCACGCTCTCGTGCTCAAGACACACCTGGCAGGCCGCCACGCACGCAAGAACGCGCACGCACGCACGCACGCACGCAGGAACACGCACGAACGCAGGAACACGCACGCGTTGGTGGAGTGGGCCTAGTTAGGCCTTCGTGGAATTAAAGGGGTTTTGTCAATACAACCTCTATACTGCGGCAACCCCCACTAATTAATTAACCTAGTCCTTGTGAGGACACACTTAGCATAGACTGTACCATCAGACAGTCAAGATTCACCATGCGGACACAGTCTGCTTTATGTTGGTATAACTATTAAATGCATCACATGCTATGCCAATGCAACAACAGCACCTACCAATGCCCTGTACTAGCGGTAGTGCCCCGCAAATGTGGGACGAGAGAGACACAGAGCGACGATGCAATGCCGCAGTGAGCGCTTTGCTTTACCCGTTCCTGTGCCGTCTGATAGCGCAGATGCAGGGCTGTGGGGTCCCAGTCGATGGCAATGTACACTCCGCTGCTTCCAACAAAAACCACGGTGTTGCACTCGATCTTGCATCCACGGCAAAACCTGTGAAGTGTGCGCAGGCAGTCCAATCAAGACACGAGAACGAGACACGGCAGGGCTGTCACACTCGCAGCTGTCAACGCGAAATGGCATAAGTGGATGCTGCACAAACAGGAGCGCACAAATGCACCGCTATATGCGTGTGGGCGCACCAGGAGACATGACGGGATGTTTGCAGACGCAACGAGAACAAATGTGGAAGCGCAAGGCACACGTTGAGACGTGCAAGTTGGAACATCGGGCTCGGTCACCTCGAGCTTACCGATCGGACATCGTCTGATTCAAATACTACAATGAATCATCAGAATAATGATAATACATCGACAATAATGATCAGCTCAGTGTCCAACTACTGCTGCAGCAACATGCGGCTGAGTGCAGGTCGGAGAAGTAGGACCCAAGCCAGTTCAGACCTCACTTGCCACTGACATTAGCCATTGATGGGAATCGAACTTAAGTCACCGGCTTTATAGCCAATGAAAAATGTGACTTAAAATAAAAATTACATTTCGTACACTGCCCGTGACTCCCTTGCTCCTGTTCAAACGCAGGATATAGAGAAAACTTCCTTTTATTGCTCTGCCTCTGACATCCTCCCTCTCGAGAAGAGATGTCCACAGTTTCTGCAGGACATCTTGAGATGTGGTCGCATTAAAAAGCTATATAAATAAAAACTGGTATAATATTATTTATTTGTAAACAAATAGTGTATCAGGATTGTTATTGCATTGCCCAACATAATACATTGATAAGATACATACAATATGAACCTTATTAATGGCCTATGTGAGAGCCCATTTGAAGGGGAGGCCCTGAGGCCACAAGGTAAAGAATGAGCACCGCTGACTTGAGCCATCCAGCAGACAAAGAGCCCTGACAAACGCACGTTGGAAAAACTGAGAAACGGTCTAACGCGTCTGGGGACGTACCGGCGTAGAATAACCCCCAGACACTCACCTATGGCTCCGACATATACTCATCCTGGACCAGGAGGGTATACCAAAAATTGCCCATAAGATGGACACTACCGGGCAAAAGGAAACCTGGGAGACCCAAGACCAGCTGGCGCGAGACCGTGAAGTCCGAGCCGGTTGCAGCGACCAACCTCTCTTGGGGCGAGGCTCAACATGTTGCCAGGGGCAGGAAGAAGTGGAGGGAACTCAATGCGTGTCCCACAGGGGATGAAGAGGATTCACTAACTAACTAACTAACGCACCTATACCAAGGGCACCAGGCGCACGTGACCCCGTCCTTTTGCACAGCGGACAGCGTGAAGGGGTACTGGTAGCCCAGGCTGTCGTCACTGCAAGGGGGGGGGGGACACACAACAAGGGCAGGGGGTTGGACCGTTGCACAAGATCAACATTAATTCTGTTGGCAGCGTTGCACCCACATGGAGGAAACCTTCAAACGGGCATAACAAGAGTTCAACCGGCGATGGGGGCACTGAAACAAGCTGTGGTAGAGGCTCATGAAAATAACTGGGCGACAAAATACAGTTACAATTCTTGATTGGGTTTATTTTGAATTAGGCCGTATAGATCTGATCATCTGATGTCAATTAGAGCTAAAACCCATCCACTGCCTCGCACAATCGTTGGAATCCAGTTGTCATGTCAGAATCTGAATCGTTACTTAGACTGGAGGAATCCGATGAGCTATGAAGCTCTTTTCCACAGATGTCCATCCGGATAAATGTGGGAATTGATTTTCTTTACAATTAAACTTACAATTAAAGTTACCTCTAGAACACTGTCACTTTCGGCAAAATAACATGCAAACGGTAGTATAACATGATTATGACATGATATTTTAATTATGACGGGCAAAAGCTAATTTAGTTAACTATGCTAATAACCATCAAAACATGAAACAAAAGTCAATGTCGTGTTAGGGGAAATGCTATGTTAACTGCCACTTGGACACGAATAATAATGAGTGCAACAACGGCCCTGCTATCACAGTCATCACACCACTGCTTATACCCCATAACAATACGAAATTACATTTTAACTTTCTGGACTGAGCACAATAAAAAGGAACTAAACAAAACTGTTCACAAGACAAATAATTTGTCAGAATTGGCAATTAAATAGCGAGTTAGGAATACTGCAAGTAAAGCTGTATTTTTCACAATTATCCTGGGCAGTAATTAACTTTTTTATCCAGGAGAGCCACGCTGAGCTAGAGAACTCTAGTTCTATTTTAAGATGTTTTCAGCCAATTAATAATGAGAGTATTTTATATATATAAGCAGGAGGAGAGACTGGAGCACCCGGAGAAAACCCATGCATGCGAGGGGACAACACTATCTCCGTACGGATGGAAACAGATGGCAATTTAGTCCGCGTACTGCACTGCCTTCTCCTCGCGAAGCCAGTGTTTGGCTCCTCAGTGCCCGAGGTGTGGCACCAATACTTGTAATAACTGCATGGTTTAACATCTCCATGAGTGCGTGCATTAGCACCGGGGAGTCAAACGTGGCCAGGCATGGTGTTTAAGAACACCACACCCTTGTGTGCCGTGCCAGCCTCAGTCGGAGCTTGCAGTCCTGGCCACGACAGCTTGTGAAAGGCTACACGAGGGAGGATCTTTGTGTTTTTGTTGTTGTTGTGCGAGTGATGCGCGGGTGGCATTACCAGTCCTGTGCATGGTTGCTGGCCTCCTGGGGTGGCAGTGGGCTGACGAGCCGAGCCACCTGGCCCCACACCAGGTCGTACAGGTGGCAGTGCTGTGTGCCGGCCGCACACGGCACAATGAGTGGCATCCCAAACAGGCTCGGTCGGTTCTTGTGCGATGACAGGAAGTAGACCTCCATACGCATCTGCCACGTGCAGAGCACCAGATCAAGCTAGAGGTCAAAAGGCCGTCACAGATAATATTATGGATGGCACTGCATGTGGCTATTGCTTTCTTCCGCTAGAATCTGGAGCCGTTAAACAGTCGACAACTGACCTCCAAAGGACTGTGTTGACAGTATCTTACCTTCTGGCTACAGGTCCCCCTTTTGGATGCTGACCTCTAGGTGCCACTCTAATACATTCATCAATAAACTTCCCACTTCCACCATGCTCAAGTTTCTCACCCATTACAAAATTGCAAACCCTATCTGGCCATACAATTCCTAAAATCCTCTGCGATCGAAAGGCACAACACGAAGATGCGCAGAGTAAGAGAAGCGAAACGAATGCTCAGCCCATGCCATCACGTCGCAGACATGGGTGCATTTGATAAACCTCCAAACGCCCAAAAAAATGTGGAAAATATATAGGATAGTATTTATTCATAAAAAGACATTGTAAAAAGTACTAAAACTAAACTTTATATTGGATTTTGTCAGGTAAGGCCTCCTGAGCTATATAGATATTTTTCTGCAGCGACCTAACTACAAGTGATAGCTCAACGAAAAGGCTTATCGTCACGAGGAAATTTATAGCAAAAAAAAACTTGAACCGCATGTTTCTAAATGTGGAAGTAAAAACTGGCGGACCCGGAGAAAAAAAACCGCACGACCACGGGGAGAGAGACGTGCAAACTCAAAAAATACAGGCGTCAGGGCTGGCATCGAACCCACGACCTCCTGTATACCAAGTGAGGTAGTTAACATCTCGCAACTGCGGCGTCCCTCCTACTCCTCTTCACCACGTGAAGAAAACAACGTCAGATCGGCTGTTCCCCATATAAAACAGGTTTTGTGAATAAGATGATAATCAAAAACAGGATTTTTAAGCAAATATGTTTACAAAATACTGCAATAACATAAAATACTGTTCCCCGAATAACTGCCGACACTGGCCAACGAATGCCTCAGCTGTCATTGCATTAAAAGCACAGCTTTTACAGAGACACTCAAGCCTTTTACCGTGACACGGGCGTTTAAAAACAATCCCGCTGAGCGGCACTGTGCTTAGAGCGCTTGGCTCGCAATTGCAAGGCTGCACACGCAAATCCTGGGCTAAGGTTGATCATGCCCCATCATTCATTTCCTTCATCTTCTCGGCCAAAAGTCCCATGACTGGATGACTGGGTGGTTGTCGGGCCGCTCGGATTTTCTTTCTCCACCCGCTTCCATTCTGCCGCGTCTCCTCCGGCCGCATACACAGCGCCTCGTGCCTCGTTCCGTGCGCATGAGAGGCGTGGGGGTGAGGACGGTCTACCCGCGGGAAAGGATAATCAGCCCGCGGATAACCCGAGAGCGAGCCGTGCGAGCGAGCGCGGCGAGCGGGTACCATCTTGCGGTGCACGGCGATGGCGTATCCGGAGGGCTGCACGCCGCCGAGCTGCTCCGGACGGCAGGACTGCGCCAGGTGCCCGTTGGTGAGCCCGTTGGAGGCGCTCTTGGCCAGTCCGCCCGCACCTCCGGCAGGGGAGCAGCCGCTGCTGCTGCTGCTGGGCATGCAGCTGTCGCTCTTTGCCTTGCGCAGGCAGCCCACGTCCGCGGGTGCCAGCGCATCGCTCGCGGCTCGCTCCTCTGGGAGGGTCGCGCAGTTGGGGGACACAGTTCACGCGCAAGTCGGTTGTGGGCATGGTTGGTGACACACCTGCGGTAGTTTGCTTGTGCTTATGTGTGCGGTTGGGGCAAAGCATGGTGGCAGGAGGTTATCGTTTAACACAATGAATGTAAAAACTTTATTTGGTGCTTTCGTGACTGCAGGAATTACTCTTTGGTTTTGTCGGTAAAGTCACGTAGAAATAAGAAATAATAATAAAATTACATAATAGCATACGGCGTTTCGATTGCAATGCAAGCAATCATCATCAGGTATAGAAGAGCTAAATTTAAGAGAGAGAGGAAACACAGAACCGCAGATATATATATACAGACACCTAAGTAGAGGGAGTTAACACAGAGACACAAAGAGACAACGTACGGAGCACAGAGAGATAGGGTCTCTGTGCTGAGGCCTTAGGACGTAGGGGAGACAAAGAGAGATGGAGAAGCACATCAAATCGAACAAGATTTAGAAAAATTTGGAAACAATATAATGCAGCACAGAGGGTCGGTCAAAACACAATTAACGCATGGTCTGGCTGATTGCGTTATTTCAAAGATTGCTAAATTATAGGTTAAGAGTGATAGAGTACAGATCGCAGACACATATATAGACATCTAAGCAGAGAGAGTTAGCACAGAGACACACAGACCTGACCACAAATGATAGCTCAATCAATTGGCTGATCATGTGGAAATTTATAGCAGCCAAATACTGTTAAGACGTGTGATGATTTTAAATGAGGGAAAAACCAGAAGACCCAGAGAAAAATCCAAAAGACTACGGGGGAGAGAGACATGCAAACTACAAATATACAGCAGGCGTCAGGGTAGGAATCGAACCCACGACCTCCTGTAGACCACGTGAGGCAGTTAACATCTCACCACCGTGGCGCCCTACAGAGACACAGACTGCAAGAAGCAATGAACTGACCTCCGATGGGTGTGAAGTGCGCGTCGGTGGGCGACGTGGAAGCAGGGTCCCCGGAGAGCACCGGTATCTCGAACGCGCACAGATAGCTGGTGGCACCGGACCTCACCTTCTGATTGTCGTCCGGAAAGTTCTGGCCAAACAAAAGGAAAGTTCAACAATCCGCCTCGCGTTTGCACACAATAGCCCGGTGACGCAACGTGTGCAAACTGTGTTGAGCCAAGAGGTAAGTGGGACTCCATAGTTTCACCATGGTTTTGATGCACAGAAGAGGTGGCGGTGGGGGGGGGGACTCTTTCCTTAATGAGGACCAAAATAGAACCTTTGGTGGATCACACCATTAACACTCTTCCCCCCGGCATCATAAAAAAAAAATGCAAATCCCGTGTCTGTCGACCGAATATAAAGAAGCCCAGATTTATTTACACATCTGACTTGTGTAACTTTCTTTTACTTATACGTCGTTCGTACTTTTGTTATTATTTGTATGCACTGAAAACGTTACAAATGGATCATGATAATGCTCAGATAATAATGGAGGATGACAATGATGATAACACTCACAGTGATGACGATGACAATGATGATAACACTCACAGTGATGACGATGACAATGATGGCATACGATGGATGATGATGACCTGACGACGATGAGGGTGATGATGCTCCGTTGACGACGATGGATGTCAATGACAATTGCCGAGTTTGCAACGCCTGCCGATGACGATAGCAATGTGCAGTGGCTTACGGCGATTATAGTATCAACGTGTTCTTTTTATATTTAGCATCAATCATGAAAATTGCGTCTGAAAACGCTCGAGAATTTGTGACGCGCACAGATTTCGCACGGAGGCGTAGGCAACCAAGGACAAGTGAGAAGGGAACTAGAACCAGCGACGGCTCCTGCCCAAGCTCTGTGGTCCTATGATAATTTTGTGCTATTTACGGATCTTTGGCCAACTCCATGAATGAGCGTTTATACACAACAGGAGGAACCCAGAGTACTTGGACAGAACCCACACGGGCGAGGGGGGGTAACACACTCAATCCCAGTGCAGATGGAGTAAAGATAGACATAAATCCACTTAAATTTTGATTTAAAGCTTTCGTGACTGCAGTGATTCATATGCTTGGTTCTTTCGGTAAAGTCGCGTTGAAGGGAAACAATAAAATAATAAAATATATATAAAACAATAAAATTCTCACGACGTTACGACTGCAACACAAGCATTATTTTATTGTTTCCCTTCCACGTGACTTTACCGAAAGAACGAAGAATATAAATCCACTTCCTCTGTATTACCATCATACTCTGGGCCAGCCAGGAGATGGCGACCTCGATACCCATGAGTAGGGAGTGTCACGAATTTATGCGTTCCACCAACCCTCGCCTACGAAGTACTGGATTACAGGCATGCGCGCCTGAGGACCATGCCGATCAGAATGATGACGGTGATGACGGTGATACTGATGATGATGATAATGATGATGACGACGAGGATGCTAACAATGCCGCCATCGCCCCATCCTGTGAGGCTCACCCTGATGTTGGAGGAGAAGACCTCCGCCAGCAGGATCTGCTGGGGCTGCAGGCTGCACAGCTCGCTCAGCTGCTGCTTCAGGCCGCTGTACTTGTCCTCGACGCCCAGGCGCAGCCCGTACCTCACCGGCACAGAGCCGTCCAGGCGGATCACTGCGGCAGGGCAACCAGCCGGCCAGCAATCCACAAAAGCACACGCGTCAAAACGGGCTTCCCGCTCACGACGAGCGTGCGCAGTTGGTTGGAGCCTGCTCGCCGCTCGTGTACCAGCCCTGTGCCGGCGGTGAAGAGGTATCCGCGAGGCTAACAGAATCCCAAGCAGAATCTTTATTTAGACTGCAGGAGGCATCCGATGAGCTACGATGCTCTTTTTAAAAAGATGTCCAGTATGGGGCACGGGGTCGGCAAAGTTACAACTACTTTGGGGACTCCTACGACCCCTTCGCCGGAATGCGCACAATCTCGCCAGATCACGGAGGCCTAGCAGCTTTTGAGAAGTGCTCATACAAAATGTTATCGGATGCTGGGGCCACATAGCAGTGGGCAGCAGTGGACAGTGCGGCAAGGTCGATTATTGTATTGTACTTCTATGCTCCTCACCAAACGCAATAATAACACTGTGACCTTAATTGAAATATATATAACAGGTGACAATTTGAGCATTGGCCCTTCTTCATAACACAATGACTCTAAAATCTTCTAAAGTTCTACTGTTAGCAATGGACCAGTATAATACGAAAAAGTGTTCAACACACAAACAGTTTATCGCACAAACAGTTGTGAGCGAATGCCATTTCAAGGTTTTCATTAACTTCCTAATCTCACTGCAAGTGGAGTTAGATTTGGTAAGTGTGCACGTGCAATTTGGTAGGTGTGTGTGCGCGTGTGTGCACAAGTGGGCACATGTGGGCACATGTGTGCGCAGGAGCCATGCCGGTCTCCATATGTGCTCACGAACAGCACTTGCCTCAGCAGCTTGTCTGACTACAAGAGGGATCTTTGCCTTTGTGGCGGATCAGTAGTGCAGTGGTTAGTGCACTTTTTACGAACCCGGTGGGCCCGACTTCGATTGCCGGCGACTGCTAAAACAAGGGGCAAGTATCTGAACTGTGGTCCCAGGCTTCCCCTAGGTCAACTTAACCTCAAATGAGAACCTGGCGCGGTGTGTAAATATCAGCACTGGGGAGACAAAGGTGGCCGGGTGTGGTGCTAGACAAACTGCCCCCTCTTGCGCCATGCTGGCCTTCATAGGTGCTCACTAACAGTACCGGCCACAACAGCCTATGTGGCTATACAGGGGAACTTTCTCTCTGTTTAAGCACACGAACGTGTGCGTGAAATGTCTCTGTGAGATGTGTGTGGGAAGCGGTAGTGTAGCGGCAGCGTAGCGTTAGCGCGCTGCGCTATGAACCTGGCGACCCGGGTTCGATTCCCGCTCACGGCCAACACCAGTGTCGATTATCTGAACTGGTCCCAGGCCTCCCCTAGTTCAACTCAGCCTCAAATTGAGTATCTGGTGCAGTGTGTAAACATGACCACTGGGGCCAGGCGTGGTGTTGGCCACCCATCCCCTCGTGTGCCGTGCCGGCCTCCATAGGTGCTCGCTAACAGCACTTGCTCCTACAGTCTGTTCAGGCTATACAGGGGATCTTTGTTTTTGCTATGTGTGTGATGTGTGTGATGTGTGCGTGCGCACGTCTCAGTCCCACGTTTACCCGTGATCTCCACGTGCATGGAGCTGTCCATGGGCAATGGCAGCGACAGGAAGTTGAAGGGGTCGAACCGCACGCTCACGTGGTCGCACATCTTGCAGCGAACCTGGGACTTGAGCTGCCCGTGAAAGAGGTCCACAACGATGGACTTGTTCCTCAGAAGGTGGTTCTCCCAGGCCTGCGATGCAGGGGGCAATGAATTGGCCACAGGTTTTAAGGTGCTAAGGGGGTTTCAGGTAGGCGGGTAACGTGCGAAGATAAACTTCCTTCCCTTAAGCTTCCGCGCGCACCTGAGAATGTGTCCGATCTACACCTTTTTTTCCAAAAAACCTATTCCACAAACCGTACAATTTGTATCGGCAGAGGCAGGGATGGTGGGGCAATGGGCGTCACGGCGCACTCACCTCTGTGGCGACCTCGTGGTCGGGGCGCCCGTCGCTGTCCTTGAGCTCCACGTATGGTTTGTCGTGCACGCGGTTCAGGTCTTCGTGCAGGCCGTCCAGCAGGAAGGCGAGCAGTTCCTGGGAGTCCTGCTGCTGGAAGCCGTTGAAGCGAGGGGCGTACTTCCCGATGGTCCACTGCGGGTTGCAATCCAAACCTCGATCAAGCACGGTTTGGCTACGTACGGTGTGAAATAAGTTCTACGTACGGTGTGAAATAAGTTCTACGTACGTATGCGCGTGCGTATAAACTTGACACCGCAGACAAACCATATGCAGGAGGTGGCCGTGTGGCTCACAGGTTGATCACCCATTACTGCGCAAGGTGATCACCCATTCAAACACTAGCCAAGAGTTATCCCCCTATTTTAAGCTTCTGAGATCTGATGAGATGGGGCGAACTGCCGGGGTGATTTTTTTTGTCATAGTCCATTGCAATTCAACGCCGGAGCCGTGGGTGTGCAATGCATCCTCACTCGCAGCTTGAGCGGTGCCACGTTCTTCTGGGTGCCACTCCACAGCTCGTTGATGAGGTCCCCATAGCACTTGGCCATGTGGCCCTTCATGCCCAGCGGGTTCGTGCTGTGGAGAAAAGTGTGACGACACCAGGCAGGTTTATACTGCGTGACGTCAACAGTTGAGCAGTAATTCATATTCTTAGTTCTTTCGGTAAAGTCACGTTTAAGGGAAACAACAAAATATATATAAATATATTATATATAATATATAAATATATATTATATAATATATATTTATATATATTTTATTATTTTGTTGTTTCCCTTAAACGTGACTTTACCGAAAGAACTAAGAATATGAATTACTGCAGTCACGAAAGCTTTAAATCAAAATTTAGTTGAGCAGTAGTGACTGTGTGTGTGCGTGCGTGCATATGTCCACGTGTGTGTGTGTGCATGAGTTGAGTAGTGGCTGAGCGTCATTTTAGTGTATTCATGGAAGCTGTGTGTGAATGTGTCCGTGTGTTAGTTGCATAGTGGTTGCATGTATTGTGTGAATGGGTCTGTGTGTGTGTGTTAGATTGAGTAGTGGCTGGGCATATTGTACGATTGGTGGCTGTGTGCAAGTTGGTGAGTAGTGGCTGGGCATAATGTACGATTGGTGGCTGTGTATGCGAGTTGGTGAGTAGTGGCTGGGCGTATTATAGGATTGGTGGCTGTGAGTTGGTGAGTAGTGGCTGGGCCTATTGTACGATTGGCAGCTGTGTGTGTAAGTTGGTGAGTAGTGGCTGGGCGTATTGTACAATTGGTGGCTGTGAGCTGGTGAGTAGTGGCTGGACGTATAGTTACCGGTTGAGCTCGTAGAGGTGCATCCCAGAGAGGAAGTACTGCGTGAGCTGCCGCGTGTTGCTCACACACTGGATGCTCGAGTTCATGAAGCAAGTGTTGCCCAGATTGCTCAGCCCGGTCGCTCCTTTTTCTGTGGGAACTGTAACAAACACACACACACATCCATAACTCAGAACTCTGCAGGGCCTCTTGCCTTGCACAACATCTCCCTCAGCAATCAATTCCCGGAATACATTTAAATAAAGTATTGATGTCCTATTCAAGATAATTTTTTAAAATCCTTTACTTTACCAAGCACTTAAATGGGGGCAACTATTTTGTCATAGTAATACGCAGTGTCTTTATAATGCCAAATGGAAACATCAGTTTTGGAAATCTTTTGCCAATCCCCATTAATAATCCAACAAAATATCCAAATGTCACATCTTCAATGGTACTTCCGTGTGCATGAAACTACCAAGTCATGTTAAACATATAAACAGTTGTGAGCACAGAAACCCTCGGGCGTGGATTCATATCCTTCAAGTATCAATACAGAACTCCGCAACACTGTCCTCTTATCAGCACTTGTGCCAATGCCATCCCGGCACCGATTCCTTCACAAAATACATTTGCACAGCAATTGCGGCAGAATAACGACAATTGATCATTTCAAAATATCAGTATTGTCTTTAAAAATGTTGTTCAGGGCACCTAGCTTGCTCCGCTCCAGGTTTTTGCGGTTCGCCAACGAGGACATCTCTTCGGGCCAGCTCATGTCTTTGTTCCGCACTGCAGGAACAAACCAGCAACAAAGTGATCGGAACACGAACGACCCAGGAACTGCCCTGACAAGCGCAAAGAATAATAACGATAGAAAAACACCCGCACGTTATTTTCACAACATTTTTAATTCGTCAAAATACGAGCCATATCAAAACAGATGTCCCACTTAACGATTAAACCGTGCACGTAAAATATTTTGCATTCGTTATATTTGGATCCAAAAGCTTCTTTGTGTCAATCAGAAACACCCAAGAGGTAAAGGTGCAGCAATGAAATTATTTGCTCCACACCACTGGTGGCGGAAGGTCCTCCACTAGAGGGAGCTCTTGGGACCTCCCATCTAAGAGATTAGTTGGGCCTATACTTATTCCGCTTGCCAAATATCTTGGAAACGGTGGGAATACCCACACTTTAACCCACCGACCCTACCCATCGCCACAACTCTGGGGTACCGATGTAAACTGCTAGGTCGACAAAGCAGCGGGGCGGGGGGGGGGTTCAATAAACTCTCACGGTTTCAATTTCCAAGCCACGAGATTAAATCAGCGACCTCGGTATTGCAAGTCAATGTGATAACCATTACACCATGCCAGCTTCCCCAAGAATTTGTTTAACAAACAATATAATTAAAAAATAATGTATGTCTACGAACAAACCTCAAAATTATTTAAATAAATATTCGGTACGTAGCTGGTGCTGCAGTTAGAATGCTCAATTCACAAGCAGAACGTCAGGAGTTTCAATCTCTGCTGTAGTTCAACTCATTTTATCATCTGTCCGAGGTCAATTATTAAACGAGTACCATGCGTGGGAAGTCACTAGTGGTTAGCCAAAATTTGAGCGAACGGGCCCTGCCACAAGAAGGTAAAATGTTCATGATGAGCATGGACTTTGAACAAAGATGATTGCTGCTCCATTATTAATTTGAGCAGGGAGAGAGACGTGGCACTTTTAAAGTAATAATACAATTGAAGTTAACCTCTAAATACGGACATGTGTGTTAATTTGATTGATATGCGCAGGAACCACAAAGGCTTTAGAAAGTTGCATTAATACGCCAATCGATTATTTGTGACACAACTGAGCTGTAAAGCGACGCCATCACTTACGGCTTGTTCAATATCATCAACATTTATCGTGAGCACATACATCTCACGCCAAAGTTGCGCACTAATGGAATCTGTTTATAAGCAATTAACTTGTTACTAAAAGCTTTCTTTTGATAACAAAGCATTTTAATGCACTGCATCTGAGAGGACAGGAGGTTGGAAAACCCTGTGGATATTTTGACACGTAGCTGATATTTAACAATTCCTTTCACAGTGCATTCACATTTTCCAAGCCAGAGTAGGCTTGAGTCTGGATATTGCTGGGATGGACATTACCGCGCATAAAACAGGTCTATTTTTAAGAGACTCTTACAAGGCCTACCATCTCTTTCGCCCGGCTTTCGAGTGACAGAGCTTGGCTCCGCACCTCAGAGCTACGGTTTTCTATGGCCGTGAAATACTGTGAAACTACATTATTATTTTGAACACCTGTTAATAGGCAGTGTTCCTCACCTTCACCAACCCACACTGCTAAGCGTGGGGAAATCTATTCAATTTTCATTTTACCAGGAAAGGCCCACTCTGAGCTATATAGCTCTTTTTCATAAGCGACATGGCCACAAATGATAGCTCAAGGAAGCGGCTCATCATGTGGAAATGTATAGCAGCCAAATACACTAAACGCTTGTTCAACAAATGTGGAGGGAAAAACCAGAGGACCCGGAGTAAAATCCACGCGACCACAGGGAGAACATGCGAACTCGAAACCACGACCCCTCGTGTAAACCGGGGCGTGGTAGTTAACATCTAGCCACCGCGGCGCCCCTGAAGTAAGGTCAAATAACCCACCTCCACGACCCGCACGGCGTTGGGAGGCCCTCATCTAGTGGGGGCTTAACATAGGGCTGTACATCAGCGCTTCGCAATCTTTGTCATTCGACGGTACTCTCGTCGAGCTTACTCGAATTTCGTGGCACACCGAACAAAAAAAGACAAATCGCTTTCAGCCCTTCATCCAGCAGTGAATTGATCGTGGGTGCTGATGATGTGTGCCTGTGTAGCAGGCGTCTCTTTCTCAAGTGATACTTCGCTACGGTCGGACTCGGTCCCGTTAAGGAAATGTGGAATTTCCACAACCTCGTGTGTTGCTCTCCGCTCGAACATTGCGTGTGAAGCTCGGGTTTAATGTACGTATGTATGCTGAACTTCTTTCGCACAGTACGTAGCGAACTGTGTTAATCGCCGGGGCACCCGGCTCAGCCAATTAACTAAGAGGGGGAGTTGTGTGTTTTATGTGCGTCCGTCAGTGCAATGCATGTGTCCGTCTGTCTGTGCGCGAGCGGGGAGTAGTAGGGGCTTACCCTAGGTTGGCTAGACCCCAAATGAGTACCTGATGCGGTGTGTAATCATCGCCACGAGGGAAACAAAGGCGGCCGGGCGTAGTGTTGGCCACCCACCCGCCCGTGTGCCGTTCCGGCCTGTATAGGTCCTCACCAACAACACTTGCCCCAACTGTCTGCTAAGGCTATACGGGGGATCTTTGACTTTTGTCTTTAATTGGTTATTGTTTGTTAGGGTGGCCATCTGTTTTTCTCGTTCATGCTTTTATTTAGATTTCTGTGTCTATCTCCTGTGTTTATATCAACGCCTGTGTCGATTTAATTGTATTATGCTGATGTATGTGTGTCTATGTGCTTGTCTGTTAATTATTTAATGTAACTGTGTGTCTGTTGTTTTATTTCAATGCCTGTGTGCGTATTTAATTACTTTACGTTGACGTCTGTGTGTCAATGTGTTTACTCTTTATTTTATTTCAATGCCCGTGTGTCTGTTGATCAATTCCAAATTACGGGGCCACAGCGGTTGCAGAGCGCCCTTGTACGTGATAGGCTTCATATTTGCTACGTCCAGGAAATGGTACGCCTGCCAGCCGAATGGAGAACACTTCACATGATAAATAATGATAATTGGAAATAGAATCGCTATGAAACTTACTACAGCTTGCCAATACCAATGCCCATATCTATACAGTTTTTTTGTAAGATTGGCAATGCAATACTATCAAATAAATATTTTTCTAATTAAGACATTTTTTTAAAACTGCGATTAGTATGTGTGTTAGAATGTGTGTGGATGAGCGGTAGTGTCGTGGTTAGCACGCTGCGCTCTGAACCTGGCGACCCGTGTTCGAGTCCCGTTCACAGCCAACACCAGTGACAATTATCTGAACCGCTCATCGGCCTCCTCTAGCTCGACTCAGCCTCAAATGAGAACCTGGTGCGGTGTGTAACCATCGCAACTCAGGAGACAAAGGCGACCAGGCGTGGTGTTGGCCACCCACCCCCTCGTTGCTGTTAGCGAGCACCTTCATAGGTGTTCGCTAACAGAAACTTGCCCCAACAGTCTGTTAAGACAATGCAGGGGGGGTATTTGTCTTGTGTGAAGAGCATGTGGCCTAATGTACGCATCCGCTGGTACGTGTTAGACCCTAGGGCCAATTTACCGTTGCAATTACAAATCTAATGTTAAACTGAAATTAAAATCACATTGCAATTCATATTCATTATGAATTACACGATTACAATGGTAATTGACACGAGGCGTGTTGTCTCTGGTCTGTGCCTTTGCATGTTTGAGTGCACACATTTCGTTGCAAAGTCGAACGCAATCACAAACAAACACAGGCCGGCTTGTTTAGGCAAAGAGGTCACCCCGAGGCCAAAACTCACAATCGCACATACACAAAAATTGATGAGCGAGTATCACGATATGATGACCGCGCGCAGTTCGAACGAATAAAACGTCATTCAATCAACTCTCAGCGTTCGAATGTCGTGCATAATGACTGACTGGTGTGCCCTGATGGGACAAACCTATCAGCTAGGCGGATTTGTAAATCCCAATTGTATTGCACTGTAGGAATTCCTGAGAGATGAAAAGCCATGCCATTCGTTGGGCAAGACCATCCGATTTAAATTGAACATTGGCTGGTTTCGCGCAAAATCAATAACATGCCCTTTCAACGCAGTAATCACTCTTCAAAATCTATTACTAAAAGGTCAAGTCAATTGTGCAGTGTTGAAATTAATAACAGTGGCGTACAAATGAAATGCGCAGTGTTAAGATGGTGAATACACAGGCAAGGTGTAAACAGAACCGTTATATGAAACAGGAGGCGTTAAGATGTTCAAACACCAAATATAAACCTTTTGCAAGGAATCACGTACTGCATTAACCACACAGTACGGGTGATGAACATGCAAACAAAAACATGTTCTGATAATAGATGCATTGTCTTTGAAACAGATTGGTCCAACACCAGAGACAGCCTTCTTTAAGGTTCCATGACAGAACCATTATATATACTTGGTCACCTTTGGATGGCCTAGCATTTGCTATTTTTAGCCAATGATTGATTAATCTGATTTACAGGGCTCATCTGCCAAAGCCAAATAATCGCCGTCTCCAACAGAGGTGCGATGGTGCGAGGTGGCCGGCCAGCATGGCACAAATGCGGGCAGTGGTCCTAAATATTTTACAGCTACTAAACTAAGTAATATTTAAAAATACTTTTTTAAAGCACTCTTTAATGAAATGTACCGTACGAGTAATGGCAAAACTCCACGACTCCAGGAAGTGGCCCCGAAGCTTGCCACAACATAAGGGGGACAATGGTGATTTACAGCCAACGTCAGTTGAGCGTGGACAATTAGACCCAAGCCGAAACATAACATATAAAAAAAATGGTTTAAATTTTTGATTTTTAATGATAGAATATAGTATTGTCATCAGTATGACATAAGTATACCAAGTTTGCAGTCGATACCACTTTGGGAAGTGGGTTAAAATTGAGTTACAAGATTTGAGGATACAACAACAACAGACAGACAGAGTGAGTTAAATAAAAGCGTGTAATAATCAAAAATAACCTATTCCAGTGGTGTAAATGCACTTTCAGCACACTGAAAGAGGCGTTTCCTCTGAGCAAACTGAAAAAACTTGCTTCCACTACAAAATGAAAACGTGTTGACTGACAGATCAACGAGCATAATCAAACAGCTAATCAGTTTAAGCAAATAAATTAAGTAGGATATGAATATGGTGGATACTAGAATGAGCCCTGCCTATTCGTCTTTGACGGCAACTCCCGCTCAGAAAAGAGTTGAGACACTAGGAAAGGGCACCGCATAAATGTGTTTAAAAAAATCTACAACCAAATCACCGGGAATGTGGCCAATCTTATCAGATCTCAGAAGCTAAACAGGGTTGGGCCTGAATAGGGCTTGGGTGGGAGACCATCGTGCACAAGTCAGGCTCTCATAGGCCTTGGGGGCTACATAGCGGGCAGAAGAGGGCAGTGTAGCAAAATATATTGCCGTACAGTACTTCGAAGCTCCCACGTCTTCTGTGCTTCACAGCTTCATCAACCCTCACTGACCGGCTTGGTGAAGTTACACTCAGGCAATGCCCCAGGACGCACATGGACTGGACGGACCCTCATCCAACAGTAGACTGCCAAAAAGGTTGTACATGTAACTCACGATTGGGTCAGATCATGGAGGTATAATGTCAATTTTTAAAATAATAACCCAACCACCACCCGGCAGCCAACGAAATCAAACTGTCACGTGGGACAATAGGCCAATTGATGTCGTTTTTCAGTAACTGTTTTGTGGAGCGTTTTGTCAGCGATTACACCCAGCACCGTCAGGCCTTGACAACAGCGCAACTGTCACGTGGCTCCTCATGTACATGATGGGTGTTGCAGCATCCGTACCTTCGATCAGGATCTGTTGGTTATCTTCAATCCTCAGACTCTTTATTGTTTGCTCATCATCGTCCAGAAGAGTCAGGTTGTTCTGATAAGAATAAAGTGAAAACCCTTAGTCAAAAACACAATTATGAACTTGATTCTTCAACACCAAATATCAGGCTCTGGGGGGGGGGGAGACAGTATCAATTTACTTCAGAATCTTCATTTATCCTGCAGAAATCCGATGAGCTATGAAGCTCTCTTTCACAGACGTCCACAAAGGCTTGTTTGCCTGCCTAGTAGCTCACAAAATAAAACTGTTTAACCCATCCATTTATTTTCTCTCTCCAAACGATGCCTGGGCTTGTGACGAACAGCTTCAACCATCCACTCCCCCGGAATTCCTCCCCATGTATATTGGAGGGTGTGCCTCGTGCTGAGGCTTCAGTGTGTGTGTGTCCCAGGCTGTGTGGGACCTATACAACGACAAATGCACCCCCATCTGTATATGTACAGAAAAGCCTCACCCGGGTGTCAACTCTTTTTTTAGGAGCGGTACTTTTTTGGGACGTTTAACCAGCTCCTTTGTTCGAATAGTTTGCAATGTGGAAGGAACCAGGGTGCTTGAAGGTACCCACACACACTTATGAGGGGGATACGACTCAAAGGAGCTTCACACAGATGGTTTGTTGCGAACTCCCTGCAATGTCACCTCTAGCTGATAACTTTGGCGGCCAAGCGGATCTCTACGTCTTGGTGTACATGACGACAGTGGTCGCAACAGCAAACCCCAAACCCTGCCGACAAAGCTGGATTACAGATTACAGGTCTTACGACCTGAATGCACCTGTTCTTCTCGGATCTCTGATGCGAAACTCGATTGAACCGGGTTAAGTACCGGATGGGTGACCGCCAGCACACGCACACATGTAGTTGTGGGAGCGGGGTTACCGAGTGGTCAAGAGATAGTAGGAATATAGTAATGGATTCAATCGACAGACTGAGTCAGTGTTATTCGATTATCTGTGCACTGAATTTACCCATGTGGAGCTTCAAGTGCTATCTTCTCCTATGTGTTTTTTTGTGTCCCCCAGCTCCTCCGGGGTTTGCTTCCACATGCCATACATCCCAATGCAGGATCCCTTCTGGAAGATCTTCAACTGAAACTCAGCGAGGCTTTCCTGGGGAGTGGTGCCCCGGTGATCATTACACGATTCTGAATTTGATTCCCAGCCACAGCAAACATCAACGGAGAGTGCCATTCAGACCTGCCGTGGACCCTCCCTTCACCAACGTCCCACGCCAACCAGAGCGGTGAAGCATGGTCAAACAACCTCCAAGATCGACAGAGCATGGGGGAGGCCCTTATCCAGCAGTGCGCGCGTTGTTGTTACATTTACATCTTGATTATCCGTGAGCACATTTGTACGAGTTGCGGATCATACTACTTTAGTGCTTCGGTTAAATCATAAGTGGGCACCGATGCACTCAGGACGTTGACGCTAGAACACCATTCTAGTGTCCCAGCACTCAGGGATCTAAGCTCATGCAAAAAAATGTCATTATGCATTTAGGAGTGGGGGTACCCCTCCCGCTCTGGGAAGGGGCCAGAGGTCGTGCCTCCTCTACCCACGTGACCTCCCCGATTACATTAACAAAACACGGTGAGAAAACACATCCGCTGATCTTAATCAACACTGTCACTCGCTTTCCCAGTGCCTTTACACGCCACACCTTACTCGGGTTTGAAGAGCAGGATTGATAAATACTCGACGGCTACAGCCGTTACTTTACCAAGCTGATGAAGAAAAAGTTCCCGTGGCACCGAGCCAGGGAACTTTTAGCCCCGAGGATGATGGCCGAGGGGGGGGGTGGGTCACGTAGGTGGAGGCTCGATCCCTGGCTCCCTAACCCCAAATGTTATGAACGAGTGCAGGCACTGGAACGGTGTTCTAATGTCTGTCCGGAGTATGAATAAGTATGAGTAAGCGTGCTTGTGAAAGAAAGTAATACAAAAAATATTCAACGTGCACGCTGGTTCTACGTATTAGCTTCCCCTCACTCATCTAGGGGTACATAACAGCACAGTTCTGCAAATAAACCGATTGCTTTAAGAGACTATAAACACAGAACAAAACGTTCCGTGTCTTCACCCCCATTCAACACACACCTGCGTGGCCTAATGTATTACCTTGGCCACCAGTACTTGCAAACAATACTCCGGATAATCAGAAGTTGACTGTATTTGTTAACGTACCCGCTGCCGATAAAGGCGTTCACATTGCACTTAAGTTTTACATTTTGTGTGCGCTTCCATTATCCGGAACATGCCTCCCCCTTCCAAAGTCTCACCAGAGGCAATCCTGAGTTGATAGCACCATTCTTATTATTACTATGACCATTTATTTGCGGGCACGACTGCAGGCGTGCGGGCATCGAGGGACCTCGCTCTTCACCTCGTCTTTGAGCAGCCAGAGGCGCAGGTCCTCCTGCCGAAGGCGCAGCCTCTGCGCCAGGAACTCGTGGATTTGACGCACGCTCAGCATGGTGCTGAAGCACGCCGTGTAGGCCAGGTAGCGCTTCGGAGGCGCCGGCGCCGAAGCTACGCCACCTGCAGCAGCAGCAGCAGCAAATGACAACAATAACGAGCCGCTGTCAAGCAGAAGGCCTCCACCGTTAAGTGAGAAAGGCAGGTGAAGGCAGGCGGTCCCCCATTGAGATGTCAGTCGCATGGGGTGAGGCCAATATCCGGTAACGTATGCCTTACAATATGCACGACGCTATCACATGCGTCCATCCATCGGGCAATTCCGGTGAATTTTAATTGTGGCTTCTAAAATCGAGTCGTTGATTGACAATTATATAAGTAATGTGTAAGATGTTGACGTGTGATATAACTATTGTTGCGATATTAGAACGTGTTCCAAAGTAATTTGAGCATTATTGCATTTTTTTGTTAATGGTTATAATACCGATTCTGAGATTTTTTTTCTCTCGTCTTACCCTAACCATTTAAATAAGCAGAACTACACAGGCAGAAAAAGAGATCCAACAACATTTTGGCGTTTACAATGAAATCAGCGCTGATGAACACGCACGTGTGTAAGCGCGTTTGTTGGGTATTCTAAATTGAAGACTCGTTTCGTTAGAACTGCTTCTTCTATTTAACTTTTGGTCCTTCCCGGCCGCACCTCCGACGAACGCGGTTGGCTCTGTCCGGAGCGAAAAGAAGTCCAACGTACACGCGCTACGTACGTACGGTCGTGTGCCGAGCGAGTGAGCCTGCGCGGTGTGCGAAAGGCGTGGACGCTATACCGAACATGCTGTTGTGGATGGGCCGCGCGGACGTGGGGGGCTGCTGGTGCCTCAGCAGGTAAATGCACACGGGGTAGAGCTCCAGCTCCAGGGGACGTCCGTTCACCTGGGGGATCACCTAACAGGAACAACACATCAACTTATTTAATTATTAACCACTCCCTCCTACCCCTCTCCCCCCCACCTCCCCCATCAGTCTAGGCCAAAACAGTTACTTAAACCTCCACACCGTCACCTGCTAGGTACAACACATCCACTTAATTCATTATTAACCACCCCCTTCCTCCTCCTCCTCCTCCTCCTCACCACTCCCACTTCTCCATCACCGTCTAGGCCAAAATATTTACCCAAACCTCCACACCGTCACCTGCCGGAGCAACGCAGCCACTCAAACCCCACTGCCACACTGCGTCCGTGCCGCGTGCAAAAGGTGGTGCTGTGGTTTGAGCGCTCTTCTCCTCGTAGTCGGATATGTGCGAGTTCTAATCCATTCCTGGGTTGACTCAGCCCAACATTATCATCTCTCCCTGGGGTTGGTTAAATGAGTACAAGTGACCCTGAAGTAAGCATGGGGCTACGAGATGGCCCAAAAAGAGTAGGACTCCCAAATGTTAAAGGAGTTACAGGATTGCTGCTTGTAAATGCTGCTTGAAAACAATGCCCATTGGCTGATGCTGTTTTGTCTTCCTTTTGGTCGTGAATGAAGACCCGGTCCTCTTTATTCATCGTTTACTCTGCCTATTCTCCCGACCAATGCTCTGCATGGGGCTCACTTGTTCCACATTAAATTGCTCAAAGTTCATGTCCACCAGTCTGCAAAGTGTTACTTCCTGGCTAGATGACACCAGACTTCCGGCCATGCGGCAGTCTAACGCGGTCCCTTAGTTTTCTAATGCAAGAGGCAGCTCTGAAAATACTTGGCTCGGTCCGAAAAACTGGAATGCGTGGAGGACCTGTGCTGTGAGATGCGTGCAAACCGATGCAAATGTTCCAAGCGAAAGAGAGAAAAAAAAATCACCGTTCTTGGCAGCACGATGTTGTAGCCATACCAGTGAGAGAGGGAACGCCACACTGGGTCTGGCACAATCTCATAATCCTGGCCCCACATGAGTGGAGGGCTGCACTTCAACCTGCCGCCCTCTGCCGTCAGCGTGGGCACCTGAAGGGAGAAGCGATCATGAAAGGCGACAATTTCGCATCACGCGGCTCAAGGTACGTGGCGGACACTTGTCGGCCAAGTACCACACTTTTTGTTAGAGTATTGTTATTCCGGACACTCCAAAGGCACAAGTACAACTGACAATGAAATCCAGTCAAGTGGGGCGGGTTTTAATTAATCAGAATGACAATGAAGATAAACTCAGCTTATCATCTCTCTAGGATCAATAAAACGAGCACCGCTTTGTGGGAAGTCAACTGTGAATTTGTTCTGGACTCATCCTACCACCATAACGATAAACACTCCACTTGCTAGGTCACCACCCCACTGTTTATTTAAGAAGGGAGACGCATTGATTTTTCAACTCCTAATGATTATGACAGAGTCAGAAACCCTCGACTCGACGGTTCCGACGTTTGTCAGCGCGGGTCAATCCGAAGCACACCTTGACGGCGTCGCTGTTGATGAGTGGCACATTGTCGATAACCCCGGGCTTCTGGGGTCCAACGGACAGGCAGGCTTGCTGCGGAACGATGGGCTGGCTGGCGGAGGACGGTACGCTGTTCCCAAAGCAGCGCGTGGTGGCACCGTCGGGACTCAGGCTCTGGCTGTGCGTCAGGAAGCAGCTCTCGGTGGCCGGCGTCAGCGGCTGGGGAAAACCTGCGGGGCGCGGAGGGGGAAGGGAGGTTACGCACGCGTGTACGGTGCACAGGCGTGCATCGGGGGGGGGGGGCAAAGGATGGGTCGGTTTACATTGCAGTGTTTAATGGGTTGGTAAATGAAAACCCGAACCGAAAAGAACAAATGGCCCTAACAATCTGTTGACAGATACAATTATGAGAACAAACAGCTGCCATCGTATATTTGCGGCCCCTTAGCATGCCACGTCAGTTTGAAGCTTCTCATTGCGAAATAGAAGTTTAAAATTACTTTCAGACACGCTCTAGTGATGTCATTACAGTCACTTTAAAAAGTAGAGCGGTCACAAATTGATGCAAGTTACCTCCAGGATTCCTAAAAGCAATTTTAAAGTTTTTGTTTTCTCTCTCAATACATGAAGCCTCAAAACTCACATCGGGCAGCCCAGAAATACACAGACCGGATAGGCGTATGCCTTTTATTTTGGGTTTTATTTTCCTCTAATCAGATCACAAACATGACAACACCGAGATTGGTGTCGGTGACAATCATCCTAATATTGCCGCAATGCATTCTGGCCCGAAAGCACTGCAGAGCGGAACGTTTCAACTTTGAGCGATTCCGGCGCTTACGGGCGCCTGATCGCATGCACGCTCGCGGGAGAGCGCACGGAACGCACACACACACACACATACTGCTCTCTCTTTTCCCTCTCTCGCACGCCACACAAGCGTCTTCTCACCCATGCTCTCGGAGGCCTCGGAGGCGAGGGAGACGCTGTCGAGCGATGAGCCGGAGGGCGTGCTGTGCGGCGGCGGCGCATCTCCGTTCTCCCAGGCGCGTGCTGCGGAGCGCCCTCGCGAGCACGACACCGACAGCGGCTCGCTGACCACCGGCTTCGTGTCCTGCGAGGACAAGAGACCGACTCGTAAATGTGCTGCAAGGGACAAAGGTCGAGGAGTGGGGTTGCTGCTCATCTCCTCTTTCCAGATATCGGTTTTTGGTGGAAATTCCACATTACCGTGGCGGGAGGCGGGGGTGGGTGAGTGAGTCTATTCGTAGGAGAGCCACTCTTTTCATTTTCCATGAAGTGGTACTCAAATTAAGGCCCCTTCAGGGACTAAGAGCTGCGTTAACCATTGACATGGATTTCAATTCACAACCTTTCAATTACGATTCGCAGCAGGATTTTCTCGCAAAAAAAAACTCTTCTCTCCATGAGCTCTCTCTCAACTGGTTATAAATATCAAGTTTATATTCATATGGATAATGCCAATAACGCTCTTTACTCAAGAAAGACCCCTTGCATTGCAACCTTTGGGCACTTCCAAACACATGCGTGGCATGCACTCTTAACCACCGAGCTACCCAGTCCAAATGGCAGACCAAAATTTAATATCACGTAATAAGCATAAACCAGCAACCCTCAAATATTCCATCATGGGAGCTGTAGAGAGCTGTAGGTGCTCGCTAACAGTACTTTCCCTAAAAGTCCGTGCAGCTGAATGAGTAATGTTTATTTTGCCTGTGTTTACGTCTGCTTTAAAGCCCATGACCACTAAGCATTTAAACTCAACCCTGCGAGTAGTTTTATTTTATGCAAAATAAAACAGCCTATAACAATAAACCGACATTGATGTTTCAATGCATTCATAAACTAGGACACAACCCAAAAGGATAAACACCTCTCATCTTCTAGACCCGTATTTAAGCGCTGTCTCTAGGGTTGTCTGGAAACCATTTGAAGCTTCGAGTGCATAAAAAAACAACAAAATACAGTAATGAGTACTGTCCCGACACCCTGCAGTGCAGATGCATTGAACAGTATGGAAGGGATGCCATCAAAGTGCTCCTCAATCACAATTATTTGAAAGCAATTTCCTCCTGACCAAAGCTTCATATTCGTGCAGAGAAACAGTTAGATGTCTCAGTGGGTCGCGGCAACCAGTGCTGGATGTGCACCGGGTGCCCCGATTGGACGAGTTAAGGACACGTGGCCGAAAGCGGTGCCTCGATTGGACAAGCTAAGGGCATGTGACCTGAAGCAGTGTCTCGATTGGAGGAGTTAAGGACACGTGGCCGGAAGCGGGGGCGCCGTCCTTGATACAGTAAGGGGCGGGCGCCGGGGCCAGGGGATAAAAGGGGAGCGCGTTCGGGGATTCGGGGCTCGTTCAGAGATGAAGAGCGTAAACAGACAGGCACATAGTGAGCAGCCTAGAATAAGTTAGCCACACTTTGAAAAATAGATTGGAAACACTGCAAGCTAAAGGTGCAGCCCTGCAATTGCTCACGCCACATGCCGGCAGAAGGGCCTCCATGCCAGGAACGCTAGAAAGCACCTCCAAGGGTATTTGGCCTTCTCCTTCACCATGCTGGCCAGACAATTTTTTGGAAGAGTTGGAGGCAGCCACACTTAACCCCACCTCACACGACGATGACCTGCCGATCAACTCGCAGTGGCGAACCCGTTGATACCGCTGGGCGGAAAGAGGGAGCCGGTGATGGTGAGGGGTGGTGATGTAAAAAAACACTTACACCACTGCTTCAACTGCCATGCCGATGAGATCGAACCGGTGACCTCCGGATTGCAAAGTCAAAGAGCAAACCGTGACGCCATGACGGGTTCTCTCCCCGCGACCCCACCACCCCCATGAGTCCAAAACTAAATATTTGCACACCATTCAACTCAAGGTGGAAATGGGAGAAGGCCCGTGAAGAGACAAGGTGACTCACGTATCTGACGTAGTCCTTCCACTGCTGCCACCACTGCATGGAGATGAGATACCAGAGCTGTCCTGGCCTGAAACCCTGCCGATGTTCCCTTTCCAGCCATCCCCTGCGCACATCAACATGCACAAAGGGTTGAATTAAATAAATAGATGCGCATATACTCATGAATTACAATATTCCCAGCAACAACAATCGCCATTCACCACTAAGTGGCGGTGACGTCACCATGGCTCTTGTGCCAGGCAAAATGCACTTTAAGGCCACATTTAGTTTCGAATAGCCTTAGAAAATAGATCAAATGACAAGCACACGCGCACATACAAAGATGCCCTCGAAGCTTTATAGAACGTAATGGCTGTGCTCGTAGTGAGCAGCTGCTTATATCAGCATAGCACACAAAATATGTAAGTGTGGCTCAGCCCTCCAATTCGCCTACTCCTAGAAATTCCACATTATTATGGTGGGGGGGACAGTTTACCAACCATTGTGTATTGTTTTTTTAATCTTTCCCCCAAATGTGCTCTCGGTGTCAAGTGAAGAGTTGAAACATTCATGCGTATCTCTCGATGAGCAAATCCTGCGTTAGATAGGACAAGCCTGCAGAAGTGGAATTCGGAGAGCTACCTTTGAGATTCATTCAATCGAACCACTGTCCTACACAGTTTGGGGGCATAACTTTCCCAACGAACTCCACCACTCAGAGTAATGTTTGTCGCATGACATTCAAACATAGCTTTTTATTATTATTATAATTGTCAGAGCTGGATTCGAACCCAGCTCAGCCCACAGTCCCTTTGAGTCATCCGGCCACATCAGGACAACCTGTTGACTTCCCGACAAGTGGCACTCACTCTATTATCCCAGGGGGGAATGACAGGCCAAGGTGACCGACCCCTTGATCAGAGAGAAAAAGGGTTCAATGACAGTTTAGAAATTAAATTTTGTTTATACTCGTTTGTTGTGTACATTGTCTACACCGTATTGCTTTAAAGCGTCGCATTTGGTCTGCAATAATTTCCTAACCGAGTATTTATGTCCTACACTGCCGTTTCCCTGGTGTCTCCAGATGCACTGCACTTGGGGTGCGCGGTATAAATAATAAACGAAGATTGTGTTGATGGAATGTAAATCAGACCGCTCTTTTAGTGCCACCTGAGCAAAGCCTCTCAACGTCGTTTTGTTATTAGTTCATCAAGAAGAAACATATTAAAGTGAAGAGATCAAAAGACAGAGCGTGTTGGTCACCTTATGATCTGCCCTTCTTCCCCAGGGCTCGCTGGCCTTAGACCCAGCACTATGTGACAAACCTGCAGGATGCAATACAACATTAATATTCATTATGGCTTTCAATTTACACTTCGTTGGGAGAGTTCCTTCGTTTCACGATAATTTAACATCGTATATGATTTGGTACGTAATTATTTTTCATTTCTAGCAAAAGTCTTTTCGCAAATGGTCATTACAGGAATTTCACCAGGAAATAAAAACACACGATGATCACACCATGCTAACCGTGGTAATAAGATCGACTGTTATCCCCAACCCATAACTGAAACAAGCAACCACCACACACACATGCTGCTAATATAAAATTACTCCATGATCACAATCAGAATCTTTATTTATATTGGAGGAATCCAATGAGCTATAATGCTCTTTTTCACAGATGTCCAGTAGGGGCACGGGGTAAAAACGTTACAACAACAAACAGTAAGAAAACACGATCGGACCGCAAAGTACAAGAAAAATAAATAAATAAATCGGACAAACACTGACAAATACAACAACTAAACCATCCCCATCCTACCAGGCAAAGCAACCTGAGGTATTAACCTTAATTTTCAGAAGAGACCTGGCCACAAATGATAGCTCAACAAAGTGGCCCATCATTGGACATTTATAGCACCCAAAATAATCTAAATAATCTCAATGCATGTTTCTAAATGCGGAGGGAAACATCGGATGACTCGGGAGAGAAAAAATCCACGTGGCCACGGGGAGAACACGCCAATTCCAAATATACAGATGTCAAGGTCAGGATCGAACCCCTGACCGCCTGCATACCAGGCGAGGTAGATAACATCACACCACCCTGACGCTTACAGAGTCCCATAAAATTACCTTAAACTAAAAAAAAAGTAAGTTTAAAAATGAAGATTCTTGAAAATTAACAGGGGAATGGTCTATTACCAGCTGCACACCTAATTCCTTATTAGGAACACTCTCAGTGACCTCCTGTTTAGAGCACGTGTTTAGCACGGAGGGCATAGGAATGCCCGGGGTATGTATGTCGAACTTCTTTCGCACCCTACGTAGCCAACCGTGCTAATCGGAGGTGCGGTGCGCCCAGCAACTGGGAGACTAGGAGGCTGTGCCCACCTGGAAGAGAAGCGTCAGAAACTCGTGGGCCAGTGTGCTGGTGACGCTCCATATCTGATAATCCTCAAGACTCAAGCTCTTCTCCTGTCCCGAGGAAGGAGAAGACAAAGGAGCGTGGGAGACACACGATCACAGTGAGGTGAGAGCAGCGGCGGCGAAAGGGATACTCTGGGTGGGGACCTGGATACATCGTTTAATTTTCTGGAAGCACGTGATAGTGGATGATTTGATTCCACAGAATATCTTGCTGCCATGGACTTTTCAGGAGGCATGGAAGTTACAGAACGGCATTGCCCAGAAATATCATTAATGCGCCCACAATTCAGCAATGTAAGACTAAATTAAAGACATTATTTTATGATAGCGGAGGATTATCTCAAAATAAGAAACTTTATTTTGACTGGAAGAATCCGATGAGCTATGAAGCTCTTTTTTCACAGATGTCTGGTAGGACATTAAATTAAGTGGACAAAAGAGAGAAAGTCTCAAACAAAATTTAGCTTTTCAAATGGTTTCTCCCGGTTTGCTGCTGCGTATACTGTCTCTATTGTTTTAGAACATCATATTTTCTTTTTTGGTTCTTTCGGTAAAGTCACGTAGAATGAGAATAAAATAATAAATTGATTAAATAAAATAACACAATAATATTCGTCCCTTCACCTGATGAAGGCCGCTTGTGTTGTGGCCGAAACGTCGTGAGAATATTATTGTGTTATTTTATTTTATCAATTTATTATTTTATTCTCATTCTACGTGACTTTACCGAAAGAACCAAAGAAGATGAATCATTGCAGTCACGAAAGCTTTAAATCAAAATTTAACATCATATTTTGTCTGCGATCACGTCTTTGCAGAGCGACGATCTCAAATACCCCTTGGCACCTCGACACGTACTGTATGGGAGGAACGATATAAATGAGAAATTATTCTAATGATCAGCAAATTTGACGACGCATCGTCTGGGATGCCATTTCCCTTTTAAAAAGGGCAGCGTTTGCAGGGACAGCAGTATCATCTTGTACTGGCTCAATATAAACGGGCGAGGGTCACCTGCTCAGGCACAAGGAAACATTCTGTCGCCTACGCCTGACTGGATGTCAAAGGCCAAGGAGGATTGCCAATAAAGATTTTCACATTTTCTCACCTGGTTGGTGTCGTGCATCTGCAAGATTGCATTGACCACAGCTGCCGTTTCCATGTTCATTTCCTGCAAGAGGAAAAAAGTGGGAATTTAAAGAACTGCTTGCTCATCAAATGAGCGATTGTGCAGCTCTTGCCTCTTTTGACAGGAGCCAGTTTGCTTTTGTGGAATGATGAGAGGCTATGCGCGCCTCACCCAATTGAAAGTTGTGATGACGTTATTTCATTCTGTATGTTTCATTTTTATGGAAGGATATAAAAGCACTTTTTTTGTAAAGCCAAAGTTTAAGGGTGCAGTTATCAAGTACTTAACTTCATTGCATTTTTGACGTGTTGTGCAACATTCCACATTAAACAATGTGACTTTGTTGCTGCTGTTTGGCAACGCAGTATCGTGCTACAGATTCATTAAACTCAACGAGGGCCCATCTCTCATCATCACTCGAACTCTGGTCATCCTCGTAGCGGCTTTTGGCTGGCCATCGAACAAAGACGGGGTCACCGCATCACGCGCTTTCAGATTGCGCTTCTGCGGCCGTCTGGAACGCTCTTCCTTCCGATGTTTGGAAGCCACTGAAGTTATCCACTTTTAAATCAAGATTGAAAACTCATTTCTTTAAAACTGCTTTTTGTGTTTAGTTTGTTGTCCCTCCCACGCACCTCCGATTTGCACGGTTGGCTCCTCATGGTGCGAAAGAAGTTCAACATACATACATCTCATTGTGTTGAGTCTCTCTTAAGGCAAAAATAGGAAAATAGAAAATTGCATTTTCACAGACAGAGTCTTCGAGATTTCTTAACAAACCACAATCCCATGAAGCCAATCGGTAAGCGAAATATTTAAATGGCTTTTGGAACAACGTTTCCCTGTGCTGTAGGACAAACTGCCACTTCACTCAATGTCAAGCAACACAGACAACAGAAAGTTGCTCGCATAGTTACTGCGTTTTAACGTTGGCTTTCATATCAATCCTGCACTATGGCACACCGTGATCACATACACTGTTTGATATTAAAAAAAGGTGACACCGTCCGAAATATTACTTTAACATTCGAACGATTTGTGGTGGTTAAAATTCGACTGCAGTGTTATTTCTTACGCTTTTCAACCAACGTTGAAAACGTTCGTGAATTAGCTCTGTCTATTTATCTGTAATGGGGGGGGGCAAGGGTGGAGGGGGGATTGGGGACACTGAAACTCTCGTAGAGAAGCTCCAATATGAACAAAATGTGAGGTTAAAGTTGCGTCGCAAAACTGGCCACGGTGATCAAAAGGTTGCCCCAACGCTTTGGCGACATTAAAAAAAACCCGGCGCTAAAAGTATTGGCATTCGCGATGATATCACTGCGTGCAACGTTGTCTCGGGCGAGGCCACTCTCGCGTGCCCACATGCCGACGACACGCCGACCGTGAAAATGCAGCGGGGGGGGGGGGGGGGGGGGGGGTGGGGAGCACTTACGGGACACAGCTCGGTACGGTTGCCACACCACACAATGAGCAGCGCCTCCACCATGTCGTGAAGCTCCAGCCACGACAGCAGCCCATCCCGGTCACGGTCAAACACCTTGAAACAAACTGCAGGCACGTACACATATGCCAACACACACACACACGCGCACACGCGCACACACACACACACAGAAAACAATGATGAAGATACACGTAGATAAATAAATATGCCCGGTATAGCCCTGTTGGGGCAAATTCTGTTCGCCGGCAGATATGTTAAGACCGGCACGCCGCACGAGGTGCAGTCACCACCGCGCCTAATCCCACTTATTCTCTCCAGCGCCAATGTTCACACACCGCGGCACGTACTAATTTAAGGCTAAGCCGACCTATGGGAGGCCCAGCACTGGTTCAGATGTTCATCACTGATGTCAGCCGTGAGTGGAAATCGAACTCAGGTCTCCAAGTTGGCAACACGGTGCGCTAACCACTGCTGTACCCACACAGACCGACACGCGATTGCTCAATATGCATGATGCATGGGCCAGTGCAGAGCAATTACATTACCAATAGGCACATCTGACTTGCCCTGAACAAAGGAGTGAAATGATAAAAGATATGATCTATAATGTCAAAAGCTGGCCTATTTAATCCTTTACACGCATTATTATGCAAATGCTGCCCTTCCGCCTATTTCAGACGCATTCAGTGTTAATCCATACGCTAGGAGATTCTGTCAGTCAATTGCAGTTTACCCTTTTAATTCTGCAATGCATACTTCATAATTGGAACAAAATGCTCGTCACAAACATGTCTTCAACGATCTCTGGTGCAGACGGACCACGGGACGGTGTTCACGTCATGAGGAATGTGTCAGCTGCTGTAGATAAGTAACATTTGTCATACATGTGAGCACTGTGATCTTTCCTCTGACTGCAAATAAGCGGTGAAGGCGGGGTTGCCCTGCAGTTTGGCTCGCACCACTGTTGGCGGAAGAAGGGCTCCACTGGAGAGATCTTCAGGGAGCCCCACACTAGAGGTTGTTTTGACTTTCTCTTCCACATCCTGGAATAGGTGGGGGTACCCACAATTTAACCATCGATCGATTAAGTGTGGTGTACCCATTGATAGTACCGGGTGGACAGAGGCGGGCAGGGGGAATTTAACCCTTTCCCATTAAATCAAATAACTTTATCGGTACGTCTTCAGGCCGGAAGATGTCCCGGGGCTCCCACAAGGCCATGCGGAAGGGCGTGTAGCCCTCCCTCATGGCTTCTGCGGTGAGTATAATGTTTTTAAAAACAATGGCACTACGCCTCTTCAAAATAAAAATTAACGCTAACCGCTTGCACGTTCCGAGATTTAGCGGTGAAGGGGACCCACCCTGCAACTTGCAGACGTCTCAGAGTGTTAAAGAGTGAAGAGACATGCCCATTTTCTTCAATTGCCTCATCGGGAGATTAACCTGTGACCCCTAGATTAGCACGTCCAGTGTGCTAAGCTTAACACCGTGGCAGTATCCTCGACTGTAAAAGACCCCTGTTATAATTGTCAACGAATCTGATATTCACTCGCAGCTTCATACATTACATTCTCATGTATAGCAGTTTAAACCCACCGTCTAAATAGATAGTTTCAAAGTTAAAGAAACAAGTCAAAATATTACAGCGAGGTAAATGAGCTTAAGCATTAAACACAACATCAAAAGCACATCATGACCGAACAGAGTGGGCGTCTTCTGAGATTGACAGCGTTGACTGAGCGTACAGGACGTCCGTTTTTTTGTATCTATTTTCGTTAGATCAATGCCGTGACAGATAAGGCCATCACTCTCAGGATTTATACTCACCATTGACATTATGTGTGGGGATTGTAACATTTTTCAGTGAACAAAATTAGATTGGGTTATGGTCCACGAAACAATGCAGCTTCACATTTATAAAGCGACTGTTTAATAAATTGGGTTGAGAAACCAATTGAGCACAGTAGACTGTTAAACATCTAATCGGAAATGCCAGAAGAGGAGCTGAACTTGAGCAAAACAACCAAAAATTTAAAATCTGGCCTCCGAGTACAAATGCACACCGATGATTCTTGGAGGAAAAGGGGCAAGCAGCGTAAAACCTCGAACTAAGACTGTGGTAAGAGGGCGTCGTCATATATGTGTGTACAGAAAGAGGAGGTTTGCGATGGGTGGGGTAACAACACCTAAAACCAGATGGTGGGATTATTGCTGTAAAGAGCAGACATTGGTGATCGAGTGTCAACTTCGCAACAGTTGCAGGATTAAGCAGAAGACAGAAAATGACGGCAAGGTGAGGCTGCAACGACGTTATCTGGCCCCTGGCGATGCCTTCACCTTACTCAGAGCAGAGAACAGTAGCCAACATTTAAAAGTGCGTGCTGGTGCGATTGAACAAAAAAATCGGTTGTGTAGATTTTGGTTTCGTCGGTGGCACATCGAGAACACGATCACACGACCAATGCTGTAAACCGGTCGGCACACAGACACTCACATTTCTGGCGCTCTGCCAAGGGCCCGCGGCAGCAGGCGGACAGGCCGCACGAGATCTCCTTGAAGTCAATGTGGTTGTCTCGATTCTCGTCAAAAGCGTTGAAAATGCCTGTGGGCCGAGCGCGGCAGTAATGCATCAAAATTGACAACGGTGTCTGCAAGGGCATTATTTATGGCTCTCAACAACCACCAACTCCACGGGTAATGCCCATTAATGTGTTGATCCGAGACAAAGACAAGTCGGAGCGTCGCCATGCTCCAAAAAGCATGGGGTAACTGTTGACGCGCGTACAGTATCTTGCATGTCACGCACAATGCACTTGTACTGAGTGGATTGTGCTACATTAGGAACAGAAGAGCACCCCACTATATTTTTCGAGCCAGGATATCGCCCAAAAACAAAAAACACAGCCCCCTTTTAATAAGGTTCATCATGTCTCATCCAATCTCCCGTAAAAAAATGTCAATAACTGACACTATCAACCTGGGGCAGAGCAGTAACATCCATTGCCGTACTATACTATGCTCCCTGCCTTCACCAACCCACACAGAGCAGCGTGAAGTATGGACAAATAACCCCCATGACCCGCATGGCATCAAGGCCCTCGTCCAGCAGTAGATTGTCAAAAGGACCACGCATGTACATTATCAATCAGCAGCCTGGCTGTAGTTAAAAGTTGGTCTCTGCAGTGCGATACCACCACCCACCATCAGTCTCACGGTGCTACAAAGCACTCATAATCTCATAGTGTGGCCATTACGACATCAGATATATATGTTACCACCTATCCTCTGCCACTTTCCTGCTCTCATTATATTACTTATGCTTCTGCTGCTACTGGGTGTCATACATACCCACAGTGATGGGCCCCAGGTGCCGGGTGCCATTTGCCGTGTGTTATTTGCCGTGTGCCGTATGGCGTGTGGCGTGTGTTATGTGCCGTGTGTAACGTGTCTGTGCTGTGTGCCGTGTGCCATGTTATGTGCCGTGTTCCATGTGAAAAGCGCCATGTGCCATGTCCCGTGTGTTATATGCCGTGTAGAGTGTGCCATGTGGTGTGTGTTATGTGCCGTGGGCCATGCACTGTGCGCTGTGTGTCGTATGCCGTGTGCGGTGAATTATATGCCATATGCTGTGTGGAATGTGCCGTGTGCCATGTGCCGTGTGTTATTGCTGTGTGCCGTGCTCTAATGTGCCTATTGTTATATGCCATGTGCCGTGTTGGTATGTACTGTGTGCCAGGCGCCGTGTGGAATTTTACTCTGTACGCACCTTCGGTAAGTGATGGCGGTAGAGGGGGAGACACCAGCGGGGCAAATGTCTCCAGATCGAAGTGTCCGGTCCTCGACTGAGCTTTGAGCAACCAGTAGCGCTTCTCCAGGTCAATAATGTCAGACTCCTCCACTGTTATAGGAAAAACAGGCGAGTCCCTTATCAACGCGTGCTTCGTATGAATGAACGGCACTCTACAATATTGGTGAAAAATGAAAATTCCTGCAAGTGTTGCCTCCAACAAGAATGTGCGCATTGCACCAAAGCGATAATTTTTTACAACATTAATAACGGACTCAATGCTTTTATTGACCTAGTAACTAGACAACTGTGGTACATTCGTACCAACTGTACATTAGTGCACTTAACACATCAGGATAAACAGCACAATTAAAGTGTTGGAAAAAATGCAAATATTGGGCAGAAAGATTGCCACATTCCCACATCAAGCAGGACCGACTCAATCATAGCCAAGAGACTTCTAGAATCCCAACACACAATTTAATTTATTTCACCTTTATTGTTCCAGAGTCAGGGGCTTATCCATGACAATGCTGCCGTGCACCAGTCAAAGTGGCTCGCAGGCTTATAATCATACTATTAAGACCACATTCAGTCCTCGGACTCGTTTTCAGCAGCATCCCGCATTGAGTTTTTATTGTAAGATTTATGTTTCGGCCAATTAATGATGATGATGAGTGTTTATACAAGTGGGAGGAAACCGGAGCACCCGAGAAAAACCCACGCCATGTGCGGGGTGGCAACACTATCCCTGCACAGATGGAAACAGGTGGCGAATAATCCGCTGGCCGAAAGGCTGGATTATGGACCGGGCCAGTGGGGACAGTGCCCTGGGTCCTCGGACTGCCAGGGGGCCTCCAAGCCTCAGGCCGCGCACGGTGCGTGGCCCAAGACTTCCGAAGGAAGCTGAACGCCAGGGCCCTCAGTGCACACAGCGCAAGCTGATCACTAGGCCCCTGGGTGCTTATAGAGTGAGCTAACCACTCGGGGCCCCCCAGACCCCTCAGTGCTTACAATGTGAGGGCCCCCCAGACTCCTTGGTGTTTAAAACGTGAGCTGACCACTAGGGCCCCCCAGACCTCGCAGCGCTTACAGTGTGAGGGCTCCCAGGCCCCTTGCCTTTTAAGAGTGAGCTGACCACTAGGGCCCCTAGGCCCCTGGGGTTTAAAGCGTGATCTGACCACTAGGGTCCCTGGGCCCTTCGGTGCTTAAAGCGTGAGCTAACCACTACTGCCCCCCGGGCCCCTGGGTGCTGACAGTGTGAGTTGAGCAGTAGGGCCCCCCGGGCCCCTGGGTGCTGACAGTGTGAGTTGACCAGTAGGGCCCCCGGGCCCCTTGGTGCATACATTGAGCGTAACACCTGGGCCCCTTGGTACATACGGTACATGCCTAAAACGAGAGCCTCTTGGAGAGTACAGTGCTTCTGTACAACTGAGCCACTGGTTGACACGCCACAACATGCTACAATATTCACCAACAAGTCAGTTCATTCTGCATACCAGGACAGTTTGGGCGTCATATTATGGCAAGCCGTTCGTTATTTGACTTACGGTAACTAGCTATCCCTTTATATTAGCTAGCTGCCCATTTTCCCCTGCTAGCCCATATGATTCAGCTTAACAGAAATTAGTTAGCTAGCTGCTATTTTTGCCAGCTAGCTGCCCTTACAACCAAATTAATGCACTAAAAAGCCAGCTAGTGAGACCGAGGGCTCGTCGTTTGTTGAGAGCTTAGTTAGCCGTTGACAAATCAATTATTAAAAATACACCACGATTTTGTGAAACATTAAAAAAATATGCCAAAAGCTATATTTTTTCATACACTAACGCATATATAAGAGACCCAATCCATACTTAAAGATGAAGGAAAATCTTGACTTAAAGCTTTCGTGACTGCAGGAATTCATAGTCTTTGGGTTTTTCGGTAAAGTCACGTAGATAGGTTCAAAGAATTTAACAAAAGACTATGACGTTTCGATCGCAACACAAGCGGTCGTCATCAGGAAAAAGGGGTTATCTTCTAAACCAGGGGTCCCCAACCTCCGGACCGCGGACCGGTACCGGTCCGTGGCCTGTTAGGAACCGGGGCGCACAGCAGGAGGTGACAGCGGTGAGTCTACGCGTAGCCCGCCCCATTATTTTATTATTTACCACTTCCGTCCGCGCCTCTTTCCCGCACTGCACACTTGTCTCAGTCAGTGTTGGTAAGCCCACAAGCTAACCCCTAGCCACAATGAGTAAAAAACAAACGTCGCTGGAGAGCTTCTTTGAAAAGGGGGAAAGACCCAATGATGAACCCCCCCCCCCGGTCCGTGAAAAGATTGTCTTCCACGAAACCGTTCCCTGGTGCCAAAAAGGTTGGGGACTGCTGTTCTAAAGGGAAACTGTTAATAAAGATTTGAAATAGGCGTAGCCCAAATGTCAGCAGCATGGGCGGGGCAGCTTATGTTAATGTAAGTGGTGGGCAGCGACCGTGACGGTGGTGGGTTTTCCACCAATCAAAGGGCTGCCAGGTAAAAATTAGCATGTTAATGTAAGATTGGTGAGCGGCCTCCACGGCGAGCGTGCTGAGGTGGCTATGTTAATGTGAGAGATAAGCATTGGCATCCTAGAATTTCGATTTGACCCATTCTTTGCTGAACATATTAAAACGTTTGGCGGAAAAGGAAGAGGAACAGTGTCCCTATTTGTCATCGACAATATGTGAACAACTCATTGAGCTAATGGGTAAAAAACTCGCCAAACAATAGCAGATGAGATTCGGGATGCCAAATATTTTTCCATAATTGTTGACTCCACCCCAGACCTGTCACATGTGGATCAATTGAGATTTATATTCCTGTTTGTTAACAGCAGCGGGAATGTGGTGGAGCGATTCCTGGACTTTGGGCCTTGGGTTGGACCTCTCACACTGTAGAGGTCAGTCATATGACAATGCAAGCCACATGTCAGGAAAATATAATGGGCTACAGGCCCACCTGAAACAAAAAAACCCTCTCATAGAGTATGTGCCTTGCGCAGCGCATTCACTTCATACGGCAGTAGCCCAGAGGCTGACGAGTTTTTTTTACATGTTGCAGTCACTGTACACATTTTGCTCTTCATCCACACACAGATGGGGGAAAGTCTTTCGGAAGACAGATGTCAGACTAACATTAAAATCGCTGTCCAGTACTCGGTGGAGTGCTCGGGCAGAGTCAACCAAGGATAAATTACACCCACATTAGAGAGGCCTTCGGTGGTATGTGCAATGATGATAATGAGAAAAGAGATACTCGAATTGAGGCGGCTGGACTATGTGCTAAATTGGATACCTTATAGATGGCGTTTATGGCACATTTCTGGGACGTCATAGTTGACCGGTTCCACAGCGAGACCAGTTTGAGGCTTTTGAAAGGGCAGCCTTAAATGTGACAGGCATCTCTCAGTCATATAAGCACGATCTTCAGCGAAACATTTGCAGATGAGAGCTCAGAGCCAGGTATGACACTTGTGGGGAGAAGTTAAAAATAGAAACATTTTATGTGGTAATTGATAAGCTAGTGGTATGCCTTGAACATCGCTTGGACGCTTACAAGCGTTTGACCAGTCTCTTTGGAGTTCCGTTTATGTCAGATCAGGTGTCTAACAGTGATGTCATAGTGGAAAAGGTAAATGCTCTCTCCGCTGCATATCCAGCAGACCTGGACATGAACTTTTCCAACGAACTTATCCAATTAAAGTCTTTCACGTCCGACTCTTGAGGGGGTGAGAAGTGCCCAACTAAATTTCTTGAGACGATGCAGGCACATAATATGCAGTCAGTGTTTTCGCGGCACTTCGGATTTTTCTAACTTTGCCAGTGACAAACTGCCAGGGTGAGCGGACATTTTCCCTTTTAGGCTAGAATACAAATTGAGCTGCGGGGTAGCCAAACCAGCCAGAGAAGACAACCATAGTGGGGAGTTGGAGCAACGACACCAGTTCACGTGCAGTAGACAGATGGAGCGTGATAACGCAGGACCATGGCAGATGGAGGATGTGAAGGGGAGGCCTTCATCCCAGGTGTGCATTGATAATGGACTGCTGACGACAATTACCATAGCCAGCGACACGTATCATTCCATGTGGCTTTTCCACGATTCTACATTGCAAGAGTGATAAGGTTCTGTGCATTAGGCACTGTAAGCGTGCTTTGCATGCACATGCAATATTCGACCGGATAAATACTACGGCAGCCTAGCCTCGGGAGGATCCAGTGAAGACCGTCCCTACGTAACAAAAGGTGTACGGAGCACCGGTGGTGTGAAACGGAGTTTAAATCTGCCAAACCGTAATGGGTGCAGTCAGACGCTTTCCTCATAGAGATCTGTTGACATCGCTGCACTTGTTGTATTTAACACTTGTAAACGTACAGGATAGACTACACTCACGTTTGAGAAAATACGTTCCATATACAGTCGAATGTAAAATGCTAATGACGGGGAGGACGAACGTGGATAATTTAAAAAATGCATTTTCCGCGGATCTCTATGCCAAAAAACACTAATTATGGATCAATTATGTGTAAGTTAAGAAAATTGAGTTTGTCATCACTGCGCGTGCTCAGTGATAACACTTTCCTGCTCCAGCGCAGAAGACTCCGCCCACTAAGTGGATGATATCAGAGCCACGCCAATCAACATCAATCAAACTCCGCTCACCGTTGTAAAGATATGCAACTACTGTACTGTGGAGGCGATCACGTGGATATTGCATTAACCGGAGCACAATATTTGTTCAGTTATCGTGGATAACCCCTAGATATCTCCCCTGCTAACAGAAACTTGAAGCAATGACCCGGGAGGGACCTCAGCTGATGTGCTCGCTGCGAACTTCCGCCCTCTCACCAATCTACTCAGCGGCAGAGGATTGTGCTCGAGCCTGGTCCGCGGAGCTTGCACACAAAACTGCCAAGATGCACAATTGAAAAACGCAACGCCCTTCATAACCGGAACACTAAAACCGACACCAAACCCCTGGTTCGCCGTTCTGGCAAACATTCTGCCACCAAATATCCACGGAGACATGCACACTGTAAAGGAGTCTACACGTTTCACTGCCAACGAAAACCACATATCCATCAACCATGAC